AATTGATTATTTTATATAATATTAAAAATATAATATAATATTATTATAAATAAATAAATAATATTTTGATGAAAATGATATTAAAATATTTTATTAATATTAAATTTATAAAATAAAATTATTTTGAGTATTTATTCTTTGAAGTGAAAAGTTCGGAAAATGACTTACGGAAAATGAATCTGTAAGTCATTTTACAGAAAACACAAAGGAAATTATGTTATTAGGAAAATGAATTACATTCCGGAAAACCAATTACGTGAAACAAACACGGGAAAACATTTTTCGAAAAACAAATTACGTGAAACAAACACGGGAAAATATTTTCCGGAAAAGAATTACGTGAAACAAACATGGGAATTCGGGGAAAATCAATTTCGTAATTCTAATTACGACAAACAAACACACCCTTAATATCATTTCATTCGAGTCAAATTTAAAGGTAAAATTAGGGATGGCAACGGGCCGGGTATTGGTCCCCCGTCCCCGTCCCCGTTTAAAAAATATGTACATATCCCCGCTTAAAAAACCGCAGGGATTTAAACAGGGATCCCTATCAGATAATCAGAGAAAATCGCAGGAAAACGAATATTCCCGTTTAGCATAAACGGTTATTTAAACGGGTATTGGGCCTGATATATATATTTAAATTAAATATATAAATATTATATATATTTTTAATTTAATTTAAATTAAATTTATTAATATTATATATATATATATATATAATAATTATTTTTAATATTTATCGGGCCGGGTAATTGGGGCGGGGATTACCAAACTCGTCCCCGTTTAGCATAAACAATTTTTCCCCGACCCCGACCCCGTTTAACATAAACGATTTTTCCCGTCTCCGTTTAATTCGATTTTCGATTTTCCCCGTCGGGTTCGGGTTTTTTTGCCATGCCTAGGTAAAATTGGTTTAATAGGCCACACAAGTAAAATAATTGACCCATTAGGTAATATGTAAAATTAATTTGAGATCTACAATATTTATTACAGTGATTTGAAACTAATCATGTCGATATGATAGTTTTAATAAAATATAATTTTTATTAGAATTTGTCAACCCGATCAGACAAATTCTAATAAATAAATATATTTTTTTAGAACTTGTCATGTAATGAATTTAAATAAAAAATGTTATTTGAGTAAACTCATCATGTAAGCATGATGAGTTTTCCCTACGTTGTAAAAATAACTGTAGATCCCAAATAATTTTGGAGATGGTCTAATGAATTATTTTTTTTACACACCTGGCCAATATTGGGCCAAATTTTCCCAGATTTAAGTGTAATATTGACATTGTACATGAGGGCCTTACTCGCTGTTTCCACTAATAATCTGAGCCCGCATCTCTTGACAACCCAAATGAAAAATATGGGCTCTTACTTTTATATGATTTCGTTTTAACACATTTTATGCGTAGCCCGACAATATGTAAATAATATTAGGGATGAACATGAGTCGGGTTAGGTTGAATTTTTTATCAAACAGACTCGACCCAAAAATTACATAACTTCTACCTGATCCGAATTGGACCTGAGAATCATACGCCCTCCACCGAATCCTAACTTGATCCCCTCTTTTAAGATAAAACTCAAACTCAAACAACCGACCCGAAATAATGTATTTATAAAAAATATATAACTTTTATTTAATAAAAGATATATATAATTGAAAAAAATAATATATAGAGGAGTCTTATTTCAATTGTCTATAAAATAATAAGATAAAATTATAATTTTTCGGATCAAATCAAGTCATATTTTCTACCATAAATCTAAACATGACCCAACTCAAACAAAATGACTCAGTCCAATCTAAATATGACATTCTTTTTAAAAAAATATGAATTGATAAGATCAGATCCTGTCAGGTTCGGATGTTGTGTCAATCCTTGGTTTCCTCGCCCATGTAGGGCATTGGAAAAAAAATTCCCCCGGCTCTACTCAAATTATTTATTGAACTGGGGTGTTTATTACAGTGACCTTATTGATCTCCAAGTGCTCCTTATGACAAAGCCTCATCTGTTGCAACAACTCTTCTCTCTTCCCACACTGTTATAACTCTATAGGTCGTCAAGTGTTACATAGGTCGTTGTGTGTTCCTGGAGACCTATGAAGGTCGTTATGTGCTTCTAGAGACGTGTAGTGATTACTGTAACAATCACCATACTTAAACAAATAATTATTCGATTACACTATATAAAGATTTTTTTTTTCATTGCATTATTTAAAACACTTTTGCCGTCAATCCTTATATAATACGGATATTACAAGGGACAGTTTTAGAACTTTTCATAATGGTTGGGCCCAGTAACTGAACCCCGCCTATCACGACAAAAATTTGCATGGAACCTGACAAAGTTCTTATCGGAACAAAATACAATATACAAGAGAGTATTTATTTAAATATAATTATTAAATTTTTGATATTAAATATTTTTATTTTTAATATTTATATACGAAATCAATTCTTGAAAGAATAATGATAATTTTTATTATTATTAAAACGATTTAATTCATACAATAAAAATAGTTAAATAGAGTACATAGTTTGCTTTTCTTTTTCATCTTGCAGGCAAATGTGAAACTGAAATCAACCGATAAAGTAAGCCGCAACGGAGGTGCTCTCTCGTGTCCACACATCGGGCAACGCGTTTGTTTAACCTGAAAACGACGAACGTTTAAAAGAGAAAACGCGTGCCACATGCGGTCTTTTCTGGTCTCTTCAATATTTTACACCGTGCGTTTCCCTTTTTGTTTTGTTATATATAGTGTATTATTATCCACCAAAATCTAATTATTATTTTTATTTAAGTGTCACATTTATTTCTATAATAGATTTAATTTATTATATTTTTATTTTATTTTATTTTCATATTAATTTATCACCCAAAGTTATTTAATTGTATCTTTCTATATTTTATTTCAAACTTAAAATCATAAATTATAAATCACGTCTTAAGATTTAAAGTTTATGATTTATAATTTAGAGATTACGAGGTTATATTTTAGGAGATTATTTTCAGTTTTAGAATTTGATAATTAATTTTATTGAAGAATTACTAGAAAGTTGGTATGCGTGCCGGACAGCCATGCATCAAAAATGTGAAAACAGAATAAAAAAAGTTTTTATAAATAATTACAATAATATCTCTTTTTATATTATTATTTTTAATTAAGTCCTTATTTATTAAATAAAATTAATAATTTTATATTATTTTAGGTCGAATCGGAGTCAGATTTTATCTCAAAAATCATATCGGATTGACTGAAAACCGACCTAACCGAACGCATGCCCATCAATAATCATGTCTCAAAGAAGCAATAATTGTAAAATATATATAGGTTATCAATAATTAAAAAATTATAAACATATATTATCTTGTAATCACTCATAATATTAAAAAAACCATTAATCTTTATATAATTCAATTTATTATTTATTGTTAATTTGAGGTATAAGTTTTTTGACTATTAATTTGTTACATACATTTTAGAAATTACACATATAAATATAATTATTTTTAATAATAAAAAATATATTTAAGGGTCACTTTTACTTATGTAGTAAATTCAATTTATTAATTTTATTTTTATCGTTTTTTGCATCAATTCAACACTAGAAGTTGTTTAAGGTGTTCATCTTAGTCCTCGAAGTCCGTTAATCATTTTGACAAATAGAACCGTAAATATTTTGCATTTTCTAACACCAACAATTTTCATGTTAACCAATATTACTGACGTGACTTTGTGATTACGTGATATTTATTAAAAAAAATAATTAGTCAAATGTTTAAAATATTTACTAAATACAACAATTAGAAAAAGCCTAAATATTTGACCTAACCCTTTAATATCGCTGAAATAAATAATAAATTTTTGGGAATTTATTCTAACCATTGTGTTTAATTAATAGTTTAACCTAATATCTCAATCTACAGACGCGGAAAACTCACAGTTCTATTAGTCAAAACGGTCAACGAACTTCATAAGCTTGGATGAACACCCTAAACAATTTTGAGAACTAAATTGATGTAAAAAAAGAAAAGAAAAGATTAGGACAGAAATGATAAATTGAACTTACTACATAGCAAAAGTAACCCTTAAACCTACAAAATAAATACATGTTCAATTATATTAAAATAAAGGGTAAAGTACATAAATATCCCCACGACTATACGATACTGCTCTATTGGGTCTCTTGACTATTAAAAGTTACAAAATGGTCCCATAACTATAGGTAGTTGCTTTGTTGAGTCCCTTAACTATTAAAAGTTACAAAATGGTCAATTGACTATTCATTATGTTTCAAACTCATCATTTTTTAATTAAAAATTAACGATTGTCTGAGTTGGATGTTAACATGTTGACCAAGACATGATATTCATTTGAGATTATGAGATCAGATTTTATCATATTACAGTCAGTAGATTAGCGTACAACTCAAACTATCGTCAAAATTTTAACCGAAAAAGAGAGTTTGGAACAAAACGAATAGTCAAATGACCATTTTGTAACTTTTAATAGTCGAGAGACTCGACAAAGTAACTCTTTATAGTCAGAGGATCATTTTATAACTTTTAATAGTCAAAAAACTCAATAAAGTAATATCCAATAGTCAGAGAATCATTTATGTACTTTACCCTAAAATAAAAATGAATTGAACATAAAAAAGTAAATTTTGACCATGGTTTGGTTAGTATCCAACTCTTTCAGCTTAACCACGGTTCACTTGTAAAAATAACAACAACAATTTCCCCTCTTTCCCCCTTCTTCCTCTCTCTTGTTTTTCCATCTCACGAATTGCTACAAAGTGGGAAAATTTAAAAAAGGTTTTTTTTTATTTACGTTTTTGTTTAAATATAAAAAAAACTGTATTTACTTCTTCCGCTTCCATCTTAATTGCTTCTTTTACTTTGTTTTTTGTGTTTTGTTTCTTCGACAGTGCTCTGTGATTTGCATCGCTCTTCTGTTAATCTCAATACATTGAAAAAATGTTTTCTTCTGTTGTTTTCATGGATGAGATATAATTTGGGTATTTGAAAAAAAAGGTATATTTTTTTTTTATTTCTGGGGTTGTTTAGGAGGTGCAAATTCAAGTGGGTATGGGAGGTTGGGATTGGAACAATGAAGATAAGGCTCTGGTTGCCTTTGTTTTAGGAACAAAAGCATTTGACTTCTTGTTAACAAGTTCAGTTTCAAATGAGAACCTTTTAATGGCTATAAATGGTGATGAGAATCTTCAAAACAAGCTCTCGGATCTTGTGGACCGCCCCAACGCTTCTAATTTTAGCTGGAACTATGCCATTTTCTGGCAACTTTCGACTTCCAAATCTGGCAATTGGGTCCTCGGTTGGGGAGATGGGTGTTGCAGGGAGCCTAGAGAAGGGGAAGAATCCGAAGCTGCTCGGATTCTTGCTCCCCGACTCGAAGACGAGACTCTGCAGCATATGAGGAAAAGGGTGTTGCAGAGATTGCATACTTTGTTCGGTGGATCATGTGAGGATAATTATGCTATTGGTTTGGATAGAGTCACTGATACTGAGATGTTCTTTTTAGCATCCATGTATTTCTCTTTTCCTGGAGGAGAAGGCGGTCCGGGGAAGTGTTTTGCTTCCGGGAACCATGTTTGGATCTCGGATGCATTGAAACCGGATTCTGAGTATTGTGTTCGGTCGTTTTTGACAAATTCTGCTGGAATTCGGACCATTGTTTTGGTTCCTACGGATGTTGGTGTTGTTGAATTGGGGTCTGTGAGACATGTCCCTGAAAGCTTAGAGTTGCTGCAATCGATAAGAAGTTTGTTCTCATCGAGTTCTTCTTTGCTTGGGGCTAAAGAAATGGCGACATCCATGCCTGTGGTGAATGAGAAGAAAGATGAAAATCTCCGAATCTCGAATTCGGTGATTGTTGAAAGAGCTGAAGGAGTTCCAAAGATTTTTGGGCAGGAACTTGCTGTTAGAAATATTGATGATAGAGCTGCATGGGGAGCACATGCTGATGATGGTGGCAGGCTTTCGTTTTCGAGTCATCAAAATGGTGTCCATGGTTTGGGTTTGCAACATGTTCATGGCGTGAAACAATGGAGTGCATATGCTTCTCGGAAAGATACGGCGAATAGTTTTAAAGAGCTTGCTAATGGAGCTAGGGGCGACTTTCAGGTTAACCACTATTTATCACAAGAGCCAGCTCAAATAAAGATTGATTTTTCAGGGGCTACTTCAAGGCCATCTGCCATTACTAGGCCATTAAGGGCTGATTTTGAGCACTCGGATGTTGAAGCTTTGTGCCTGGAAGAGAAGCCGAGTGCAGCCGATGATAGGAGGCCCCGGAAAAAGGGTAGAAAGCCTGCTAATGGAAGAGAAGAGCCTCTAAATCATGTTGAAGCAGAGCGGCAGCGGCGCGAGAAACTGAACCAGCGGTTCTATGCCTTACGAGCCGTGGTGCCCAACGTATCAAAGATGGATAAAGCTTCATTGTTAGGAGATGCAATTGATTACATCAACGAACTTCAGGCAAAGCTAAATGCCATGGAAGCCGAGAGTAAGAGGTTCGGTAGTAGTACTACGAGAGATTTGTCAGGATCGGATCCTAACGCAAATGCAGAGAACCATATCCGAACTCCCGATATCAATGTTCAAGCTTTTCACGATGAGGTTGTTATACGAGTAAGCTGTCCTCTAGATTCACATCCTGCGTCAAGAGTAATCCAAGCACTCAAAGAAGCACAGATCAACATACTCGAGTCAAAACTTTCCGCAACAGATCACATCGTGTACCATACATTCCTTATCAAGCCTCTAGGATACGAGCAGCTAACAAGGGAGAAGTTGATCGCAGCATTTTCGCGCGACTCAAATTCCTTAGATAGCACACATTTGCATTTAACATAGTCCATAGGTGCACTTCTTCAAAATGTTTTTGATTCACAGGTAGTAATCCTTCGAGAAACCTGGTAGGAGTAGAAGAAACAACTACTTATTGACCAAATGGGACAGCAAAATTTCTATGATTTGTTTTCTTATCATATACATATCTGTCATAATGAGACATCTTTGCAGGATGAACTAAATTTGTAAGTTTAAGGTTGCTTAGAAATTCATACTTACTCCAAAGAAGCATAAAAATTTTGGGGTTGTGAAATTAACAGTTCACATTTTGTACCAACCATTTCTGTAGGCTTTGTTTGGTAAGGTAGAAAAAAAAAAAAACTGGGTGCAGAAAACCTATTATCTTCTTGAATTAACAGTATATCCAACTTTAGTTGAAAAAACGCTAGGGTGTATATTTGAAGGAAGAGATTTTTTCTTGTCATAGTAATAATAAGGCTTAAATATAAAATAAGAGCCTAAACTATACCGGTTTTCACAAATTGGTTCCTAAAGTGTCTTTTGACTCGTTCCAATGCCTAACATTATAAACATTACCGTTTTAGGTACCCAAGCCGTCAACGACGTTAATTTCTTCAATTAAGTGACACGTATCATAATCTCGTGATTTTGAAATTTATTTTTTTAAAATATTAAAAATATTATTATATTTTATAAAAAACACTAATTTCTCTTAAATTATAAAAAGTCCCAAAATTCCTAAAATTCTCAAATCCTAACCTTAACCCATCGACGTTGGCCTTTCCGGCAACAACCACCGCCGTCGATGTAGTCCTTGCCATCCTCCTAGTCATACACAGTTGTAGTTACCGCCGATTGGCCGTTGAAATCGCGATTTTCATCATAGGATTTACGGAGTATAAAACGTCGATCGGTCACGATTTCATAGGGGTTTTGATTGTCGGGGGAAGGTGAGGTCGGGTGGAGCTTCATTGACGACAAAGAGCATCTGTTGATGTGGGTTTAGGGCTGTAATGAAGGTTTTCAAAGTTTTGGGGTTATTTCAAAAATTTTACATTTTTTAAATATATAATTTTAATTTTTTTAATTTTATATAAAATTTTTAAAATTATCAGATTGTGACACGTGACACTTAACGAGAGAAATTAACAATGTTGACAGCTCGAACACCTAAATTGATAATGTTTATAACTTTAAATAGAGATGAATCAAAAAATATTTTAGACATGTTTGTGAAAAACGATATAATTGGATATTTATTTTATATTTAATCCTAATAATAATAGTCATTTAACAAACAAAGAAAGATCCCTTGAATGATTATGAAGATAAGGAAATATTATTAGATGAATATAGTTCATCATGTCATCTGTGATCCTAACTAATAATATTTGTTAGTCTCATTTTTTTCTAAGGTAAATCTTCACAATATTAATTCTCATTCACTGGAGAAATTATTAAATAATTTTTCTATTTATTGAAATCATTGATGACGTGATGAGTCGGATCTATAACATAATTTCTCGAAGATAAGGTTTGTTTTCGTGACGTGGCACTGTATGAAAAATGGATAAAGTGTTGGAATATATGTCCAAACAATGGGTCAGGGTCAGGGTCATGAATTTTGTGGTCTATCTGTCGCTATCCATCCTACGCTGCCCTTAGTGCCCTATACACTCCATATCTTAGGGCCCTTTCCCTTTACTTTTTACAAAGACGAGAAAACTACATGCAAATGCCATTTCTTTGAGGTAGGAGAACATGCCGGTTCATAACACATATCACTCTTCACCGACCTTCGCCATGACAAGATCGTGGAATTCAAGATCAGGGCGTTTTTTGTTGTTTATATACTATCATAGAAACCCATGTTTTAATTCCTTGGTACCATGGATTTTTTCGCCATCGTTTTGGTCCTTCCAGTTGGAGTTTTCATCGTCAACACCCTATGGCGACGGTGGATCGACCAGAAGCCATTGTTTAAGACTCGAAAGCTTCCTCCGGGTCCACCGAGGTGGCCTATAGTTGGTAATCTCCTTCAATTAAGCTCACTTCCACATAGGGATTTAGCTTCCCTATGTGACAAATACGGTCCATTAGTGTACCTTCGTCTCGGCAACGTAGACGCCATCACCACCAACGACCCGGACACTATACGTGAAATACTTCTCCGTCAAGACGATGTCTTCGCCTCTAGGCCACGGACACTTGCCGCAGTCCATCTCGCATACGGATGTGGGGATGTCGCATTGGCCCCTCTAGGCCAGCATTGGAAACGGATGAGGAGAATCTGCATGGAGCATTTACTAACGACGAAAAGGCTAGAATCGTTCGCGAAACACCGAGCCGAGGAAGCCCGGCATTTGGTGCGAGATGTTTCGGACCGAGCCGAAAACGGGAAGGCAGTGAAGTTGAGGGAAGTTTTGGGTGCGTTCTCGATGAACAATGTGACTAGGATGTTGCTAGGGAGGCAATATTTTGGGGCCGAATCTGCTGGCCCAAGTGAAGCCATGGAGTTCATGCACATAACACATGAGCTGTTTTGGCTATTGGGGGTTATCTATTTGGGGGATTATCTGCCCATTTGGAGGTGGGTGGATCCCCATGGGTGTGAGAAAAGGATGAGGGAAGTAGAAAAAAGAGTGGATGATTTCCATGAAAGGATAATTGAAGAACATAGGAGAGCAAAGAAGGAATTTGGCAAAGAAGAAGATGATGAAGAAACGGATTTTGTTGATGTTTTATTGTCATTGCCCGGTGAAGATGGTAAACCTTAAAGCTCTAATTCAGGTTCTACACTCTTTCATTGTTTTTTTTAAAGTTTAATTTAAGGTGACTCTCAGACCATGGTCAAGACATACCTAAAACCTAATTGAGATTTTTATAAGAATTTACATATTGCTCACCAAGAATGACAGTAATAGGATTCGAACTTGACCTTATATGCTTAAATTTCTAAATCACATCTACTTGTACTCGCACTCTTTTGGCAACACTCTTTCATTGTTAAAGAGATAACACTTTAAATTATCCAAAAACTTAATAAACTTTAGGGTAAACTACACATTTAATTACTAGACTATTAATTTTAGTCTGTTTTAGTATCTAAACTTTCAATTTTTTCAAAATCATACTAAACGTTTAGTTAGGTACTAAATATACAATATACCCTAAAATTGATTCAATTGGGATTTAAACATTTCCTGGGTCAAATATCAAATTATGTTACCAATTAAAACTATGACCATAATTTGACCTTTTGCTTTGAGTTATAATTTTGCAGTGTCTGGTTATTTCTTGGTTTTGTGTTTTCTTTAGGATATGATAGCTGCGGCAACAGACACGTCAGCTGTGACAAACGAATGGGCAATGGCGGAAGTGATAAAGCATCCACGTGTCCTACGTAAGATCCAAGATGAGCTCGATTCCGTCGTGGGTCGCAACCGTATGGTGGTGGAATCCGATCTGCCTCACCTTAACTACCTGCGCTGCGTAGTACGGGAAACGTTCCGCATGCACCCGGCCGGGCCGTTCTTGATCCCGCACGAGTCGCTTCGAGACACCACCATCCACGGTTATTACATCCCCGCGAAGACACGTGTCTTCATCAACACACACGGGCTTGGCCGGAACACCAAACTGTGGGACGACGTCGAGGTTTTCAGGCCGGAGAGACACTGGCTAGCCGACGGGAGTCGTGTCGAGATCAGCCACGGAGCCGATTTCAAAATACTGCCTTTCAGTGCCGGGAAAAGGAAGTGTCCCGGCGCGCCGCTAGGAGTGACGCTGGTGCTCATGGCTTTGGCTCGGCTCTTTCATTGCTTCGATTGGAGCCCGCCGGAAGGCTTGAGGCCCGAAGATATTAATACGGTGGAGGTTTATGGGATGACCATGCCCAAGGCCGAGCCTTTACTGGCTATTGCTCGGCCTCGCTTGGCGGACCACGTAATGTTATAGTAGAAAATAAATAAATCCGGTAATATTCATGAATAATAATAACAATAATAATAATTATAATAATGTCCCTAAATCTTGATTTAATTTACCTTTTAAGTTGTTATTCTATGTTAACGGAGGTAGTTAACATGGGGATTTCATAAAACAAAACTCGTGATCAACAACCGGTTGATCTAGTAGGATGAGACATTATATGTTTTAAATAAGATCAGAAATTCAAATTATGACGATTGTGAATGGAGCAAACTGGGTTGGGAGGGTGGCCATCGCCTTTGCAGTACCCGATTCAGATTAGTCGATCAATAGATCGAAAATCAGTGATTATACTAAAAATAATAATAAAAAACACTCGTGTACATAATTTGGTTTTACCTTTAGATATTTTTTTTACATAAATCAAATTATCTCAATGATTAAGAGAATGATTGTTATTTTTAGAAGTTCTGATTTCGAGCATTAACAACTGCAATATGGATAATTAAGTATTCATTGTCAAATGATTTAGAGTACTAAGAACAAATACTATTTTATAATCACCTTAGTTTAAAAATTATTATTTTTCTTAAACATATATTACTTTATAATTACCTTAGTTTATGTATTTTTTAGTTTGAGCCAATATTATTTTAGGATAAATTATACATTTAGTACTTAAACTATTAATTTTTGTCTGTTTTAATACCTAAACTTTTAATATTTTAAAACCATGCCTAACGTTTAGTTTTAATTTTATTTTAGTACCCACCGTTAAAAACTTAACACATTTAGTACCTAAATTATTAGTTTTGATCCGTTTTAGTACCTAAACATTCAATTTTTAAAAAACTTAACGTTAAAGTTTGAATGACGGTACTAAAATAAAACAAAAACTAATGTTTTTGACGATGTGGTACTAAAATGAAACAAAAGCTAAATTTAGGTATATTTTGAAAAAACTAAAAATTTAAATACTTAAACATATCAAATTTGATAGTTTAGGCTCTAAAGCGTAATTTACCCTGTTTTTTAATTACTAGTCCTATCATATCCTATTGGTTGTCTGAAATGTTCAATGTAGGGTTGGTTCCAGTCGGAGCTGATTCATGTTTTGGTTCTTCTCATGTTAAGATCAGGTTATAATTTTAAATATTTATTAATCATGAAAATGTTATATATTTTTAAAGAAAAAGGATATAGTTTAAATAATTAATTTATAATATTTTTTTAATTATACATAACTTCAATCTTTAAATTAAAAATAATTATTTTCAAATATATTAAATTTTAGTACCTTAAACAAACTATTAGAATTTAGATTTAGTCCAAGTCGTAGCCGGTTGGTCCTACTATTACCTCAGTCGCCCGACAAAGCTACATCTATTTACAATTAATGAGTTAATTGTATGTCCCCAAATTATAACTCTCATTTTAAATTAGTTCTTAAAATTTTAAACATTATAATTTTATTCTCAAACTATGACTCTCATTCTAGATTAGTCTTTAAATTTTTAAACATTCCAATTTCATCCCCAAACTATGAATCTCATTCTAAATTAGTCCCTAAACTTTTAGATCTTCTAATTTTATCCCCCAGTTCATCCAAATATGTAATCATTTCAACCATAGTTTAACCTAAACTTTATTTATTTTTAAATATATAATAATATAACTTGGCCTAATGATTTTTTTAACAAGAGATGTGATTAGTATATACATTTAATTTAGGATAAAATTGAAATATCCAAAAAGTTTGGGGACCAATTTAGAATGAAGATCATAGTTTGGGGATGAAAATGAAATTTTCAAAAGTTTGAGGACTAATTTAGAATGATAGTCATAGTTTAAAAATAAAATTGAACTGTTTAAAAGTTTAAGGATTAATTTAAAATGAGGATCAGATTGGGGATGTATGATGCAATTAACTCACAATTAATTGAGTGTTAATTAATCTTAAATCTTCCGAATAAAGAAACTAAATGAAGGTAAAAACATAACAATAGTCGTTAATTATTTGGTAATAATTTTTATAAATATTTTTTGAGATGTTGATAAATAAATTTAAAATATATTTATAAATAAATAAAAAAATCTTAACAATGATTATAGATTGATTTTAATCATTGGTAGAGTACCAAAGATAAGACCATATTTTAAAACTCAGCATCCAAAGTTTCTGCCTTTGTACTCCATAGGGAATTATCCGATCAAATTTTGGTAAATTTAGCTCCTTTTTTCCGATGGAGTCAGATAGCATTGATTGTATGGCATCTTCAGATGTGATTGATGATGATGAAATCCACCATCACACTCATCATCATCATCATCAGCAGCAGCAGCAGCAGTTGCAGCTTTCTCCATTGTCGAAGACCCACGGCAACAATGGGAACAGAAACAGTAACGTGTCATCGGCGGTTAACCCAAGCACCACCAGTGTCCATGAACTCCTTGAATGCCCTGTTTGCACCAATTCTATGTACCCTCCGATCCACCAGGTCAGTTTCTTTTTCTTCTTTGAGAACATCTTTGTTTAATGCTTTTAGAGTGCTTGAATGGTTTTAATCTGTTCCTTTTTTCAGTCAATTTGTTGTCTTTTTAGGCTTAATCTTATGCGTCTGATTGTGCTCTTTTAGGGTTGCAATTTCTTTTCACAGATTTTAGGGTTAGAACTAGTACTATATGTTGGAGAACTTTGTTTGCAGGGATGCTATTTGAGGTTGACTATTTTAGAATTAGACCCTTTGCGTGAATTGCTACAATGCTACTACTGCCTTGGTTTTTTTTATCATTACAAATTTGGGAAAGGGGATGAGGTTATCCGAGCTTGATCCCTGTCAATGGTGTCAACTGTCAACATACAACTTTTCCATTTGAATTGTGGGTATGCCGGTGCTACCGTCTTGGTTTAATCGAACAAAGAAGTGAACACGAGAGTCCTTTTTCCGTATGATAATGAAACCTATAACCGCGTTTTTGGATAGAGTAAAGTGGATCAAATAGAAGAAGATGATGGGTCAATTATGTTGTAAATGTTGGAGAAAGGTTTCGAATGGTGATTCAGCCTTTCGGCTCAGGTGCAGGGAATTGTGGATTGTAAGTGAAGGTGATATGTTTGTAGCTGTTTGGGATGGGAAGGGATTTAGAAAAGTCAAAAGCTGTGGTTTTCTTTTTCTTGAATGGAAACTGAAAGTCCTCTTAGAATATCATATTCTCAATTCTCATGCATATATAAGAATCCATATCTATTCCCATGATAGTTTACAGGATATTTCAGGAGTCAAGAACATTAGAAATATGTATTTTGAAGTTGCATGATTTCACTAAAAAAACACACAGATATAATGGTTTCATCTCGAGTATAATCAATGCTGGTAAGGTTGTGTTTATATGTAGTAATTGAAGAGTGCTTTAGAGCCTATTCTTTCTTTTAAGTTTTAATCCTCCTCAGATGAACATATATAGTTTGGTAAAAGGCTTAATCGAGACAGAGTATCGTTTGCTGAAATTAATGAAAATTGTCAACTTGTCTTTCTTTCTTTCTCCTTCTATGGGTGTATGTGCATATCATTAGATTGCACGGGTCAAGTGGTTGGTTAAATAAGCAGCTGGACATAGCCAATGATGTTTCAGGATGACGAAAGCCACTTCTACCCTTTTTTCCCCCTTCGGGCTGGGTTTGGTGCACGATCTTTGGCATGTTTAGATTTATTTTTTACACCTACGCACATCTGCATGTTTCTATGTTTGCTTCTTTTGTGTGCTGGTAAAACCATATTTGTATGCTTCACTCCGAAAGCGGCCCTAAAGTTCTGCCAGTTTCTCTAGTTTCACATGTCAAACAGCAGATTCTGTTTTCTGAATCATTGGTTTTTTTGGTGCATTAGAGTTTTGAACGCTAGTAGCATTGGACTGGGTTTCTATCAAGCTGCTCTATATAATTTCTTATCTTAATGATAAGTATTTTAAAATTTGCTTTTCCACAGTGCCACAATGGTCATACTCTCTGTTCAACCTGTAAAACAAGGGTACACAATCGATGCCCCACTTGTAGACAGGAGCTTGGTGATATTAGATGTCTAGCACTAGAGAAGGTGGCTGAATCTCTTGAACTGCCTTGCAAATTTACGTCTCTTGGATGCCCAGAGATCTTTCCCTACTATAGTAAACTCAAACATGATGCCCTATGCAACTTCAGGCCATACAATTGCCCATATGCTGGATCAGAATGTGCTGTTGTTGGTGATATCCCATTCCTTGTTGCTCACCTAAAGGATGACCACAAGGTGGACATGCACAGTGGATGCACCTTTAACCATCGTTATGTGAAGTCTAATCCTCAGGAAGTAGAAAATGCAACATGGATGCTCACTGTAAGTATACTCGCTCTTAGGCATCTTTGTTCTGATTAGGAATTGAACTAATACATGATGGATAATGATAAAGAAGATATAATAATCGGTAATTTAGTGCTTTCTTGTTTATGAATACGGCATTGACATTTCTGCGACAGAGTTGAGCATGTACTGGAAAAGGTTGCCACTTTCATACATCGTAGCCGTACTCTTCATTCAAGTTGGAGACATTCGACTAATTCATGATGAACAACCAATAATGTAAAATTCTAAGTTGCCTAATGTTTTCTATTCCTGAATTTATAAAAAGCCGCCCATTATACCATTGGTAGTTTCTTTTTGGAGCCAGTGCCTCAAGTCGCTGTAGTTTCTCGAAATCAAGAGAGACTACAATGACGGGTGCTTAGTCAAATTTATCATTCTTGTGCTTGGCTGCTAGCTCTTTGCCTTCACTGAATCAGTTCGTTATTTTAGTTCATTGATAAAATGCATTAGATATATTTATATATATGTGTGACAGTGTAATCCTTGCCTATCTGCTTTGATGTAGATGAATAATATGCTGTTGATGTATGTTCGTTGCCAGTTATTTGAACTTCCAGTCCTGAAGTCCCACAGTATAGCACAATCTTCTTAGATTTTCCTGAATGCTAAATGGTTCTTATATTTTGTCATATATGTTTAGGTATTTCATTGTTTTGGCCAGTACTTCTGTTTGCATTTTGAAGCCTTTCAGCTCGGGATGGCCCCTGTTTATATGGCATTCCTCCGTTTCATGGGCGATGAGATCGAAGCCCGCAACTACAGTTATAGCGTAGAAGTTGGGGGGAACGGCAGGAAACTCATTTGGGAAGGCACCCCAAGAAGCATAAGAGATAGCCACCGAAAGGTTAGGGATAGCCATGACGGCCTTATTATACAGCGTAACATGGCACTATTCTTCTCTGGAGGGGACAGGAAGGAGTTGAAGCTGCGAGTAACGGGGCGGATATGGATGGAACAACAAAATCCCGAAGGTGGTGCCTGCATACCCAACCTCTGTAGTTAAAATGATATAGTTGGATCGATTGCTGCATATTCTTGTTATATTAATCGCAGTTGAGGATTCTTGAATTCGATATGGATATTGAAGTCGTAAGCCTTCGCCATCATTAACAATAAGTTGTATATACTCAGCATTTTGCTGTAAATGATGCATTGCCATTATAGGGTTTACCTTTGTATCTCACTATCTCTGTTGTAATTCATCAGCAGCGATTTGAGGCGGTGATAATTTGATTACCTTAAATTATGGTGTGAAGCTAATAGTTACTGCAACTCGTGCAACGATAAAACAAAAAGGAAACCATGTCTTCATGTCAAATCTCAAAAGAACAATAAAAGAATTCTTGAATAAATCAATTCAATAAATGTGAATCAAGGCTTAAAATTAAGAAGCCTTTTGTTAAGTTAAAATCATTGTGCTTCCATATCCAGTCTGCCAGGCGATTTGAGGTTGGCACGACCGACAAACAATTACAACGACCCAGCGATCTCATCAAGACGGCGATCCATGATCTGGGATAGTTTTATGAGAAATGCAGCTTCACTTGCATTAGGACCCACATGATCCTCTGCCTCTTGTACAATTTGCTCAATCATCGACTCGTCGTTCAAGTTCTCTCTGCACGTTATGCTCCCGATGACAAAGGGAGTAAGCGCTTTCGCTGCACCCTTTTAGAGAAGCATGGTGGCGATGTGGAGGGCACGCACGCATTTAGGTGGCATATCCCATCCGAGGTATTTCAAAAGGGCAATATCTTTTTCAGTATCCAGAGATTTTATATAGTCAACTATCACAGGTGAGTAAGCTTGGCGAGCTTGAGGCCAATACAACCAGTCAAATGTGCAATCTTCAAACTGTACAAAAACACACACATGGGCACAATGATGAATATTAGCCTTGAAAATACAACAAAAGACATGGGAGAAAAATAAGATTGCAAAGGCCAGAAAACATATACAACAAAATTTACAATGTTGTGAAAGATACAGAATCGAGCAGGCAGGATAAATCAGCTGGATAAATAACAAAATAAATTGGGCTTAACTAAAAAATAAGTGCTCAAACTATGCATCACAAGAGGATAAGTGGCTCATTGAGAATTCAGTTTTAATATCAGGAGATCTCATTGTTTTCAGCAATTCATCATGGTTTCATCACAATATTTCATTACATTTCATCTAAGTATGCTTTAATTGTGTGGATGACAGAGTTGTGTGATTTGTAAGCAAACTCATGGTTCCTGCACTCAGTGTTGCAAGTGTGCGACTCATTTTCATGTGATGTGTGCATCAAGAGCAGGATATAGCATGGAGGTAACTGCATAAGCCTTTTATGTTTAGCTTAAGGGAAAATGTTGATCCAAGAGTTCTGTGTTGAAGAGTGTCGTCTGAACTCGTATTGCTGCTGAAATGTTTATGAATGACTTTTTAAGCTTTTCAACTTTTACAGATCACGTTGTTTCATGGTTATCTCGTATTTATGTGTTATTAATTTGCAGTTGCATTGCTTGGAGAAGAATGGGATGTAAATGATGAAAAAGTTCGTATACTGCTCTGTTCACAGGTTCGGATAGAGTCCACTTTTCTTTTTTATATTCTTTATGAAGAAAGATTATACTTCCGGTTATGCTTTTGTATGTGTCATCCATGTTTGTATGTATCCTCAAATTTTGGTCTTCGTCGCAGGAGCCTAAATCCAGATGCAGTTGTTGTCATGCATACTCCTTCAGGGGTTTTCGCTGCCAGAAATGTTCTTCAGAATGTGAATGAATGTCTTAGAGGTTCAACACTGATTCATCCAAGACTGCAGAGCTCCCTGGATCCCCAGCTCCAGTTTCCAGTGACTTCGATGCATGTTCTGCTGCTAGATGCCGTGTTTTTACAAGTTCATATTTTAAGGTAGATTCCAGGAGTCTTTTGATGCGCTGTCTTTGAATATCCCAAAGTTGAAGGCATTGGGATCCTTTATGCCATCAGGATCGGTTAAAGGGCAAGAAGTATTCAGCAGATTCACTAATGTCTCGTTTCTTGCCCGGGTTGTATCTTTAATACAGTACAAAACGCCTTTGTCGCCATTGCCTAGAGCATCGCGCCAGCACCGGTCTTGTCATGTGATAGAGAACAATGGAAAAAAAAATTAATGGATTCTCGAATTATTTTTTTCTTTTAATTTAACCATCTAACTAAAAAAATAAACTCAATACGGTCATTTGACTCAAAAAATAACATGAGGACCACATTGGTTTTTTTTTTAAAAGTACATGGACCTTTGATGCATTTTTACCATAAAATTCCGAAGGTAGGTTACTCTTATAATAAGATTTTGTGATATTCGATCTAAATGAGTCGACCAATAAATGTATATCAAATATTCTATATGAATGAGTCGACCGATAAAAATATGATACATGACTATCATGATTGGAATTTGAAAAAGATGGCAATGAATTCCTCATTGTACGCAAAAGAAAAGACAACAAACAAATGGTCCCTCAGATTCTCCAAATAACAATAATGTCTCATATCCATCATCTAGAGAGCTTGGCTTACATTCCTGTTTTCTAGTTGCTATTTGGTTGATGAAGCTAAAATTACACTGCTGAGATGCTGGAATTTGTTAACAAAATGCCCCTACCGAATAGACGTCAAATGCCTGTCCTTATTGATCTAATTCTAACCTATCCTAACGACTTCAAGAAGATAAGCTACAATACTCACCTTGGCCTAGGATTTTTCTTCATCATATGGGGAGCATGGCTGCACAGGGACGGAATCGACAAAAAATTCCTCCACTGAAACAAGTTTATAAGATCCATCAGTGTATGGTCAAACACACATAAAACAGAGTTAATAGATAGAATTGATATCAAAATGTTTCCAACTATCTAAGCTACATCAACATCCTCTAATAATGCAAAATAGACATCAAGATAAGCATTACTATGCAGACTCATTACCTATATCCTATTGCTCTGAAGAATCAAGCAACATTTCTGAATCAGAAGGAAGAAAAGGAGAACCAGGGTAGTTTCCGAGGGCTCCTAAATCTGTGACAATTCCGAGGGCCAAATTTTCATGAGAACAAGCTTCATAAAGAAAAAGAAATTCAGATATTATTACGAGCAAAAAGTTGAAAAAGCAAATATTAAAGCACGAGTATTCAGATGCGTGTGTCTATGAGATGGAGAGAGAGATGAAAACCATGACCTGAAAATTTTAATGGCTGTATTTGTGTGGGTCTCATTGGCACAACTTACCTCCCAAGTTTGACAAATCTGCTGCCAGATCTGTGAGACTGAAATTCCACTGAATCTGATCAAGTGATCTAAGTGAATCTCTAGAATTCCCAGCTCCATTATCAGGTCCCAGCTGCAATCCTACTGAACTTGCCACATCTGTTGTGAAGGCCGAATCAAGTGCTGATGTGTCTACTCCCATCCCTGGCATGTCTGATGCAGTGAAGGGAAAATTCCCACTGGAAGCCACTGACGTAGGGCTCACAGGCATCTCTGACATAGATGGCATGGCAGTTGTTAGAGGAACTGTGGGTAATGCATCACTAGCATTGTTGTCCATCACCATGCTAGAATAAGAGAAATTGTTACCGTTAGCTTAATTTTTGCAAGAACAAAATACTTGACCAGAAATAAAAAAAAATGAAGCAAGAAACAACACACAACAAAAAGGGGTGAAGCTAAAGATTTTGGGTTACATTTCAATTGGACAGAATTGGCGTAAAATAGTGATATAAACATGAGACAATCATGCATTTGTTACAAATCTGATCAACTAGTTTCTGAACATTTTAACCAAAAATAAGAAAGAAAACAGCACAAAGTTACATTGCAAGCAATCAAATCATTAGGCAAGCTATATTCAAAGCAGTTAATTTATGGGATGAGATCATGAAAAATAAAGAAAAACACCTTCACGAGTATGGGACGGAAAATATTTGCAAGTATAATAGCCAATTAATAGTAGAAGATAGTTAAGTTCTCACTCATTCCCAGAATTCATCCGCATAGGTTGAAAATTGCTGGAAGCAGGGACTCCATTGACCACATGACAGCTTGATATACCCATGGAGTCAATCTGAGGTTGTCCTGTAGCTGGAATCGGAGGTTGTTGCAGCACAGGGTATCCCATTGGTAAGTTGTTAACTGCACTGCAAAGAAGTTGTTGAATAACCATGATTGTAACATAAACATGCAGACCAAATAATCCCAAAGAAAAGCTGTGATATGGTTTTCCATTTGAGAAAAGAACTGTGAACTTGATAAATTAAGGTTGCAAAGTTTAACAAACAACTAAATAAACACCCTGCCAAGTGAAGATTACAAACCAATTTTTACAAGTATTTAAAACCCAGGGATCCTTTCCCTTATGTTGTCAATTTGAAAAGTGGAACCAATCATCTAATTTTGAAATTATTAGTATCAAGTGACGATCACAATATTTGTCTTGTTTAAAGAAATAAATGGCAATACTAATCCTCTTAAAATTTCCCAACCATTTGTGGTTGTTCCATGCAATTTGACTTGATGATTCAGTATGGTCAGTATAATCATGTCTAAGTTAAAATCATGATCACTTTATAATATAGTTAAAATTATATAGGCTTGAAATTGCATCCATAATTTCTATTGAGTCAGAAATTACCAGGAATGGGATGAATCCCATTTTGTATTGGGGCCAGAGGAACCTTTGGAGGCACAGGATATTTCATCAGATGATATTGATGCTCAAGCAAATGGTTGAATAAAATTATTTGCTTCTTTAACTTCAACCTTATATAATAGGCACTGAAAAAATCAGCATTTTCCTCTTCCAGCTTCTGCCATACTGAATAAACAATAATAGTGAAGAGACATATTCAACCGGTGGATTAACTTTCACTAATTCAAAGATAACATTGTAGTAGATTTGGGTTATTTATTTATGACGTGTTCTACTTTATCAAATACACATGCAGTGCATTTTATTGAAAATTACAAATAACATAAATGCATATGCAAACTAACAAAGAGATTTGAGTGAAGCATACCTAAAGTTGTAAATCCAGGGTCTATCCTCGCTCGATTAAGGAGGGTTTTGACAATATCATCTCTAGTCATGTATAATTGTAAGCATCGTTCAATTAAATTCTGGACCTGGAACAATCAGTTTACATAAGTTGAGAATCTCAAACTATAAAATATATATAATATAAAAGCCCCTGCACCGAGAAAAATAGGAGATAAATAAATGAAATATAAAAAAGGAATCAGTTTCTTACAAGCTCAATATCTTGGCGTGAAACTTTTCGGCTGTCATTGCTTGAAGCAGATAAAGAGCCAGAGTCCGCTACGGGGCCATCTGCTGTTTGGTTTTTTTGCTGTTCCGGTTTTGGTTCATGTGAAGCATGAGTTGAGGGTTTTGTATCTCGTGTGCTCTGCAACAAATAATATTTATCTTCAAGTTAGCATCAAGAAGAAATGGTAAGCAGATTCATGTACCAAATAGAAAGGCTGTGAAGTGGAAAAACTTTCTTTTCCATGTTACTTTGGGAGAAATGATCTACAACCTGCGGCTATGACTGCTTAGCTGCCCCCAATAGATTAATTATTTACATATGGAATTACTTATTAAAAGAGAAAAGCACCTGTGAGTTCTTCATTCCGACTGAAAGCCAACTGCCTGCATCTCTTTGTTCAGCTTAGAACACTCCCCACCTTTGGTCAAATAACTCATCAACATAAAAATGCTGGCATCTGAGTAAATAAATCACACCCAATCAGGGAAGAAATTTATGAACGTAAATCATAAGGCTGTGAGCCAAAATGCAATTTGAAAAGAACAACTCTTGCATAAATTATGAACTTATGGCAGAGAAACCAAAACCATTTACACAATAGAATAACAATATACCAGAAATAGCACTTGTTATCTTTTACCGATACAGAGAAATATTCCATGTTTAGCTATTTTCAAACTCCAAGTGATAGTCATCTTTAAGTGCAAGCAACCGCGTTGATCAAGTCAATAAATATACTAGCTATGCATCAATTCCAAAATTCCTATAACAGATCCTACCGAGTATAAACTTCTTCAAATTCAGAAAGCAAAATATCAACCAAAAGAACTAATCAGTGTTTCGTTACTTATAAATCATTATTAAAAACTAGAACACTTGCTTCCTCTTGATTCTTCTATTGATTTTCATATGCAAATTATGAAACAAAAAGAGCCAAGTTCATAGCTGTTTCATAACAGACTTTCCCCTTGTAGGTAAAAACAGCAAGTAAAATACGGTCAATTTCAGTTAAAATAAAGCGAAAATTCTGGAAAACATTTACGACATTAAGATATAATAATAATAATCAAGCATATAATTAAGAAGCCATTCAAACATTCAGTTCAGTAGAACTTAAAGAAAAATAAACAAAGATCTAGTTGAATTCACCTTACAACCAAAGTTGCCGACACTTGAAAACGCACAAGAACAATTAAATGAATTAAAAAGATTCAACCGTAAGTCTTACGATACACAATAAAATGTTACGGAATTTAAACAGTTACAAATCCGGAAGAGTCACTTACACTGCAACTTCAAGGATGATTAAAATGGGAGACTTTCGATTGAAGCTGAAATGCAATAGCTTACGACTTGAGATATACTTACGGTAAACTAAGAGGAAGAAATGGAGAATTAGTTTTTGAACCTACGTAAAAGAATCAAGGCCGGAGCAGTGGTGAAGTTTGGGAGTCTTTCTGTGAGTCGGTTTTTATACTTTGATTTTCTGGTAATAATAAAAACATAATTAATTCAAATCAATATAAATTTTGAGTTCGAATTTTTATATATATATAAAAAATTATTAAAAAAATATATGCTGAAATTATATATATACAATACAAATATATCTAAATTACTTCAAATAATAGAAGGAAAAAAACACTTAAAAAGCGACAAATTTATGATAAAAACACTTCACAAGGCTGCCGTGATTTAAATTATAATTTTGAAGACGTTTATGCACAAATTGGAGACCAACGTCATTATCGACTCTTAAATTCGTTCTTTACAAAGACTTTGTTCGTTTTATATTAAAATTTGCATAATTTATAATTTCAAAATCTTTGATAATCTTTTATATATATATATATATATATATATATTAATAAAGTAATTATTTTCTATGTACGAACTAAACGATTTAAGTGGTTAAAATAATTCTAAATCGTGAGTTCAAACATCAGGTACACAAGCATACAAGTGTTCGTTATTAAATAATTGAGAATCTTTAAACAAATATTATATTATATTTACTCTATAAAAAATAAAAATATTTTTTATAAAATACTTGATTTCATAATAATTATAAATATTTTTCGTTGACCAAAAACCAAAGAATCAATTATTTAACTATATTCATGTTCATAGTCCACTCTTCATCTTTAGCTTACAAGAATCACATTCTAGACCTCATCAGATTGGACCGTCCAACTTCCTTTACTCCTAGTGAATGATTCATAATTTCAGGTATGTCATAAAAATTTTAATTATTTATTTATTTATTTTATTGGTGTCTATTTTAAAACTTTTATTTATATTTATTTTGTTTAAAATTTTATATAATAAATATATACATATTTATCTTTAAAAATATGGTAAAGTACACAAATGGTCCCCCAACTATAGGGCACTACTTTATTAAGTCCTTAGACTATTAAAAGTTATAAAATAGTCTTCTGACTATAGAATATTTCTTTATTAAGTTCTCCGGCTATTAAAAGTTACAAAATTGTCACTTGCTTAATTATGTTCCAAATTCGTCATTTTCTATTAAAAAATGACGGCATTCTAAGCTAAATGTTAACCTACTTATCGTGATATGATAAAACTGATCATAGAATCTCAAATGACTATCATATCTCAGTCATCATGTTAACGTTCAACTTAGACAACCGTCAATTTTTTAACGAAAAATAATGAGTTTGGAACGTAATGAATAGTCAAGTGATCATTTTGTAACTTTTAATGAGAGAATTAATAAAGTAACATTCTATAGTCAGATAATTATTTTTATAATTTTTAATAATTAAATGACTTAATAAAATAGTGTCCTATAGCTGGGGGATCATTTGTGTATGTTACCCAAAAAAACATTTATGAATATGTCATTATATGATACCAACTAAGAATGAGAAGCTAAGCTAACAAAATTATGTTATCAACGCTAACAAAAAGGCAACGAAAATAAAGAGAGAGAAGTTGGTTCAAGTGATAAGTATTTTGATACAATTTAAGTAAAGTTTTAAATTCGAGTCTTTATATATATACATAAAATTCTTGTTAAAATACTCATCTACAAAATTAGGTGTACAATACGAATTGATTCAAATTAATAACGACGAAATTTTAAAACTAAGAGAGAGAGGTATTGGGGTGGGTGGCCTTTGCATCTCCCGATTAAGACACTAAGAAAATGACAATGAAAGGCGTGATGATGAATTCAAGTTGTTCATTGATGGCTTACACCGTGCCCTGCCCCACGTAACATGATGCTGTTCGTAATTGTGTATAAATTTTGTTTTTCTCATTCTAACAATGTGGTCCATGGCCCTATTGCCCTTGCAAAATCTTTGATCACCCATCAACCCGATCATTTGATTGAATAATGAATCACCTAGTCCTAGATATTTTATTCCTCCTCTTCAATTGGCCTGGAGATTAGGAGTGTTCGAAAATCGTAATCGTTAATAATATAATCATGATATTTACAGATTAATTAATCGAATCGTTAATATTAAACAATTTCGATTAATTGAACTGGTAATAATGACGATTAACAATTAAGGTTTCTATTTAAGTTTACGTCACTTCAGTAAAATGAATCGATCTTGAACTTAATGTGGATTAAATTTAAATCATTGAGATAAAATAAACCATTTTAAATTATTAGGATAACTTAATAATTCTTTTATTAATTTAAGGTGTTTACAAGTAGCAATATTTGTTAATTGTTATAGAGACTCTCAACCATTTCACAATAAACATTTAAATACACTGCAATCTCGATGCTTGAACTCGAGACCTTTAAGAATAACAAACATTTATTTAACTACTTAAATAACTTAGTTCGTGCGATAACTCAATAAATAAATCATATGGACAGTCAATTATAATTATTTAAAAAAAAGACACAACTAAATTTTATATAATTACATTCTATATTAAAAATTATAATTTACAATATTTACTATTATGCATTTAAAGACAAACCTTTGAAAATTTCACAATCTCCGTTATTGGACACACTAAAATTTGTCAATACTTCACTAGTCAACTATAATGCGCTGATAAGATTTTTGATAAATTTAACGGAACAAAATTTAAAGTATGACTATCAAATTTATTTATCCTATTAACGAAGATAATAGCCATAATGATCTTACATTTGACACATATTTAACACGTACATTAAAATTCTCTATAAATAACTTCTCTACTTAATCGAGAAGAAGACTGACACTTTTTATCACTTTTATTTTTCTTCTTCCTTCTTATGATTAATCTTATACAATAAACAACATTGATCAACGATTATTCTCTCTATTGATAAAAAGTTTCTTATTTATAAAAAAAATATGAGATTTAAATTTATTTTATTTAAAAGTTAATAACACGTATAAATTGTTACTTTCTCATTACATGCGTGTAATCATCTATACAAAAAGGATAAATTATACGTTTAATATTTAAACTATTAATTTTAATTCATTTTAGTATTTAAAATTTCAGTGTTTTCCAAAATCATATATAACTTTTAGTTTTTGTTTCATTTTAATACTCTCATTAAAAACTTGACATTAAGTTTTAAAAAATTTAAAATTTTAGATATTATCACGGATCGAAAATGATAGTTTAAATATTAAAGGCGTTAAGTTTTTGATGGCTACTAAAATAAAATAAAAATTAAACATTATATATGTTTTTTTTAAATTTAGAAAGCAAAAATAACCATTTATGAAACTAAAATGATCATGTTAATAGTTGACCCTTATTTTAAGGCACAATACTAAATTAACCCCCAACATTTATCAAACTGATTATTTTGGCCCCGGTTCGTTTTAGAGCATCTTGGTCCTAACATTTTATTTTAGGGCAAAAAACTCTAAACATTTATTTTTCTTTCTTATTGATCTGGTGTAAGTACAAAGTAGTATATGTTCAAAGATAACTCTTAATCATTTGACATTGAATGCTCACACCACTAACATTTCTTAATGCTCAATCTTAAGGCCTCAAAGAATAACAACAATTTCTTTACCTCCGAAGTCGCTTGGTTCATGCGCCCTCAACATTTTATTTTTGGATAAAAGACCCCTATTTTGAAGTGTTAATCGGGTGTTAACAAATGGTTTCCATCTATAGATGGGAATTTTTGCCCAAAAATAAAATGTTAGGGTCAAAATGAACATTTCAGTAAATATTAGGGGCTAATTTTAATATTATGCCTATTTTAAATTGAAGAGAATTCCAATATTAGAGGTGGACAAAATATGGAGGTTACAGAAAAAGCATCAAATCAAAGTGTGAAGCGTCAGACGTTGATATTCATAGTAATAGATGTATATATTTGGAGACATCAACTCACTCTCCCTTCTAAGCCCTTCCATATCAACCTTTTCTTCTTGTTCCCAGCACACCAAGACCGTAGCTTTCAATTCACACAAAACCACAAAAATCTTCTGTACCCCACCTCATAAATTATTGCACAACAAAAATTTCAAAATGATTTTAACTGATTAATGACATGCAAAATGTATATTCGACACCTTAATCAAGTTAAATTTGCAGTGGATATATGAATCCAAAACAACGCAAGTGGGTGTTAAATTTGAAGTCATTGGAACGTGCATTGTTGTTGGGAGCATTGGACCACTTTTCTTTCATGCAAATTGTAGGAAAAGGGAAAAAATAAAAATAGATGAAAAGACAGTTACTTTGAGCCGCTAGTAGTCCAGACATGGGACAGAAAAACCCAGCAACGACCATATATAAGCCCTTGCCCTGCCCTGCTTGCTTCTTCCAAATTGATCAATGATGTGTCCAATTTGTCTTACTTGTCTCTTTCTTTCTGGTGTCCAAGGCCCTGCAAATATATATCCACAGCTATCATGTTTCCTGTTATACATCAATAATTTTCATTTTCATTTTATGTTTAATCTGTTTAAGGTTTATTAGTATTGGCGAGTGAATACTGAAGAACAAATGGTGTGTTGAAGTTTAGAAAACTAATTTAAAATCTGATAACTTGAGATCTACAAAGGAAGAACATAGCAAGCCATAAACACATCTTAGTTTCTGTTTCTGAAAATTTGTAATTCTAGTCAACTTTTTTAGGATCAAAAAATGAAAACGTTATCAATACAGTGTAACTTCCAACAAGTTAACAAAAGACAGCTAACAGACTGGAATCTTTAAGATCAAAAAATGAAAAACCCTATCAAGATTTACAAAATGATATGGAACTCGGTTGTAATCCTAAGGAGCACCTATTTCAGTTACAATTGTATAGAACCCTAAACTCAACTCTTTTACCTTCGAGTCCTGCAACCCTTCAAGTTTTCAGTTTTCACCGTCACTCCGTTGTATCTTCAAAGACAGAGCACCTTCGTTCGTAGTGTACATACAAGCGCAAGGCAAGAAGCATGCGTGGCCAACCATCTTGTGAGAAAACCATTAAGAATCACTGAATCAGAAAATGCACTTCTTGCTTTCATGAGAGTGATTATAACAAAAATGCATAGTAGAGGTACACTCTCGCATTATAGGCTCTCCCAACATCATATCTTCCTTCAAATGGAAAGGGAAGGGTGGGGATTTCTCGTCTATCGATTGTAATTTTTCTCGACCGCTCATCAGTCAATAAAATCAAAGTCCCCTGTTAAGATTAATAAATGAGAGCATCATTACACAATTCAACCAACAACAGAAGGTTGTAGAATCAGAATATTGAAGGCATTAAATTCAAAGCGAGGGCTATGATCCAGTTTTAAATTCAACTTGGTTGCCACGTAAGATACATAACCACTAGTCATGGACTCAGGGTTTATCAGTTATGACTAAGAGACAACCCACCGGAGATACCAGAACACAAGCCAGGAAGAGGGTGGGAGCAGGCAACAATGACCAGACAGCTCATTCAGGTTGTGCCATAGAAATCACTACACAATCTACCCTGTTGCTAGATCAGCAAAGGCAGTTGAAAACAGTATACATGCACGATAGTTTTTCAGGGTAACAGATTTTGGTAAAGTCTTTGAAATAAGATACCAAAGACAAACAAGAAGATAAATTACCTTCGGAAGGGGGGTGAAGAAGGCTCTTGTGAAGATCGTTGAGCAGATGTACCATCAAACCTTTGCTCGTCCAATACCCCACCTGAGATGCTTCCATCACTTGGCTGTGATACTTCGTTCATGCCTGACAAACCCACTGGTCCGACATAGCCAAACTCAAGCTGTTCAACAGGAGAACCATAACCAGAATTATGATCATACGGGTAGAGCATGACAACAGGCGGCATGGTAGATCCATTAGATGATACCCCACAGGGGTTCATGGCTGGCAGCGGGTACATGCCATAAGGCATGCTGGGTGAATTACTTTGAGAAGAGTTTAAGCGGGCTGGTCCATTACGAGACTGGTATGATGTAAATGATTCATGTCTATGTGAACCACAAGGCCTCTCAGCTCTGCTCTCACCATTAACGGCTGTCAATTGGTCAGACATGAACCTTGATTTTTCATTTTGATTGCGACTATGGTTTCGTACAGCAGGACGGAACCTTGAATTGGCATTCCAGTTTCCATCTCTATTGCCATGGTGGTCGTTTCTATCATAATTATATTTTCCCCTCCTCGAATTTGCAGATTGGCGTTCTCTCATTGAAACTTTCTGAAGTGGGGAAGAAAATCATGTAAAAAGGTTATTGAAGGCTATCATCATGGTTAAATGTCATAGAAATGGGAGCAAAAACATAAGACCACCTCAAAAAATGGAAGCAATTGAGTAATATAGTTGTATCTTATGACCTATATAACATTGTGCATACCAATTAATGGAGAAAGTGGGGACAACCAGAACCATGTAACTATCATCACTCTCCAAAGCATGCAAAGTTCAAGGGAAGAAATTTAAGGTAATAAAGGCGGCTCATTACAAATTGGTAATACGTGACTTACAGGGTTTGGAAGATAAGTCCCAGTACCACTGCGGTGTCTTGGCATTTCATCAACATACCGTTGATACACATTGACAGGTCTATTTGAAACGGATTGGAGAGGAGTAACAGGAACGACATGAGGCCCATAATTCATAAATTGGGAGAAGAGATTCACATTTGACGAAGGTGGTCTCCCAGGACCATCCCATGGGAAATGGCCTTGTAAATAGACGGGTGGCACCACAACAGGTGAAGGATAAATCATAGGAGGATATCGTGGATTTTGACAAAACCGTCCGTACTGCAGGTTTTGCCAATGACTAGAAATGTCACCATTAAGAATGTCAGATTTATGCTCTGATGGATCAAGAGATGCAACCTTTCTTGTAGAACTAGAAGTAGTTAACATGTCAGACTGATCAGGTCCATCAGATGATTCAAAATTTTGTCCTGAATCACTGTAATCCAAACCTTCATCCCAACTAAAATGGCTAGCTGATGCATCTGGAGTTCCTGCTTCAGCTGGAATGTTGTACACAGGGCATAACAAAAATGGAACCGGTGGCCCTGTTATTGTGAAGGCCAGCGGAGGAACTCCAGAATTATCCATAGTTCTTTGCCCTGAACCTGGACCTAGGAAGAATGGAGCAATGGGTATCATCGAATCTGAACCACTTGCCTGAGATGCCTCAAATCCAGGCTTTTGACGAGTTGGAACCGGAAAAGAACTGATCAATTCAGGTCCAGTAGCTCTTTCTTCCATTTCAGTGCCCACTACTGATTGTGGATTCCAGTCTCTGCCATCGTCATCTGCCTGAGAGGAATATTCAGATACACTCTTACCTTTCCCACCCGCAGCGGACGGAAGCACAGAAGCAGCTGTTTTTCTACTCCGTTTCTCTCTAGCTGGTTTAGAGACCTTTTCTGATGAACCTTCCCAAGAACTTTCAGATGAGGTTTTACTTCTAAGTGAACTTGTACGCAAAGCAGACAAGGATCTAGAATTTGAGGTTCTTTCATCAAAGTAAACATCATTACCCCTGTTATCTAGATGTTGGGAAGCATCTACATGATCTTCCCTAGTTGATCCTCGAGTTTCTTTAGACTTCTGTTGTACTTTAGAAGAATTACCAGAGTTGTCTACTCTAGATGGAGTAACAAAATTACAGCCAGCTGAAGTTGGCAGATGCTTATCATTTGGACGAAGCATTTCAAAACCTCCATTATCAAGATCAAAACCGCCACTAGAGCCCTTGTCTAGTTCAGGCCATAACTCATTTTCCATTTCCCCTGGGTCTATTTTAGGAGAAACAAAATTTTCACTGGATGGCTCAATTTGATCCTCCGGGTTTGAGGCTAATCCAATGCCAGAAAAATAGTGGGCCAAAGGAGAAGAGACCAATCCTTCGGGAAACATTTGAAAATTTGAAGGAAGAACTCCGCTCAAATTTCTCTGATTGTATCCCATTGATAGAGATTGAATGTGAAAAGGCAAGTGACCTGCAGCTAAATTTAATGGAATAGGAACCTGACCATTAAAGCCATGAGCTGTAGATGCCTTCAAATTCACTAGATCTTGCTCTTCTTGTGGCATAACTTGTGCATCAGGAATTGAAGAAAAATCCTGACTTACAGTGCCCAAGCCCAAATCATCTTGGTAACTACTTACAGGACTGTTCAGATTACCAACAGCATCAATGCTCAAGCCTGTTGGGGCATGTCTAATAGATGAAGGATCATCACCCGAAGATTTAATGTCATGGCTTGTCTTCATATCCGATTCAATATTCTTTATCCCATTACTATCTGACCTCATGGAAGCAATCTGAGTTTTACCACCCTCTGGCATTCTGTTCCGCCTTCCCTGAGAGCTAACTTCCCCATATGTTTCAGTAAGCTCAGGACTAGAACGAGTCCTTGCAAAAAGATATCTTCCTTGAATATCAGTCACCAAGTTCTCTTTAGCATTATAACTCTGACCTTTACCATTGTGCACATTCTTATTGTAATTAGAATCTTGCCTAACCTTATCGGAGGTCTTTGAGTTGCTACTGCTACCATAACTCTTTTGGCTCCAGGTACAAGAAACAGTGGATACATTACTAATCTTACTTGTGCTTTCTGATTGCTGTGAGGAAACACCACATAATCCTTGAATTCCTTCAGCTTGAGTGTCATGCCTGGAGGAGATACCATTGCCTCTGCTGCTTGAAACATTCCTGACATTATTGGATCCATGAGTGTTGTCCAAAATTGACAACCTCATGAGCCACAGATTATTCCCGGGTGCATCAGGGCGTTGACCACTGCCATGCCTTTCCCATGTATTCATGAAGAATTGATTTACTTCAAAATAAAGGTCCTCTTTGGGACAATCAAGTAACCTTGCCAACTTATTAGCTCCAAATGCAAATGCACTGCGTATCCTAAAGAAATTACCTGGAAAAAACATATTATTGTTATGCACAATAAAGCCTATTATTAGCAGTGCGTAAAGGCGACAATAAAATTTGACAACTCAAATAATGCAAAAGCAACACAACCGTTAAAAAGCTTTACATAGATGAACATGAAGAAATTTAATAGTATTCATACCCATCTTTGATTCATGAATGCTTAATCATATAAGTTCCCAAATAAGTGCCAAAACAGTGCAAAAGTAAACAAAATGATGATTCTAAATGTTCATTATCACCTTTCTGCCTGCCAATACCAATCTCTTCAACTTACTTTCCACCAATTTATGTTTAATATTTCAAAAGTTCTCAGCATATGACTCTCTTGGTCAAATAAGATTCCAGTAAAAGAACAAAACTATGCAGAACTAGGATTCCAATTGTTTACAATCACCTTTCTTCCCTGCAATAACAGTCTACTCATATTCCTTTCTACCAATTTAAGTTCACTGTTTTCAAAATCTTATAGCATGAGACTCGATTAGAAATTCATTACGATATATTTTCAAAAGGATTTACCATAGGTCCATAAAAGAACATGATAGAGGAAAAAATGATATTTTAATATATCAAACAGTTATGCCACCAGAAGCATAGAAAATTGTAAACAAAGGAGCAAAAATTCATAAAATGTGGATAAACATCTAAAGCACAATGAATAACCACTAAATAGTTATATACATAACTACCTTTACTGACGCTACGCCCAAGGTTGTTATTTATACGCAAAGGATCAATCACATTGAAATGTTTAGAAACAAAGGGCTGACCATGATTTTCTTGGCAAACAGCATATCTAGAACTACAAGTATCAAGAAAATATTTGCTAAGTAACAGTTCTCCACCATCTTTCCGAGGAGGTTCAGCTGCAAGAAGCATTTCAAACAAAGAAATTAAGACTAGGAAGCTTGGAAACATTCTGCAAGTAAAAGGTTCTTGTTCAAAGCTTAGCATTAGATATTCCAGAAATTGCAATACCTGTTATGTCTGGCAGAGAATTAACCGGAACAGGACCCCAAAGGCTGACGCAAAAATTTTCCCAATCAAATTTGCTAAAGAACTCAAGAAAACGATACAGGACCTATGCATGACAAGGGGAAAAATCAGACGGATGTACAAGCAAATGCAAAGCCATAAAATAGAAAGGTAAACATAGCCACCTCCAGCGGTCCAGAAAAGGACTTATTGAAAACATGGAATATGTAAAGAACCAAGGTTTCCAGAGCATAAGTTGAGATAAGTCCATGATGAGCACCCAATATGCGGCTCTCGTAATAACACCAGGCCTTTATCAATATGATGCTACGTTTGAATAAATGGTTCTGATCTATCAAATGATCAACCTACATACACGGATGTTAAGTTTAAACTTACACAAAATCCAAAAAGAAGTCGTATCATTCAAAAAACAAATCTGCAGACTTGTATTGAAGTGTCAGGCTTAGCATCACTAACCTCTTCAAGGAAACAAAGGGTACATAATCCGCCAAGTTGATTAAATGAAATGTCTACAACAATATTTTCTACAAGACACTTAATTATCTTCACCTGGAAATGTATGAGAAGGAAAAGCAAATACCAAAAGGAATTAGTGTATTAAGATAACAAGATTGAACAAATGCCTGGAAGAGATTAAACAACTAATTTTATGAAAGAATTCTAAGTATAAATGACAGAATTCAAGGTTCCATAGGAACTATCAACAAATGGCATTTCATTCCGACTTACCTCAGCCTGAATGTACTGAACTTCTTTAACACGGAATTCAGTATTCTCATTCTTCTCATTTTCCAGCATATCCCGAACCTGGTGAGCCCATGTATCCTTCAAACTTTGATCCTTACTGAAGGCCGTCAAATCAATATCTCCATCAGGCAAGTATGTCTTGAGGGGCACAGACCCAAAAGTAAACACCTATCACCAAAAAGCAAGCAACTCCTCTTCAATATAATATTTTACATTCATCCTCTACTCATGGACCCAAACATGAAATGTAAAGATTGAAACTTTTTAATCTTTCATGTGATGACATTTAGCCTTAACATTTTTAATCAAATACATGGACACGAAAATGCACAATTAGACAACACGTAATACATAATTCAAAATAATGACATCGAACAAGATATAAATTATAATGGGATAGTCAGTGGATTGGACCTGACAAGGGAAGCACTTAGAAATGAGGCGCTGTACATAATCAGCTACAGCAATACGGCGACCTTCCGAGGGTGCATTGGGCCGAATGCAGGCTATAAGTTCAGCTGTTTTTTCCTCAGCCTTCTTCCATCGCTCCGAGTCAACCACCCGAAACGCAGAGGCAGATTCATTCGGTAACAAACCATTCGGCAATAGCCCGCTAGGTGGCTGCAGCGCCGCCCACCCTTCATGCTCTCCCATGCAATCCTAAACCACTTTTCGTCCCTAGCAATTTTCTAAACCCTCCCGACCACCACAACGCAACCAAAAACTTCAAAGTTTTAAAATAACAAAAAAGAAAAAGGGAAATGAATCGTTTTACAATACGGCCAGTTTCCTGGCGAATCTAAGATTTAAGAAAGAGAGGATTTTTTTTCTTCTTCTTTTCTTTTAATTAATCCGCCAACAAAGCCAGAATAATTTCCAAGGTAATGCAGCATATACAGCCAAAACGAAGCGCGGATGTTCCAATAAATTTCCAATGCAAAATGATAAAAAAGATTTTTCTTTTTTTTTTTCTTCTTCCTTTCCCTGGTCGATTAACAAAATTCACAAAACCCTACAAATCAAATAATGGAAACTGAAAAATAGGAAAGAAAAAGAGGGGGGGGGCGAAACCCTACAAGTAATGAAATGGGAAACAACAAGGGCTGTGAGGAGATCAAAAACCCTAAATACAAACTGCAAAAATCCTGGAAAATGGGAAGTATCAGCAAATTAAAAACAACAAGGGCGAAAAAGCGTGTCAAGGATCCAAAAAAAAAATACTTCTTTAGGTTTTTGTGGTAAAGGGTCGAAGAAAAAGAAACAGGGGACGAAGAAAATAGTGCGTTTGGTTACAAGAATAATAGGCTTGGAGGCGCGATAGAGGTATATAGTATTTGTTTGACGTCGAGGAAGTTCGTGCATTTGAGGGTTTCTCTTATATTTCAAATGAAAATTGAGGGGGGTGATGATAGTAGAATCTCTGCCAGAGAGAGAAACAGAAGAGATGAAGAAAAAAATGTACATGTAAATTTGATGAAATTATTTAACTATTTTGTATTTTTTAAGATTTTGTTAATTTTGGATTAAGGGTTAATAAGATATATCTCTATCACTCGAATTTTAAATTTATCTACAATGTTTTCTATTAATAAATAAATAAATAAATAAAATTTTAGTTTTATATTAATAAAGAAACACCTTTGATTATCTCTACAGTCAAGTTATACAAAAATCATACGAATCAAACGATTTTAATAGTAAAAGAATTTTTAATATTTTTTAAGATCTCAAATTCAAATACCATAAATATTAAAACAATAAAAATATTTAAAAAATTATCTTTAAATAAATATTACATATAAATTAGCCCGAACAAGCCGAGAGATCTTGCACCCAAAAAAAATAAATTATTCGTGGCCACACCTATCTAATGGTCAGACCAAAAGCAATAAGCATGCTCATGGTAGGTGACCTATCTAATGGTGTCATCCAAAAAAACTAAAGAATTCTAAGAAATTGTACCAAATTAATCTCTCTCGTTGGATCTTTTCTTTTTTACTATGCTCCTTCTAAATCACATATTCTCTAAAATTTTAATAAATGATATCTATCATATTAACTATAAAATTAGATTTATTTTGTTAAAATGTATTTATAAATATTAATGGTGTTATTTACATTTTAATATGTTAAATTTAAATTATTATTGTAATTAGTATGCAATGCATGACATATTTTTTCAGTTGGAATCTTTAATATTAACGTAATTTAGGATAAAAATAAGATTTAAACGAAAATAAGTTGTATGAGTTTTATTCAAAAATAGATAATACATGTCGAAAATACTTATTTATACCCACGAGAGTTGAAACATTGAATTAAGTAATACAATATTACGTTTAATAATGTAAATTAATCGTAAAATATATAAATAAAACTCGATTATATAATATTGTTTGATTGAATTCTTTAATTAGTAAAATCTATAAGACGATTCTCGATTATAATTTGTTGATTTGTTCTCTAAGTATTTATAGACTTGTGTGTAAAATCATCGAGTAGGATGGGTAAAATTGTCATATTGGAACCAAATCTGTTTAAAACGGCAAGTCGTTTTTTATGTCGGGAAAGTACTAGCCTCTTTTCTCTCAGCCGGAAGCATTGAGTTGACTCACTCGTGACTCGAAAACCGGAGTAAGAAATGGCGAGGAGGCGGGAACACCGAGGGCAGTCGAGTCAAGACCGGCGCAATGAGCGAGTTGAATCGGAAACTCGGGAAAAGAAACTCAGCGATGTAGACGCTTCGGAGCGTAAGCTCATCGGTATTTTCGTAGTCTTCTTCATAGTAATTCCGGCAGTGTCTGTTCTCGTATACGTCTACAAATATGGTTCAGGAGCGAAACCTTTGGAACCGGTCGTAACCGAACGAGGACTCATCAAAACAGATATTAGTTTCCAGGATATCCTCACTGTAAGAACCGTATTTAAATTAAATATATAGGCTTGAGCACATTCATCATTTTTTTTCAATTTTCAGCTAAAAGTTTGAAATTATAAGTAATTTCAGGAGAATTCGAAGATAGCTGGAAATGAATCAGTAAGGAATTATAATTATCCAGTATTGGCTTACATTACCACATGGTAAGATAATTTCACTAAGGTAGCTGAAATTATGATAATCCAGTATTTGTTTCAAGCAAAATTTTTGCAGGAATTCGAAGGGTTATGAAATGGCAAAGAGGTTTAATTCTAAATTCACCCACTTATCACCCGTTTGGTATGATTTGAGAAGGTAAACCCGATCTTTAATTAACGAATTTGAAGCTAACAGTTTAAAATTTCTAAAAAGATTAAACAAATCTTCGCCAGCCATGGGAGCAGCTTGATTCTGGAAGGGAGACATAATGCTGATAAAGGATGGATTTCAGATCTTAGAATGAGAGGAGATGCTTTGGTAATTTAAGTTTATTTGTTTATCATTTTTGAATAATTTGTATGCCTGCTAGCAAAGTATTTTCATTATCATGAAATATGTTTTTGATATATTTATAGGTATTACCTAGAATAGTTTTGGAAGCATATCCTACGGAGCTGTTCAAAAAGAAGAAATTGAGGAATAAAGCTATTGATCTCATAGTAACTGAGTGCAAGTAAGTCTAATTTCTTACTCCATGGTCTTTTGTTGCATAAGACATTTTTTACAAGTACGTCCTAACAAGTTGCTGATCTGTTGTAATTTTATTCGTTGTGGATTCTTTCTTTAATGAATAGAGAAATGGAGTATGATGGTATTGTGCTAGAGTCTTGGTCAAGATGGGCTGCATATGGTATCTTGCGTGATCCAGACTTGAGGAATAAGGTAATTATCACCCTAATTGATGTCTCATATTTGTTAAAACTGTGTAATTCTGGTCCCCAAGACTTGGGGTTTTAGCCACTTTTTGAAGTGGCATTTTGTGGGCTATACTGCCTGATCATGCAAATTTGTTATTATTTTCTGTACTCTCTGATTTAACTATGCCATTTTTTTACCTGGTACATAGATTCCTTTTGTTGTTTTTTTCTGTTTGGGATCAACTTCTTTTTATTTCTTTCATATTCTTTTCTTTCTGGATTCACAATCCTTTTAACTCTGTATAAAGTTTGGGGCTCCAAAGCATTATCTCAAGTTTGAGATTTTCTGATGCAATGCGTTATTTATGGGTGACTAAGCATTATGCACCCTTTTAGCTCTATATTAAGTTATGGGAATGAAGCCTTGACTCAGTCTTTTTTTGAGGCTAGGCATTAGTGGCATCTAAACTAGAAGTCTTGTTACTATAAGGAAACCTGTACAAGAAAAGCCTTGTATTTTCCTTTTTCTTATTTGATATCAAACTTTGAGTTTAGCTCAATCGTCATGCATTCTTCTGTTCTGATCTGTAGCAACTCTTTGTTTGTAGCAATTAAAAATGAAACAGTCTACCTAAATTTAGTTCTTGCTGATTTATGAGGTCTGAAAGATTTTTTGCTGTTTTCAAACCTAGGCCATCACGTTTATAAAACAACTTGGACATGCACTGCATTCTGTGAAATCTACCAGGAATCCTGAGCAGCAATTGCAGTTGATATACGTTATAGGCCCACCACGTTCAGATGCACTCCAGCAGCATGATTTTGGACCAGAAGATCGTCAGAGCTTGAGTGGTGCTGTGGATGGTTTTTCACTCATGACGTATGACTTCTCGAGTCCTAATAATCCTGGTCCAAATGCTCCTATCAAGTGGATACGCTTTACCTTGCGCTTGCTTCTTGGTTCCACGGGTAACAATGCTAAGATATTGGCTCCAAAGATATTTCTTGGCATCAATTTTTACGGCAATGATTTTGTCCTTTCAGAAGGTATCTGATCTTCTCCGATATTTCTTAAGCTGATTCTAAACCTGTCACATTATTAAACTGTCTAGACTATAGTCATATCCCTAAGACCTAGTGATCTTAACAAATCTGTGAACTTCATAATCGAGCCCTTAGCTTATGTTAAAAAAGTTGTTCCGCATCTTAAATGTCCTTCCATAACAATTTGCAACTTATACCATTAGAGGTATATCTGTCGAAAGATGAGTTTTGCATGCGACTTTATAGGCTTCTTCTATCAACCTTGATCAGGTTCTGGTGGGGGTGGAGCAATCCTTGGTAGAGATTACCTCTCATTGTTGGAAAAGCACAGACCCGTACTACAATGGGAAAAGAACACCGGAGAGCATTTTTTTGTGTATTCCGATGATGACAATGCCAAACACGTGGTGTTCTACCCGTCATTGATGTCAATTCATTTGCGGCTAGAGGAAGCTCTATTCTGGGGAACCGGCATTTCGATATGGGAAATTGGGCAAGGTTTGGATCACTTTTTTTATCTTCTATAATCATTCCACTTCTGTTGAAACATATAATTTTGGGGCTTTCCCTTTCTGCTGGAAGAATTTCGGGTTTTATGCCATATGCAACGAAGAGTAAGGTCTGAGCTGAAATAAGATTTTCAAGTCCATGCACTCTTCTTCTTTGACATTTGTCCTTTTTGCACCGGTTATTGGTCCCACTATCAAAATAAATTATGGTCGTCTTGAAGATATCGGTGGTATCAATAAGATCTTGTCATCTAATATCAATTCTAGAGTTATGTGATTAAAGCAATGATTGTTATTCTTAAAGGTTTCAAGTTCAAGTACCATAGACTGTAGAGTATTTGGACGTTCATTATTAAATGATCGAGTCTTTAGAAGAAATATTACCTCTTGATCTAAACTAACTATTAGATTGATATAAAGACCGACTTAAAAAATAGTGATATTTTAAAATTTTAGGGTAATTTACGCGTTTAATATATAAAATATCAATTTTGATTCGTTTTAATATTTAAACTTTCAATTTTTTTAAAATCATTATTAAAGTTTAGTTTTTGCTTCATTTTAGTACTTTGTAGTTAAAAATTTTAGTTTTTATTTTATTTAGTACCTGTTCAAAAATTAAGTTTTTAAAAAAATTAAAAGTTTAAGTATTAAAATAGATCGAAATTAATAGTTTATGTACTAAATGCGTTAAGTTTTTAATGATGAGATACTAAAATGAAATGAAAACTAAACGTTAGGTATGGTACTAAAATGAAATGAAAAATAAACGTTATGTATGGTGTTGGTAAAATTAAAAGTTTAGATACTAAAATAGATCAAAACTGATAGTTTAAATACTAAATATGTAGTTTACCCAAAGTTTTAATTAAAATCAATCTTTGAAAAAGACGACATGTATCCTTGTCCGTCGTTTAAAACGTATAAGATTCCCTTTTTGTCCCTACGCATATCTCACATTGACAATGAATTGTGTCACTAAGCTACTAGACCAATTGATGCATTTGCCGTACAAAAGTCAAGCTATTAAGCTTCTCCGGACACCTGTCAGTCACACAAATCAACTGGAAAGTCCAGCTAAAGACATGATCAAATGCCTCTGATTTCACTTCCAATGTGTCATCAAATGAATGGCAAAGATCCCAATATCTGATTCCACCTCAGTTCCTTCTAGCACACCAAAAATCCTCCATTTCTGCCCAAGCTTCAAGCTTTTCCATCACATCTTTGAGACCCGGCTCTGATCTCATCTCAGCTTAAAAAGTTATGCCATGGAGGTCCTCCATGCAGCAGCTAGCTTGACACCTCTCCCAGTTCTTTGCAAAACCAGGAGAGTCTCATTCTCATCACTCCCGGTTGCTTCCCTGCCCAAAAATCCTAACTTTTCTGCTTTTGTCAAGACCCCACCAGCTCTTCATGGGGGTCTAGTGCTTCTATCTTCACTGCTTCCCGGTGGTTTATCTAGAGCTTTGTCGTACGAGGAAGCACTCCAGCAGACTACAGGCTCCGAGTCGTTGGATTTTAATCCAAATGGGGTCGTCGATAGTGTTGGCAGATTCGTGACCGAGAATCCCACTGTTGCAACCGGTGGTGCGGTGGCTTTGGCAGTTCCATTGATCTTGTCTCAGCTGTTCAAGAATTCAAAGCCATGGGGAGTTGAAACCTCAAAGAGTGCTTATGCCAAGCTAGGTGAGGACGCCACTGCTCAGTTGTTGGACATAAGAGGAGCCAAGGAGTTTAGAGAAGCTGGCGGCCCTGATATAAGGGGCTTCGGGAAGAAGCCTGTGTCGATTGCCTTTAATGGTGAAGACAAGCCTGGGTTCTTCAAAAAGCTGGCTTTGAAATTCAAGGAACCAGAAACTACCACCTTGTTTATCATGGACAAGTAAGATTTTGAATCCTATGCCTTTTGATTCATATATTCTTCCATGTATGTATGGATTATATTGACTGAATGTAGATATTGTTGCTGCTAAACCATAGCATATGCATATGGCATTGCTATAATTATAACTAGTTAAGAATCCACTCTGATTTGTGATGATATCTCTGCATCTGATATGAAATGGATCAGTGGTTGCACAAATAATGTAATATCTTCAATTTGCCTAGTTGCTTCTTGAGGATACGGTCATCTGCCTTCTCTTTAATCCTAGTGCTGTTAAATTTGTGTTGAAAGCCAGATTTGATGGGAATTCTGAGCTCGTTGCAGAATTGGTCACTGCAAATGGATTCAAAGCTGCATATGCGATAAAAGACGGCGCGGAAGGACCACAAGGATGGATGGTACTTTTTGGATGTCCTGAGTCATCTCGGTTCTTTAATTTAGCAATTGCATCCTATGAGACTGATTGCAATTTTGCAGAATAGTGGTCTTCCATGGATACCACCAAAGAAAGGTCTTGATCTTAGTAACTTGACAGAAACTTTAAGTGGGGCCTTAGGGGTATGTATCTTCATTTCATTTTTTTTCTCATGCAATTCCTAGATCTTGACCGAACTGGGAATTTTTTACATCTTCTGTTTCGGCAACAACAAGACACAAAAAGTATAAACCAGAAAATTTGCAGCTCTACTTCAACGCTCTTTGTCGGAATGTTTTACTTGCCTACCTTTTCTTTCGTTTTCCTCTATATTTTTGTGATGATATGCAGGACGGATCGGATGGCTTGTCTGTTACACTGGGGCTTGCTGCTGCTACTGGATTAGGCTTATTGGCATTTTCAGAGGTATGGTTTTTGAGCATTGTTACTTGGTTGTGAGTGTCGGATAGGGATATGTGTCGGAGACCGGTAGGCTCAACTTTTTCCAAGTTATGCATTTGGATGGTCCTTGGAGCCGAGGAACGTGTCCTTACATGTTTGAAAATGTGTTGGACATGAGTACTTGAAAAATGAAGAATCCGAGCAGTATAGTTTTTAAGTCCCTTCTATAATACTTGGGTATTTTTCATCAAAACAACTCAAATTGTGGTTTTCTCTCATCATCTTCAGATAGAAACTGTTCTTCAACTTGTGGGCTCAGCTGCTATTATTCAGCTTCTAAGCAAGAAGCTCCTATTTGCAGAGGTAAGTCTCCACTTCTATTTGAGTCTTTTTTCCCATGAATTTAATTGAAATTAAGTATTTTTGTGCCTTACGTTTTTACCCTGCGACTTGTAACAGGATCGAAAGCAAACTCTTAAACAAATTGATGAATTCTTAAGCACGAAAGTGGCTCCTAAGGAACTTATCGACGATATGAAGGTAGCCAACCTTATATTAATCATGCTTATTATTTCATTCTTTATCTATCTGGTAAGTGAGGTCGGTTTCTTGCTGAGAAAAGCTATTCCGGGAAGAGAAATAACCTATGTTGCCTGTGCTGAACTTGTCTGAAATACCATGCGGCTCAAACATAGATATCTTATATGTTCAACACGGGTATATCGAATTCCATTGCAAGATTTCACATATTAATTTGGAGGATCATATCCCAAATTCATATTCAGATACGAGTCAGATACATATGTCATGCATAGACATTTTTAACCACTGCTGCTTCTATTTTTGCATTTGCCCTTGAACTCAGGAAATCGGGGCGGCCCTTATACCACCAACCACTACTAGCAAGGCTCTTCCAGCACCTACAGAGGCAAACCCGGAGCCAAAAGACGAAGTATCGGCACAATCCGTACCCGAAATTAATGCAGTACCGAAACCAGAATCCAAGGCAGATGGAAGCTCTGGAACTCCGAGACCACTCTCACCATATCCTTCAGTAATGCCATTTCCATTTATCCTTAAGATGTTGTACATTGCCTGTAACAGGAACAGATTCCATCTTTTTATGCGCTGGAAAATCACTTATATTCTGCCAATGTTCATTTCTTTATCGTTGCAGTACCCCGATTTTAAGCCTCCTACGTCTCCTACCCCGTCACAGCCCTAGAGATTCACGATGTTAGTGAAGCCGGGGTGTTCAGCTTCTTCTGCAACCTAAGGAAAGCAAGTAAATTGGTTGATCGGTAAGTTTTCAAGCTATGGAGTGAATTGTGTGATCCTCCCTCCTTAACATGGATTTGTATAATAGAAAATAGAGTAGTCTGCCTCGATCTTCTTGTTGCTGCCCTTCTTTTCTTAATTATTAGGTAACTTGTAGATGTTGCTGTATGATTTAGCTTAATTCCATAGCTTCTCATTTGACGTTTGAGTTAAACTTTGAACGAATAATATATTTCCTCTTGCAATCCCCTTATTGAAGCTTAAAGTACCATTTCAGCCAAATTAACATGCAGGAGGATCAGTTAAGAGCTCATTTGGTTGGTAAAGTAAAAGGGTAAAAGTACCTTATAGGTCCTATTTGATTTCTAAGTTTTATTTTTAAAATTTAAAAAGTATATATATATTGGAAAAAATTAAAATTAAAAAGGTTTTGGAGTAAATTAGATATAAAATCATTATTCAATGATCTATTTGATGTTTTAGTGACAAATTTGCTACTTTTGAAATTTTAGTGTGGAAAACTAAAACTTACTCGAACATTATCTTTTTTAAATTTTATATATTCACTGTGTCATGTTAGTAATTAGTTAAAGGTCTAACGATAGCTAACTCTAAGTGGTTATATATTAATTAAATAAAAATGAAAGCGACCAAATGTTATTTTTTAAAATTCGATGAGTAAAAGCATACAAAGTTTAAACAAATGTGATCAACCATGTAATTTACTTTTTTTTTTTATTTTTGATAGAAGCTGTTAATTTTATTAAGAATATGAAATATCTCAAATTATAATAAAGATTAATAAGCATGATCGAAAATTAATCACATAATTAGAACAATTTTTTATAATAAAAACAAACTATCAATTTAAGATCACATAAAGACTATAAAAAAGATTAAAATTCTAACCAAGAAATTGGAAATTTTATTAAGAATATGAAATATCTCAAATTATAATAAAGATTAATAAGCATGATCGTAAATTAATCACATAATTAGAACAATTTTTTATAATAATTAAAACAAAACTATCAATTTAAGATCACATAAAGACTATAAAAAAGATTAAAATTCTAACCAAGAAATTGGAATAAAGATTGATACAAACAGATTTGATTGTATCAATAAATAAAATCATAAAAGGGGATCAAGTTATTAAAAGATCACCGATAAATCACAAATCAAACTCGAATGACATGAAAAGCTATCTACATAGGCAAATAAAGTAACAAGATAATATATAAACGTTATTTTGATCAGTTGTGATAATGTTAAATCAATCATTAAAAAAATATAAATAAAAACAACGATCAAATGACCGAAAAATATGTCAAAAGAAAAAAGAAACGTAATGTTTCATACATATATATTTATTGAAAATTGAAAATAAAAATAAAATTAATACTGTTATCAATTAACAAAGACGAAAAGAAAAAAATGAGTCGTACATCTTTTTTTATTATTAAATTAAGTTTAATTTTAAATTAATCATATTAAAATGGTATAAATACTTGTGTTTAAATAAATTTACCGTTTAATCATTAATATTTTAAAAGTTACGCGCGTATACATAGAGCTACGCGCGTGTAACATTTTGCTAAGCTTACATTGAAACTGAGTAGCTTATCTTCAAGTTTGATCATTTTCATTTCATCTCCCTGTTTTCCCTTATCCCCAACTGAATAACATAAATGAGATGCTGATAAGCCTCCAAAGCCTACATTTTACTCCCAAGAATGATACGAACAAGCCCTGGAATTCAATTATCAAACACCAAATCAAGCTCAAAAATGACCCCGCAATTCTCTCTACATTTACCCACATGGAATCTCTGGGTTTACCACCCGACAAGGCCACTTTACCTTTGGTTTTAAAGGCCTGCGGGAAGCTTAACGCCATTGAAACCGGGAAGAGAATACACACGAGCATTCGAAACACCAACTTGATCGAGGATGTTCGAGTTGCGACTGCCCTTATTGACTTCTATTGTAAATGCGGTCTGCTTGAAGAAGCACGTAAGGTGTTCGATGAAATGGGTGAAAGGGATTTAATCTCATGGAACGCGATGATATCAGGGTATGCCTGGCATGGGGGATTCGAGGAGGTGGCGTTTTTGGTGACGGCGATGCAAAGAGAGGGTTTTAGGCCGAATTCACGTACATTAGTAGCGATGATTTTAGTGTGCGAGGAGGTTGTGGAAGTTAGGTTAGGAAAGGCGCTTCATGGTTATTGTTTGAGACATGGGTTGTTTGATTTGTATCCTCATGTCGGTACTGCTTTGATTGGCTTTTACCTGGGTTTTGATGTGAATGCTTCTCGTCTTTTGTTTGATAAAATACCCATTCGGAATACAGTTTGTTGGAATGCTATGATTATGGGGTATTTGGATGTTGGAGAATCCTTGAAAGCTATGACACTTTTTGAGAAAATGCTAATAGACGGAGTCCAATTTGATTCTGTTACAGTGTTGGCTCTTATTCAGGCCTCCGCAGAATTTGGATCTATTGAATTAGGTAATCAAGTTCATCAAATGGCCATTAAGTTTAGTTACAGCAATGACTTGTTCATAGTAAACGCATTGACTAACATGTATGCAAAGGTTGGAAGTTTGAATTTGGCATGTAAATTGTTTGATGGTATTCCCACACGTGATGTTGCACTTTGGAATTCGATGATATATGCATATGTTGACTATGGCTATTATGAGGAAGCGATTAGCTTGTTTATTGAAATGCGAACTGAAGGCAACAAGGAAGATGAAAGAACTATTGTCGTTATGCTTTCTTTGTGTTCAGAATCAGCTGAGGGTTTACGAAAGGGTAAAACTTTACATGGTCATGCAAGCAAGAATGGGATGTGGATGGATATTAATATTCGGAATGCAATTTTGAATATGTATGCTGAACAAAATTGTATAGATTCTGCAAAAAAGGTTTTTGGTGAGACGAGTAATGTAGATGTGATCTCATATAACACGTTGATCTTCGCTCTGGCCCGTAACAATTTGGGAAGTGAGGCATTGGAAGTCTTTGGAATAATGCAAGAAACTAATGTTGAGCGTAACTCTTATACAATTATTTCAGTCCTTGATGCGTGCGAAGACGAAACTTATTTAAATATTGGTAGGTCAATTCATGGTTTTGTGATAAAGCAAGGGATAGAAATGAATGTACCTTTGAACTCTGCATTAACTGCTATGTATATTAACTGTGGCGATGAAGCTACAGCTAGGAATCTTTTTGAGACCTCTCCTGGTAGAGATTTGATCTCGTGGAATGCTTTGATTGCCGCTTATGTTAAAAATGACCTAGCTCATGTTGCCTTTTCAATCTTTAGCAGCATGATTTCAGAAGTGGATCCCAACACAGTTACCATAATAACTATCCTCTCATCATGCACCCATCTTGCTCATTTGCCTCTGGGTCAATGTTTGCATGCTTATATGGTACGGCGGGAATCCTGTTTAGGTCACAGTTTGCCTCTTCAAAATGCTTTTATAACAATGTATGCAAGGTGTGGAAGCATGAGAAATGCTGAAAAAATCTTCAGAAGCTTACCAAGGAGAAATATTATCTCATGGAATGCTATCATAACTGGTTACGGAATGCATGGTTGTGGTTACGATGCTATTTGCCTTCTCACAAATGCTAGAGGATGGTTTCCAACCAAATGAAGTAACTTTCATATCTATTATATCAGCTTGCAGCCATTCTGGTATGATAAAGGAAGGACTGCAGCTTTTTGATTCAATGATTCATGATTATAAAATCACTCCTCAGCTTGCTCATTATGGATGTGTAGTCGATTTACTTGGTCGTGCAGGTAGATTAGACAAGGCTAGAGAGTTCATTGAATCAATGCCCATAAAACCAGATGCTTCAATCTGGAGAGCTCTGCTTAGTGCTTATAGAGATCATAGGTATACTAATGAAGCTGAGGTCATTTTTGAAAAAATTGTTGAATTGGATCAAGTGAACCCTGGGAACTATGTCTTGCTTTGTAATGTATATGCTGCTGCAGGTCATTGGTCAGAGGGCCAGACAAATGAGAAGGCGTCTCAGAGAGAAGGGCTTAAGAAAGCCTCCTGGAACCAGTTGGATCGTTGTTAGAAACCAAATTCACTCTCACTGCTGGAGATAGATCACATCCAATGGCTGACAAAATCTATGCAAATCTGAATACATTGTTGCACTCGATTAAGGAAATGGGATATGTTCCTGATCTTCGTTGGGTATTGCACGACGGTGAGGAATTCATTTGAAGTCCAGCACAGTACACGACTAGAGATGCAAGATTTGGCCTAGAAAAGCCAGGATTATTAACGATTGTTTCATGGTTATGTCCTTACCAATAAGCAATCTACAACAGTTCAAACACAAACTAAAAGTTATGGTAAAAATAAACGATGGAGCATTGATGGATGTATGATGAGCATACTCGATAGATTGGTTTCACTAGCAGTTGTAATCGAAGGGTGCTTGCCTACCGCAGCCTTTCAATATTTGTTCTATGAGAATGTTGGGTTCCGAGAAAGGGAGTTTAAGACCATGGACGAGAGTGGCACAGAGGCAAAATGCAGCCTCAAGATCAGTGAGACCACCACACCAAGGCGCCTGCAGCATGGACTATTTGGGTCAGACGGCACACTGAAGCACAGATTAATCTATCATTATTTTATAACGCAAATAGATCATAATACATACATATATTGCTTATTACGTCGGAGTTTACAAATAAATATCGTAAAATCCACGACTATTTGTGATTGTTTCATGGTTGTCATAACCAATCAACAATCCACCACAGTTCAGACAAACTAAAAGTACTGGTAAAAAATAAACGATGAAGCACTGATGGGCACACTCAGTAGATTAGTTTCACTGGCATGTGAAACCTTCGGGCACTTGCCGATCACAACCGTTGAGTATGAGTCTAACAATACAGGTAGGGCTTCTGATGTGCCGGATTCTGAGAGCTGTACTGCAAACGCAAACTGCTGCATCAAGATTACTACCAGCAATGTAGGCGCAGCATCTGCTACTTACCTTAGGCAGCACTGCAAAGCAGACATCTAGCCCAGGGCATAAACTTGGAAGCGGAGCGGGAACCGGAGTTAGAGCTTGAGAGGTAAAGAAGAGAGAAGGTTGAGGGAGAAAAGAAAAACAGTCGTTGCTGTAGCCGTGGAAGCCATAACTGAAGCAACACAACACCTTGAACTTGCTACACTGCCGTCGAATTGTATGGTATAGTGAACTGCGAGTGGTGATGCAAATAATAAAAAGTGCTATTCGTGTAAGTTAAAATTCTGTTCTTTTTTGTTTGTTTACAAAGTAATGGTTTCCGTAGAAGTCTTAAGAAACCTAACTACATTAATATTCTCCTTAAATGTGAAAATAATTGCTGCCGTAGAAGTCGTAAGAAGCCTAACTCTCAAGTTGTCGTGCAAGTCGTAAGCATGAGAGTTGAGTACTTGTTCTATGGTGCTCGAACCCGGGTTCTCAATAAATAACAATAATTTATTTACCATGGAGTCCACTTGGTTCATGCTAAAATTTAACTCAACCAAAATATATATGGGAGTATATAAAAAACGATAAATTTTATAAACTCAACCTTAAAAATTTTAAATAAAATTTGAATCATAAAATATGATTCGTCAATTCAACTAACTCAAACATTTTTACTCAATCGAATACTTACTCGAATACTTAGACCATTCAAAACATCATACATGCAAGACATAAGTAGTTCAATCATTATGTTCATAACCACATATTAATCCATCATTTTGTCAAGCTAAGGCCATCAAGCCTTTCCCTTCTCTATACGCATCCGTCTTATTTGCGAATCTTACAAAACCAAATCGTTTACCTGTCCTATCCATTTTTCTGGCGATGTATGAATCCGTAACTTCGTCATGTCTACCTTAATCTCTTCCAATGATATCTTGTCGAAATATTTTGAACGAACGGCAAGTTCACCTTGTTTCCAATGATATCTTGTTTCCTCGTTCACCTTGTTCATAAGAGAGTAAATTGATTCATAGGGATTAAACTAATACAATCCTTATAATAAAAGGATCTGCTAGATACTTTTACCCTTCAGAAAATTTGTCCACATTATAAAAAGGATAAAAGAAGAAATAGATAGATTAACAATTATATTCCTAACCACATATTAACCCATCATTTTATTACGCAAACAGAACACAGTACACACATACATTACTTGTTACGTCGGAGCTTACAAACAAGTACTGTAAAGTCCAGGATTATTTATGATTGCTTAATGGTTACGTAGTAATCAACCGACAATCCACGACAGTTGAAACACAAACTAGAAGTAAACGATAAGAGTCTCGATGGACGAATGATGAGCATACTCAGTAGATTGATTTCACTAGCAAGAGCCAGGGAGCACTTGTATGGCACAGTTTCTGAGTGTGACATTAACTATAGCGTTGAGGATGCTGAGGGGGAGGAGGCTCCCGATATTGATGCCTGCGATACTTAAGTTTCTGAGAACGCTGCAAAGGCAAATTCTAACATTAAGACCAAGACCAGCAAGAATGCGGCAACATTCCGGGTTATTCGGCTGAAAAAGGCAGACTGTTAGATTTGCGATGGGGCAGGACGGCGGAGGCGGAGGCGCAGGCGGAGGTTGAGCGCTAACCAAAGTAAACAAGACAAGGTTAAGGGAAAGAAGAAGAAAAACAGTTGTTGAAGCCTTGAAAACCATAGCTGCAACACACCACCTTAAAATTGCTAAACTACTATAGGATTGTATGGAAGCGAAACGAGAGTGGTGATCCAAATGGTGAAAATGCAGAGATATTTATAGAAGGAGATGATCACACTTTCGAGTTGCTTAGGGTTCAAGATTTTTCTTAATGACGTTAGCATTTCTGCATGCAAAGAGACAGATGGTATTTTAATTTAGACCCTTCAAGATTTTTAAAATTCTCATTAACTTTTATTTATTTTTTTATTAACTTTAAGGGTAAAGTGCACAAATGGTCCGTTGATTGTATGATGTTGTTTTCTCGAGCCCATGACTATTGAAAGTTACAAAATACCCCATTGATTATAGGTTATTGCTTTGTTGAGTCTCTCTACTATTAAAAGTTACAAAATGGTCACTCGATTATTCATTATATTCTAAACTTGTCCTTTTCCATTAAAAAAAATTAACTGTAGTTTGAGTTAGACATTAACCTACTGACTAGAATATGATAAAATCTGATCTTAAAATCAAACGACTATCATATCTCTGTCTAACACAAACAACAGTGAAACAAAAAATGACGAGTTTACAACACAATGAATAGTTAGATGATCATTTTGTAACTTTTAATAGTTGAGGGACTCAACAAAAAACATTCTATAGTTGAGGGACTATTTTATAACTTTTAATAATCTGAACACTCAACAAAGCAACATAGTACTTACATATATAATAACTAATTTGTAAATATATTTCTACTTCCCTTTTCCAATATTTGTAGATTCTATTTAGGTACAAATTAGGGTTGGATAAGATTAGTAAAAACTAGTATCTCTAATAATTCGTTATTTGGTTTCTTATTCTTATCTTTTAAATATACACTTAAATATTACATACTTCAAATGGTGTGTATAGTATAATATTTAATTTATTTATTTATTTATTTTAACCGAGAAATGCAAGCTTTTATTTAATAATAAAAAGTAAATAAAAACACAAGCAACCGAGTGCAATCCATGTGTTACATAGAAGGAGACAAAGCATTAAACAGAAAAGCAAAAGTTTAAACGAAAAGGCAAACAAGTGAAACTAAAACAAAACTAAAGTGCTGCCTTTCTAACTTCATCCCTGCACCAAATATAGGAAAACGATGATACGCCACATGCAAGCTGTGTACGTCTATTTTTTTTTATAACGTAGGACCTCCCAAGATCAGGCTAAAGAGCCCGACCCTATAAGGCAACCTTTTGATGGACTCAAAGAACCCACCACTCTGTCCCCCCGCATTTTTTCAGAATTCCCAACCAACGCAGTTTGAACCTAAGACATGAGACCAACTCATAATCCCAAGAGCTCTTGCTTTGCCAACTGGTCACGCCTACGGTGGTTGTACGTCTATTTTCGTCCAAAAATTATTGGATGGATATTATATATCGTATAGTATCTATATTATAACATTCCCATAACATATAATATGTATATATTATAGTATATGTAGTATAATATTTAATATACATTATATTATATATAGTATGTATATTATATAGTATATGGTCTATATATTATAGTTATTAAGGTTAACTAAAATATTCACCTTTAATTTTTTTATATTTATTAAGGTTATAAATTTTAAACTTACTTTAAGAAATTTTCTTTCTTTCTATAAAGTTCTCAATTTTTCCTTCTCACGAGATTATATTAGAATTAGATTTAAAATATTTTAAATGAAAAAAAACTATACTATCCCCACAATAGGGTTGTGGTTATCCGTAATTATATTAGAATTAGATTTAAAATCTTTTAAATTAAAAAAAAACTATACTATCCCCACAATAGTGTTGTGGTTATTGGTATCGGCGGATCCATAAATATTTTTCATGGTGGACACAAATATACTAACAATATAATTTTTTTAAATGGTATAGGTACTAATAAAATTTTAAGATAGACACGTCCGTAAAGAAAATAACTAACCGAAAAAAATTCAGATTTCAGAGTGAACAAAAATTTTTTTAAGATAAACACTATCAATAAAACAAGTAATTAATCGAAAGAAATTCAAATTTTAGGGTCAACACGTGACCAAGCTTGGCCTCCGCTGCTGGTTATCCGGGATTATCCTATTCCACCACCAAGGGTTCAAATTTCATTCTTTGAAGATCTTAACAATAGGGTTGTGGTTATCTAAAATTTTCCTATATTTCCTATATTTCAAATTTACTAACAATTAGTTGATTTAGTATGATGAAATATTAATTTTTTTAAATAAAATTAAAATTTTAAATTCTAACATAAGTGAAGTAAATTATATTAAAATAATTTACATAATACCGAATATGAATTAATTCATTAATAAATTGAATGAGTGTGGTATTAAAAAAACACCATATATGAAGGGGAGTAATTTCTCAGTTGTCCTGGATGCCATTATCATTCACAAGAAAGGAAAAAAGAAAAGAAATTTTTTTTATCTCAAATCCAAACAAAAAATGGTTAATCATCATTGTGGTCCTCTAATTACCATTTCCATCACAATATCATTCCAAGAGTCAATGGGCCCTGGTAAGCACCAATGCAAACAATCATTCTGCACTTTAGCATTCTTATCCTTTGCAAATGGCTGAAACTGCCTATACGGTCCCGGGTGCCCGTCCGGCCTGAGCAGAGACATGCGAGTGGAATCCAGCAATTTCAGCGTCACCCCATTTTCAGCTCCTAGAGAAGCCGCCTGCTCGAATTCTTCCATCTCGACACCACGCATCACAGTGTCTACATCTTTCGTATCCACTTGGCCTTCTTTAAACGGCTCGGTTCTATTACAGGTCCCTCCGCTGAACCATTCCCCGTTCTCGAAATGGTCCGGCGTCGTCGTTCGAAGGAAAACGAATGCTTTGTGGCTCGAGTCCATAGTGAAGTTCAGCACCAGCTTCAATGCCCTGCGGTACGCATACTCGAAGCTCATTTCCGTTAAGTTCTTTCCCGGGCAGTAATGGCAACCCGTCACCGTGTTGTTCTCTCGATATATCGCGGTTTTAAGATACCATTTCCCGCCGGCAATCACCGCATAATCGAAGTTCTTGTACTGTTCGGTCCACGTTTCGTCGAGTTTGTCGAGGTGGAGCTGAGTTTCGGCCGAGGAAACTCCGTTTATGTCTTCAAAAACGTCGGCTTTCAAGAGGAACGGGGTCCAAATAACCGAGAGGGTGAAGTTGTGGGAGGGGAAGTGCCATCTTCTGGATTTGTATTGTTCATCGTGATAAACCTCGACAGCTTGTTCCACCTGTGGGACATAAATTGATCAATAATAGCATCCAAGAATATTTTGATACATTCCAACAAAACACAAAACAAAGAATGTGCAATGTGTTGCTTACGTTGTTTATGGGTTGTTCAGACGTCAAATTCAATTAAATGATGTTAACCAGCTAAGAAAGAGACACGAAAATGTATTAACATTAAGCTCTAACCATCAAAGCAAAGCTGTCTTCCACTACTATTTCATACTTTGCTATTCGAAGCTCAAAAAGGAATTAAGATGGGAGACCCACAGCACAGCTAAGGCTAATGGTCCAAATCCTTATTATGGACAAAAGCTGTAGCTAATATGGAAGTTTGTGCGTAAATTTTAGCAATAGTTTGTCTAAGTATGTCCCAGTCCTTGTACTCTTTCTAGTTTTGAAATTCTGTCCGTCTACTTTAAATTTAAATCTAATTGATGACACTCTTAGTTGAATTTTTTATTAAATTTTAGGGTAAACTACTGTTCAATACCTAAACTATCAGTTTTTAGTCCATTTAGCACCTAAACTTTCATTTTTATTAAACTATATCTAATGTTTAGTTTTTATTTCATTTAGTACCCTACCATTAAAAAGTTAATGTGTTTAATAACTAAATTATCAGTTTTGTTCCGTTTTAGTACATAAACTTTTATTTTTTTTCAAAACTTAAAGTTAAATTTTGAATGGATACTAAAATGAAACAAAAACTAAACTTTATGTATGATTTTGAAAAATTGAAAGTTTATGTATTAAAACAGACAAAAATTGATAGTTTAGGGTAAATTATGCGTGTAATACCTAAACTATCAATTTTTATCCATTTTAATACCTAAACTTTCAAATTTTTTAAAAATTATACCTAAAGTGTAGTTTTTATTTCATTTTAGTATCCCGTTCAAAACTAAATGTGTAGTTTACCCTAAAATTTAATATATGTTAGTATTAATTAGACTTGAACTTTAAATCAAACCTTTAAATATTAAAAGGTGGCTTATCAAATATTCAAATTTAAAGGAAGTTTAAATAAAGTTATCAATGGAACTTGGGGTTTTTTTTTTGAGAAAAGACTCCGGCGTATTACGTCAGAATTTTTTAAAGACTGAATTAAAATTTTTAAAAGTTCCGTGACTAAAGTGAAAATAACCTAAGAATTCAGTGACTACTAGTGTCGTTCACCCTAAAATTAAAGGGACTGAATCACAATTAATACGCAAAAGTTTCACGGTAATATTTTGACAGAAAAAAGGATCATATAAAGAAATTCAAAGGTTACCTGTGAGAGAATACAAAGGAACGACTGGACGTGATTACGGGAGATAGAATCGCCGATGAACGCCCACCATTTGTTCTTCATCAAATCAATAAACTTTTCCGGGTCGAACCTGGGCAATTCGCAAGCCCGGGGATTCCATCGCCAGTAGAGGTAGCCCGAATCGGGTCTGCCGTTTTTCATACAATTTTGATGAGCTTCAATGTCAAGGCAAGTCGCGTTCGTGTAAGCCGGACCCGACGGGTCGGGTACCCAATCACCCACAAACAGATCACATTGACCCGCAACAGAAGCTTCAAACATACATAATAAACAATTTAGCGATTGCTGGAGACACAAGTAAGCGAAGAATAATTTAAAACAACAGTAATCATAGCCAGCCAAAGCACACTGGAAAAGACTAGCGTTTTGAGATTTTCCCGGAAAATATCTCACCGTTTTGAACCGTTTGGCTCTCGTTTGCTAACGAATCACCGGCAGCCGCAACTTGAACAGGCAAAGAAGAAGGAAGAGGTGAGTCGGCTATGGCATTAGTTTCGACACGAGTCGGCGGTGGTGGTGACTCAACGGCGGGTGAGGAAAAAGTGAGTGAATCGGAGACTAGAAGACGAAAAGCCAGACCCAGTAAGAGAAGAGAAACTGCAAACTTTACTAATATGTGGTGGCGTTTGAGTACCGAGCATGGATTCAAATCTAAGCTCGTTTCCTTCTTCACCATGGTATTGTCGTTCAACCTTACCAATAAACTCCCGGCTGGTTTTTTTCCCCCACAACCACCCGAAGGTGTTTTAGGTTTGATTTGATTAGAGTTGTTGGGACAGCAGAGGTTTTATTACAAGGACGTGGCTTTTGTCTGAAACACGAAAACTGAGTCGCTGTTTGTTTGTTTTATTTTTCTGTGCCTTTTCCTTTTGGTGCTTGTGTTAATTTGTGGTGTTTAGGGAGGTTTGATTGATAAATAGAAAAGAGAAAATAATTTCTGAAATATATTATTTTAATTAATTTTTTTTAGATTTATAAAAATAACCAATAAATTCATAATACGAACTCCAATTTCGCAACACCGTTTCCAAATACGTAATGCGATTTTTCAAATTCGCAACGCAATTTTTAAAATCGCAACCCAATTTTGGAAATCGCAACGTGAATTTTTCTGCTGTGTTTATCTATGTCGGTAATTAAGTTCGAAATTGGCAAATTTGATTTGTTAAATTCGCGTTGCGAAAACGAAATTCGCGTTGTGATAGTTGTGTTTACCTATATCGGTAATTCGATTTTTCAAATTCGCAACGCAATTTTTAAAATCGCAACCCAATTTTGGAAATCGCAACGTGAATTTTTCTGCTGTGTTTATCTATGTCGGTAATTAAGTTGCGAAATTGGCAAATTTGATTTGTTAAATTCGCGTTGCGAAAACGAAATTCGCGTTGTGATAGTTGTGTTTACCTATATCGGTAATTCGCGTTGCGAATTTGAAAATCGCGTTACGAATTTGAAAATCGCGTTGCGATAGTACTGTTTACCTATGTCGGTAATTAAGTTGCGAAATTGGCGAATTCGATTTGCGTTGCGAAAATGAAAATCGCGTTGTGATAGTACTGTTTACTTATATCGGTAATTAGCATTACGAATTTGAAAATCGCGTTGCGATAGTACTGTTTACCTATATCGATAATTAGCGTTACGATTTTCGAAACTGAGTTGCGAATTTGAAAATTGTGTTGCGAGATTGTAGTTCGCGTTGCGAATTTGTTGGTTATTTTAGCAAATAAAAAAATTGGTTAAAATCGTATATTATAATGTATTTTCGGGCACTAAAGTTATTTTCTCAATAAAAAATAGACTAAAGTATACAAATGGTTCAAGATATTAATTTATTAAGTAATTCGATTATTAAAAGTTATAAAATATAGTTTAGTGTTGTTTTGTTGAGCCCTTCATCTATTAAAAATTACAAAATGGTTATTTCGAGTATTCATTATGTTCCAAACTCGTTTTTTTCTATTAAAAATTTGACGGTATTCTAAGCTAAACATTAATTTGTTGATTGTGATACGATAAGGTATGATCATAGAATCTCAAACGACTATCATATCATAGTCATCATGTTAACAACCATCTTAGAAAATCTAGGGACGGACACATGATTTTATGTTATGAGGCAAACTTAAACTTACGGGGGTGAACTAAAATTCTAGGGGGCGAAAATAAATTATCAATAGAAAATACATATAATTTTTTAAAAATATATGGTAATTTTAAATTTTCAGGGGGCGATTGCCCCTGTCCCTTGATCCATCCCTGAGACAACTGTCAATTTCTAACAAAAAAAAAGGATGAGTTTGAAACATAATGAATAGTCGGATAATCAATTTATAACTTTTAATAGTCGAGTGCTTAATAAAGCAACATCCAATGATTATTTTATAATTTTTAATAGTCGAAAAACTTAATAAAATATTATCCTATAGTCAGAAAACTATTTTTATAATTTACCATAGAAAATAAAAGGTGTGTAGTAAAATAATGAAGGAAAAGGAAAAGGAAATGAAAGGTTTCATTTCGTTGTTACTTAAAAAATACAGAAAATTGCTTGAATACAACCCATCATGTTTTAATTGAATTATCTTTCAAATTTTATTACTCCTTAAAACTTGTATAAATAAAGATGAAATTAAAATCAAATATTAAAAAATAATTATCCACCTATTCATTCATATTTTATAATTATTTATTTTAGTTATAATTATATAAGAATCACAATATTACAGAAATTTAGATCTAATTCACATGGGCTGCCTTTAAAATTTCCCCTGACCTTATTACACCTCTAATATAATTAGTGCATTGGAACTTGATGATGCTAAAGTACAACTGAATATATATTAACTTTAGCTTATGTCGTTTTAGCATGTAATGTCATGAATGGACCACTTTACCAATTTTATTAATTATAAAATTTGATATTCCTTTCCACACTCTTTCTTTCTCTCTTATTGGAATATTTAAGGCAGACCAAATCTTAAAGCTTTTAAATTAAAAGGGTATTTTTTTCATGTAATGAATTCAATTTATTATTTTTCATCCCTATTGAACTTTCACATTAATTTAGTCTTTAAAGTTATTTAATTGTATCATTCTATATCTTACCCTTAACTTAAAATTATAAACCATAATACCATAACATTTAAATCATAAACCTTAAACCCTAACTTAGGATTTATAATTTAGGGTTTAAGGATAGGGTATAGAATGATGAAATTAAATAATTTTGAGGGTTAAATTGATACGAAAATACGATAGGGGCATAAATGATAAATTTGATCTACTAAGGGCAAATGTGACCCTTAAGCCAATTAAAAACATCTATATTTTATTCACGATGTTGATTCAAGTGATAAGATACTTTATTTTGTTTAAATAATGGTTTGGGTTCGAATCTTTGTTTATGCAAAAAAATTCCGTTGGAAGACTCATCCACTAATGACAGATATATTACGTCGGTCGATCTGAAATAGTTAGGGTAAATTTTGCGTTTTTCTTTTTATGTTGGCTATGGCATAGTCTTTTCCACTTTTGCTTAGCCTTCTAATGGATCGATTCAATGGCTAATATGTTATTTAAGTAGGATAAATGAGCCAAAATAGGACTTGGGTAGTCAAATATCATGGCGCTATGGCTATGCCAACCAAAAACTCATTGGTAAGGGAAAAATAAATTCGTGTGTGAGCTCTAGAAATGTGACCGGTTGATAATAAAGAGACGAAATATTGTTTTCCACGTGCGATGTATTTTTTAATGATACCACGAAATAAAATAAAATGCCAAGAAAGAGTCGGTCCACGAGGAAGAACATGCCACGAATGTTTAGCACATCTTCCGTGTTATTGTCCCATTACCCATCTGGGTCATGTTTTTATGATAAACTGTTAAAACTCAAGATACCGTTTGGTTTTCGTCGTCAAATTATCATTTTGATCCTTCTAGTATTCTTAAATTTGGAGTATAAACTTTATATTTGGACCAAAATCGTAATAGACCCCATGTAAAACAAAGTCTTTTTGATCAGAGCGATTACTACAATTTCCCTTCCCATATCAGTTGGCTGCATGATTGCCAGAAGAGTAATCAAAGTGCTCTTGAAGTGGTGAGCCTGCAGGTGGCGGAGACACAGTGGATTTCGTCGGCTGCTGAACAGATTTCGCTTCCTCTCTTGAAGCAATTAAAACACCTCAACTGTTGTCATCCTCAGAGATGCTTGGAGATGAAGAATTCAAAGCCCAGCCCGTTGACAATGAAGCAGGTTCTCCATCCATTGACTGGAACTCGTAAGCGGAATCATCATAGTCATTAGACGAGGACTTCCCTTTGTTTCAACATGATCACGAAGAACAAGCTTCTTGTTGGTGACGGTAAAGTTTATTACACTTGAACAAGCACTACGCCGCAATTTCTTCTCATTTTTCGCATTCAGATGCACTTTCCTGGGCATTTGTAGTAATTCAAAGCAATTATAACACAAAACAGAGCACCACCAGCAATAGGACGAAAACGGCGACCACCACTGGCTACTACCACCCTCGGTGGATGGCAATGAACAAAACCACCTATACCGGAGTTAAAATCACTGGGCCATATAGCATGAGCTTGTGTCTGAAGCACATTCGGTTGGGGCATCGTAGTCCTAGACCTATAGAAATGTGAACCGAAAGTCCCAGGGTTCTCGATGTGGTACATCGGATTACAGGACACATCATAAGAAATTATTTTTTTGAGTCATTCGACTATTAAAAGTTATAAAATAAACTCAATTATTAAAAGTTATAAAATTATTATTTGATTGTTCATTTTGCTCTAAACTCGTTTTTTATTAAAAAAATTAACGATCATTTGAGTTGGACGTTAACATATTAACTGAGATATGATAGTTGTTTGAGGTTATAAGATCAAATTTGATTATATCTTAATCAATATGTTAACGTATAACTTAAGACAATCATCAAATTTTTAATTAAAAATGATGAGTTTAGAACATAATTAATAATCAAAAGATCATTTTATAACTTTTAATAGTCATATAATTCATCAAATCAACTTCTTACGGTTAAGAATAATTTTATAAATTTTAATAGGTAAAATACTCAGTAAAACAATATTCGATGAGCATTTACATATTACCCATAATTCTATTGTTATGCCAAACGAAAAGCAATGTTTCTGAGCTTCTTATGTAACAGTAACTAAAACAGTGTTGTGATAATGCGACGACGTTTTGGCTTGTATCAACTGGAATGCTGGGTACCTCGAACGGCCCGTCTCTCTACTCGTCGCTCTCGTGAACTAGCTGACAGTGGTTCTGCTGCTTACACTATCGCGGTTTGGAAGAATTGAAAAAATGAAGTGGTGCTTCGTAGCTTCTCTTCTCACCGTCCTCACCAGCTCTCAGGTCATTTTTTCAATTATTTACATCAGGCCCTAAAATTGTGATTAGATCTATATTCATTCTTATATTTTTGCAGGGGATCTTAACAACTCTATCGCAAACCAATGGAAAATACAAATACGATTACGCCACCATCCCTTTCCTTGCCGAGGTTTTCAAGGTATTTTTAAATCAAATCTCCTCTGAACTTCCTTAATTTAGATCTAAAATCGAAATTTTATTTTATATGTATTTGCTTTTTGTTACAGCTTATGGTATCAGGTGTTTTTCTATGGAGAGAGCGTAAGAAATCGCCTCCGCCGAAAATGACAACGGATTGGAGGACTGTTCGATTGTTTCCCATTCCTTCCGTCATTTACTTAATCCATAATAATGTCCAATTTTCTACTCTTATGTATGTCGATACTTCTACGTATCAGATAATGGGCAATTTGAAAATTGTCACTACTGGAATTTTGTTTAGGTGGGCTACTCTTAATTTCCGTGTCTGAATTTTGAGCTCTTTTTTTCATGTACATAACTGGATTTGGTGTCGATGTTCTCATGAGCTAGTAGATACTGTTGTTTATTGATTTAGGTTGTTTCTTAAGAAGAAGCTCTCTAATTTAAAGTGGATGGCTATTGTTTTATTGGCTGTTGGAACGACCACGAGTCAGGTATTCCACATTCCGAACTAAACTGTTTATGTTTTTGTACTGTGATATGTGCTACATTGATTTTTTATGCAAGAAACGTTTATGGTTAGTTAAGATGTCAGGACCAGTGTTGTACTAGAAGACTAGTAACAACATTGATGCTAGATCAATATTTAGTCTGTCAAAACTTGAACCCCTTGATTATTGGTTTGCTAGATTTGGAATAAATATGGAGAAACTACATATTGAATATGTTGGAAGAACTAGTTAATATTATAATCTTCTTTTCAACTAGTAAAGTGAATAAAATGCTTTGTAAATTTTGTTGCAAAGGAAAGAAAAACGAAGGGTTAGAAGGAAAGGTGAGGAGCAACAACTGGTTAAGAATATTTCTTTATAGGAAGCTGTTAAATCTCCTTGAAATTTTTAGAACGTCTTGTTTTCTCTTGTTGCAAACTCTTATCTGTTAACAATTTAGTGAAGTATGTAGTTCAAATTATTCTTCCGTCTTGTCAAGGTCAAAGGATGTGGAGAAGCTTCATGTGACTCCCTCTTCTCAGCACCAATTCAAGGATACATGCTAGGAATTTTGTCGGCTTGTCTTTCGGCATTGGCTGGTGTTTATACAGAGTTCCTGATGAAGAAGAACAACGACAGCTTATACTGGCAGAATATACAGTTATACACGTAGGTTCCCTTTTATTTTTTTCCAAAATGTTTCCCCATGTTAGTTGCATAGATTGATTTTATGAGTATAAATTATAAAATATCATTTTTTTTACCTATTTTGTTTTTGTGATTATATGGTCAGAATCAATATAGTGCAAAGTCCAAGCCATTTAAAGTGATTGATATGATCATTGGTTGATTTATTATGATCTGACTCTTCCAGGTTTGGTTCAATCTTCAATATGGCACGGCTGGTTATGGATGATTTTAGAGGTGGATTTGAGAAAGGACCTTGGTGGCAACGGCTGTTTAATGGGTACAGCATCACAACTTGGTTGGTTGTGCTAAATCTAGGTTCTACTGGTCTGTTGGTTTCATGGTTAATGAAATATGCTGACAATATAATCAAGGTACCCTCTTTCTGGCTATCCTTGATTCTGCTTGCATTTATGTGTGCATAGGGTTATTGCCATTTCATCGTAGGTCTTTTGTGTTCTAATGTTTGCACTTGGTGATTTCTCCTTGATAAATTGATATGTTTCTAAAATTTCTTTACTGCTTAATGATTATTGAAATTTTGGATGGTGAATTCCCCCCCCCCCACATTTAATTTAACAACTATTTGTTTTCACTTATTCCTTTAGGTGTATTCCACATCGATGGCCATGCTATTAACAATGGTTCTATCCGTGTTCCTCTTCAGTTTCAAGCCAACACTTCAGGTAGGCTTCCTTGCTGTAGTCTGAACAAGATATACGGCCTTTAATTTCATATCCAAGTGTGTTATTTTAATATAGTATTCCAGCCTGGATGTAGACCTTAAATTTATGTTCTGTTGGGCTTTGATTTTCATGGTTAATGAAAAATATTTAAACGTTCTCTCTCTGTGAAGCGCGCACACAAACATTGATCCAAGTGTACTAGTTTTCCGAACCTGGATGTTTACTATCATGGTTAATGCAAACACATGTAATTTAGAATATAAACTTGTTACGAAATCCATTTGTTATCCTTTCTGTTTGAATCATTCTATATAGTTCCTGAAACATACAGAAACTTACTCGCAGCCCCCCCTGCAGTTGTGCAGCCCAACTAGTTTTGCTTTCCTTTTTCTAACCTTTTCATCATTTACATTTTTGTTCATGGCATTCTTGCAGCTTTTCTTGGGGATCATTATATGCATAATGTCACTACATATGTACTTTGCTCCTCCGAATATGCTCGTAGACATGCCGTCGACAATTAAATCAGATCCAGAGAGCCTTGTCAATGTTCCAGTTGATCCCAAAACAGATTCATGATGACCGGCAAGCATCTTTTTTTTTTCTGAAGTATGTAATTCTTTTGCATTCTCTTATAAATGAAAATTCATTTGTTCATATTTCATTATCACAAAGTGAAATTCATTCAGTAGGTATTTACTAAGATATACTTCAGCTGAACCATATGACACGATAGGGATTGCTTCAAATTAATTTTTTAAATTTTCATTCAAATGGCCATGACAGTTAGCTGAGGAGAGATCGAAAAAGAAATGGCCATGAACCGTGGATTCAGTCGGAAAACACGGGGATTGCAAGGTGAGAAGCCTGGCATCGCCGGCTGGAATCTTTGTGTTGGTATTTCAGCTACTGGTAACTATGGTAGAAATCAAAGTACCATAAGTGGATCATACTTTTATGTATACAAACTTTTGTTTCGTTTACAAACCTACTCGGTTATTTTAGCTGTAGATCTGTTAACGAATGCATTAACCAACGGCCGCCACAGTGAATCGATTCAAGAAGACATGTATTAAATGAATTTTGTTTGATTGGTTGTATTAAGTATATTCGATCTTATTGGTTCTTATATGTTGCACTAATAACAATATTAATTGAATTAAATTTAAGTAAACTACATATTTAGTACTTAAACTATTAATTTTGATCTATTTTAGCACCTAAACTTCTATTTTTTTTAAATTACAACGTTTAGTTTTAAATTCATTTTAGTAACTGTCGTTAAAAACTTAACGCGTTTATTACCAAAACTATCAGTTTTGGTCTATTTTAGTACTTAAATTTTGAACGATGTATTAAAATGAAACAAAACTAAAGTTTTTAACATGAAGGATACTAAAATGAAACAAAAAATAAACTTTAAGTAATGATTTTGAAAAAATTGATAGTTTATGCATTAAAATAAATTAAAATTGATAGTTTATGTATTAAAATAAATTAAAATTGATAGTTCAGATACTAAATATATAATTTACCTTTAAATTTAATCGATAATTTTTAAATTATTATTATAATAAGATACCAACTGAAATAATATTTTTTTCATTTAAAAATGTGAGTATTAGTTATAATTATGCAGATATACAAACATAAATATATAGAAATCAAGCGTGCGCTCATAAACGGTTAGCGGGCTCAGCATTTGAAGTCACTAATATACCTACTGTATAAAAGACGAAGTGAATAGCACTGCCGGCAGCACCAAACATTTTAAAAAAATAAAAATAAAATCCCTCGTCTTTTCCCTTTTATTTTAAGCTTCTGGCGCCAACACATATTTCCCCTTTCCATCCAAACCCTAGTTTCAGTAGAAAGGAACAGAGGAAAAAATGCCGAGAGAAATAATCACACTACAGGTGGGACAATGTGGGAACCAGATCGGAATGGAGTTCTGGAAACAGCTCTGCCTCGAACACGGCATCAGCAAAGAAGGCATTCTTGAAGATTTCGCTACTCAGGTTCTCTTTCCTTTTCGAGTTTTCTCTTATAACTGTAATTCTTATTAGCATTTATTGTTGAAAGCTTCACGTACCGGGTAAGTATGAAAGTTCATTTTGATTTTTTTTGGTAGATTTATTGGGGATACAATGTCTGTGATAAATTTGAAATACAATACTTGTTAATTGAGCTGTCGGATTAGTTTTTGAAGTTTCATTAGGCGTAGATTTCCCCATAATTTGATATCGAGATAATTTTATGTGAGATGTAAAGGAATATGTAGTGAGTCACTCAGTTCGAGCGAGTTAAATTAAACATCAGTATTTCAATACTCGAGTGTTTTAATTTTCTCAGCACGGTTGATGCAGGGAGGTGATAGGAAAGATGTCTTTTTCTACCAAGCTGATGATCAGCATTATATACCACGGGCTTTACTCATAGATTTGGAACCTAGAGTGATTAATGGAATTCAAAATGGTGAATATCGAAATCTCTATAATCACGAGAACATCTTTGTTGCTGATCATGGTGGAGGTGCTGGAAACAACTGGGCCAGCGGATATCATCAGGTAGCTTCACTTGTATTTTCTTTTGCGTTCAACTTTCTCCTACTTTAGTAGTGCTCAATTAATATATAAGTTCATTGATACTTGGACCTTTGCACTTTGGTGCTTATATTCAGGTAATTTTTTAACCTTTGTTGCCCATCTCATTGTGTCATCATTATAGTGTGTTTCAAGCAACGATCAGAAATTTGGTAGGCAGGGGATGCCGTGCATTATTTAAAGTGAACATGTTAGGAAAATTGTGGTGGATTTTTTCCTACTAATAGTAGTAATTATTATTTACAGCAGAATCAATAAATGGTTACATGAAATATTGGGGTCAGTGACATTTTCTTTTTCATTCTGTATTCATGTTTTTCTTGGTTTTATAGATAATCAAGTATATTACAAATTCCTGAGTAAAGATGTGACATGACATGTGTTATATGATTGTTTTCTTTTTAATCAATAATCTTTTATCTAAATCCAGTTCCTTATTTCATGATCTTGATACAGGGAAAGGGTGTTGAAGAGGATATAATGGACATGATTGACAGAGAAGCTGATGGAAGTGATAGTCTTGAGGGTTTTGTTTTATGTCATTCGATTGCAGGAGGGACAGGCTCAGGTTTCCTCTTGTTATCTTCATCTTTCTCATTTTTATCTCTCTTTTGGCCTATATAGGATATTAAATTGATTAAAGCTTCATTTTCTTTTCTGCTTTTGTTTTATATGTTTGCTTGATTTGGCTGCTAAAATTAGGACCATAGACAGTAGTATATTATTCATCATAAGGTAGTGAAATTTCTTGAAGACTTTGGTTTGGTTACAACTTGATTCTTTTCATTCTACAATGAAGGTATGGGCTCCTATCTGTTGGAGGCTCTGAATGATCGCTACAGTAAGAAGCTGGTCCAGACATATAGTGTATTTCCTAATCAGATGGAGACAAGTGATGTGGTGGTCCAACCCTACAACTCACTTTTGACTCTCAAGCGACTAACTTTAAATGCTGATTGTGTTGTTGTTCTTGACAATACTGCACTTAATAGAATTGCTGTGGAGCGTTTACATCTATCTAATCCTACATTTGCTCAAACAAATTCTTTGGTCTCCACTGTAATGTCTGCAAGTACAACTACGTTGAGGTATCCAGGGTACATGAACAATGATTTGGTTGGTCTTCTTGCCTCTTTAATTCCAACACCAAGGTGTCATTTTCTTATGACTGGTTACACACCACTTACAGTGGAGCGCCAGGTGCGTTCATTTCTCATATTATCTAGTTTGTACAACTGATGGGTTGAATATAACTTTTATTTTTTTTCGTATTGCTTTTTCAGAGTTTCACATCACTGAATATTAATGTTTTTAGTCTAGTCATGTACTGTAAGAAAGAAATTTTGGTGCGATATGATGCCACTGTTTCTCTTCCTGGCAGGCTAATGTGATACGCAAGACTACGGTCCTTGATGTTATGAGAAGACTTCTCCAGGTAAGATGCGTAAGTTGTCTTTTCCTTGCAAAATAGATTGCAGTTTTCTGACCATAAGCTTTCTTGCAGTCAAAAAATATCATGGTTTCCTCTTATGCACGTACAAAAGAAGCTAGCCAAGCAAAGTATATTTCTATACTGAATATTATTCAGGGAGAAGTAGATCCTACACAGGTATTGTATATTATGTTTATTATATAAATGCTATAAATTTTGCAGGAAATAATCTATTAACTCTCGCAATAAAATTTTGTATAAGAAAATTATATATATCATTGATAACTTGCTTTTTTCATGAGCAAGCGCCTGATACTTTTCTATTGACTTTGGCCATTACAGTAACATTTCCATTGTTTAGCAGTTTTAGTATATCTTTGCTTATAGAAGTGAAACTTGTTATAAGGTTGGTAGTAGTTCTAAGGTTTTGCCTGTGAATGCATGTTTTTTTTCCCTTTATCGAGAGATTATCAAACATATTGCTCTTCAATTGACTGTTGTCTAAATTTTTTTGACATGTTTTATTGGGCAGCTTTACCTTTCGAAGTGATATTGGGCATTAGACATGTTTTATTATTGTTCAGTATCTTCTCACTGGTTTAAGCTGCTAGTGCTAAATAATTTATTGTCTTTTATCAGGTGCATGAAAGTCTACAGAGGATTCGTGAAAGAAAGCTAGTAAATTTTATTGAGTGGGGCCCTGCAAGTATTCAGGTATCCTGATAGTTGAAGCAGTTCTTCTCGCTTTGGTTAATTCTTCTTTCTTATGATATCTGGACTAATTTGATCTTTTTGATATTTTGGTGTTTTTGTAGGTTGCTCTTTCTAGAAAGTCCCCATATATCCAGACCGCCCATAGGGTACAACTCTAGTTCTTGTCTTTCGAGATCTGATTGCTTATTTTGCTGTATTATGCAATAATTTGCAATATTTTGTATGAGTTTGATGATAACAACTTTGAGCATGTTTTTTCTCTCCTTAAACTTAGCCCTATTTGTTGGAATTTTTTTTTTTTGAAAAAATAAATTGAGAAAGAATAAAGAAGTTCATGCTGCCTGGATCAGGTGAGTGGTCTTATGCTAGCAAGTCACACCAGTATCCGACACCTCTTCAGTAAATGTTTGAGCCAGTATGAGAAGTTGAGAAAGAAGCAAGCATTTCTTGACAATTATCGGAAGTTCCCAATGTTTGCAGTGAGTTACCGCCTTATTTCTTGCTTCCATGGTTTTATTTCTGTTCCGGTTTCTTATTTATGACTACTGCCGATAAGCTTTTTGTTTGTGTTGTTATGAACCTATGAAATATTTTATACATGTGTTCCATGCATATGGATGTAAGTTGCTAACCTCTATATTTACATTAACCTAGGGACATGTGTTAATTCTATATATTGGTTAAAAGATCTAAATTCCATGAATAAAATATTTAGTGCTATTTGTTTGTTGTTCTACATGGTATTTTACTTTCAAAATCAAATAATATTACACATTCGGATGCAATAGCCATTGCATTATGATGACATTTTATCCTAATCTATTTGCCATTGTGAACAGGACAATGATCTTTCAGAGTTTGATGAAGCAAGGGATATAATAGAAAGTTTGGTTGATGAGTACAAGGCTTGTGAATCACCAGATTATATCAGATGGGGAATGGAGGTATGTGCCTTGCTAGTCTCAACTTCTCCAATTTTGAGCACCTTGTGTCTGTCATTGATAACAATGCTGTATGCAGGATCCTGGACATAATTTAACTGGAGAAGGAAATGCCTCGGGAACACTGGATCCGAATTTGGAAGTGTGAGTGAAATTGTGTTTTCTCTCAGGTAAGGACTGTAAGTTTAAGGTTGATTCACAGTTACTTATGTTGAGAAGTATGGGGAAATCGTTTTAACATTTAAATTCTTTCGGGTTGATAACTGTTTTGGGCCATTGATCTAGTCAAGAGTATGCCTTACATGTTGTTAAATATACTTTATCTCTGTTGCAATAGTGATACTATAAGTTGTTCAGTTCTACGGTGTTACTTATGTTGGGGTAGGTGAGACATGAACACGTGGTCGAGTTGATATAGAACCCACATTGTCATTGTCATTGTCATTGTCAATCACTGCCGTAGGGTTTAATGTTGTTCTCTATCGAGGAAGCCCTTAATGCCCTCCTAACTTCACTGGTTCTATATTGTGTGTGTTAGTGCAAGCCGTGTCCCTGCAGCATTCCATGCATCTCTGTTTTACTTTTCCTAAAATTATATGATAAAGGACGCCTACTTGGAATTTGTTTCTTTCAGGATACCACATCAATATTAGAAGCGTTCTGGAGAGTGGATTGTAAAAAAGAAAAACCATGTTTTTGCATTTAATGTAAAAGAAGAAAACACGTGAAGTTGTTCTGTTTCGTGTATTATTTGTGTGCTAAAATCGTTTGACCCGGGAAAATATCATTCTGCTACTTCTATCATCGAATCCATGTGCTGGGATCAGCATAGCATGTGCTCTCATTATGCGTTAATGGTTCCATATATTTTATGTATGTGTTTTTTATTTGGATTATGATCCCATACACCGACTGTGAAAAAAAATTACGTTACAAGTGGATTGTATTGATGCCATGGTCTTATTTTGGATTTATGATTATTCAAATATATCAGATAATATTCAAATAGACATGTTTGTGGGGCTTAGATTTACATAGCTTGTATGTCGAATAATTTTCGGTTGAATATTTGTTGCCTTTATGTGTTGTTTATTCGTGTCTTGTCTAATGCACTCAAGTCTAAATACTTATTTTATTACATGTGTAATCCGAGGAACTTGTTGTGGTAGCTTTTGTTATTATTTTGAGCAAAATAATGGTTGGACTGCACATTAATTTTCTGAGATTTGTACGTGTAAGACGCGAAGTAAGCAGTGAATGAAGGTCCGTCTTTGACCCCCCCAAAAATGATTTGCATTCGGTCTACTACAGTGCATTATTTGTCGTCTTCTAGCTGTTTTGAACGAGTTCATATGGCTAAACACAAAGATTAAGAGTCTGAGCCCACAGCCACTCTGTTATAAGTACATATTAATAATTTATTTGTCCACTTTTTTGGAAATAAATAAATAATTTATTTATTTTCCCAGATTTGAATTTTTAAATTTTATCCCCTCCTTCAGCGACGCCCGTAACTCAGGTAGGTAACAACGGCCAAAAATAATAGTTAAAAATAGGTAAAGTAAAGAAGTTGTCTTGCAATTTCTATATTGGTAAAATCAACTTCTGTTTCCTTAAAAAAAATTATAATCACCTGTGTTCGATCTATTGATCGATTATTCTGGATCAGGTATTACAGAGGCAAGAACGACCATCTCAACCCAGTTTACTCCATTCACAATCATCAGGATTTGAACTCTTGATCTTGCTTAAGGATTTAGTGTCTCATCCCCTAGATTAACTTTTTGTAAAAAAAAATTACTAAGTTAAGGCGATTACAAAGTTATATCTATTCTAAATACTCTCAATCATTTGATAATATTCAATCATCCTTGTAGTTGCTTGTGCTCTAACGCATAATTTCTAAGAACAACTGAGGTAAGTTGGTTCATGCCAATTTTTATAAATTTTATGGGTGAATGACAAAATAATTAAGAATTAATGTTTATGTTAATTTTATATGTCTTCAATTGAAATAATAATAGATTTTGTTCTTAAGATTTATATATAAATTTAATCATAATTTTAAAAAACCAATAAATTCACAGAATTTATAAATTATATGTTTAAATTTTATAAAATCAAATTAAAACAATCAATTTATCCATTAACAATAATTTGAAAAATAACCGAGAAATCCGTTGTGATTTTATCAAAATATCAACCTTTGAAACAAACAATGGCCCATCAACGGTCTGTCTTAACAGAAATATTGGAAAAGAACCACTTATATTATAATCAACACTTCAACAAAATAAAATAATCTTAAAAAAAAACACTCAACAAAACAACTTATTTATAGGTCCTCAATCATACTGCTTACTGTAGAATCTATTCACCCAATAATAGCCTCAACCTCTGTATTTAAATCTAACTTTATCCCTCAACCATTTCTCTCCAAGCTTTCCTTTTCTGGCTCTGGGGTTTCTTGTCTCTCTCCTATTGCCCGCCAGCTAGTAATTTACAAGCTGATTCGTTGAGGAAAAATGGCAGGTATATCTTCAGGAGCATTAACGGGTGTAGTGGTTATTCTGGCCCTTGATTTCGCCATTGTTTCACCTTATGTCGAGGCCCAATCTGCAGCACCAGCTCCTTCTCCTACAAGTGATGGTAACTTCCTTTCTCACTGCCTCTTTTTGGGTCTTTAGATCTCTCTTATTTGCTTCATTATCTTCTCAGTAGTGTCTTCTTCTGAGATGTATCTTTTCTGGGATAAAAATGCTGCTGTTTTGACGGTTTATATAATTAGATTTGGTTAACATGGAGCAGGAACATCGATCGACCAAGGGATTGCTTACGTGCTGATGCTTGTGGCACTGATGCTCACATACCTTATCCACCCACTAGACGCGTCATCCTACAGCTTCTTTTATAATAATTCTCTAGCTTAGTGATTGAGAGATTCGTTTATGTCATGGTTGCAATGGAAATTGCTATGCGGATAAATCCATGAACTTGTTTTTCTTTTTCTTGAAGTGATGGATGGATTGCATTTGTTTTTTGAGAGTTTGATTGGTTCTTTCTTGTATTGTTTATTCTTCTCCATTCCATTTGCTTCAACGTGATATTTGATTGGTTATAAGTTTTAGGGTAAAGTACACAAATGGTTTATTGACTATAGGGTGATGTTTTATTGACTTCTTCAACTATTAAAAGTTACAAAAGTCCTCCTATTATAAGACATTATATTTTAAGTCCCTTAACTATTAAAAGTTATAAAATGGCCACTTGATTATTCATTATGTTCCAAACTCACATTTTTAAGTTAAAATTTGATGGCAGTTTGAGTTGACGTTAATCTACTAACTGAGATATGAAATAATATGATCTCAAGATCTCAAACGACTATCATCAAGTTTTAACGAAGAAGGACGAGTTTGGAACACAATGAATAGTCAGGTGACCAATTTGTAACTTTTAGTAGTAGAGGGACTTAAAAAACGTCTTATAGTCAAAAGACCATTTTGTAATTTTTAATAATTGAAAGACTTAATAAAGTAATAATCTATAGTCGAAATACTATTTGCGTAATGTACCCGAAGTTTTATTAATGATAAATCATCAGGAAACAAACTAAAAATCTGAAACCCTCCCCTAACCAGCAAGCAACAAGGAAGCATCTAAACATTCCAGGCATGCATGTTTTCAGTGAGATTAATAGTAATTATCTACATCCCAAGAACAAGAACCAATATCATCATCGAGTTTAATGGAAATGTCGGAACAATCTTGTTCCTAAATACTGTCTTCTGGTAACATCATTTGTTCGGAAAATATCGGCGCCGAGTTATCATAGTCAAAGTAATCAAATGAAGCTCCTTCATCTGTTAACAAATACTCATCTGATAAGTTACTGGTCCGGTTGCACTCTTTTCCCGTGAGCTCCGGCGAGTTAACATCTTTCGAAAAGTTTGAAGCTCAGCCAACCTGAGAACAGATGTAGGGGAGGAAAGGGACTGAGATTCTTGCCCAGAATTATACCCCGGAATCGTTTCCAATTCGAAGTTGCTAACAGCGTTGGGGCGTTTGATCCGAACCGCGGTTCTATCGTAAACCAACGCAGCTTCTTCGGCTTTGTCCTAAGTCCCGAGCCACACCCTGGTTCGACTCGCGGGGTCTCTGATTTTTGCCGCATTTACCCCACGGCCTTTCGATCATCTGCTAACAGCGTTGGGGCGTTTGATCCGAACCGCGGTTCTATCGTAAACCAACGCAGCTTCTTCGGCTTTGTCCTAAGTCCCGAGCCACACCCTGGTTCGACTCGCGGGGTCTCTGATTTTTTCCGCCCATTTACCCCACGGCCTTTTCCGATCATCTCGGTACTTCACACATTTCGACAAACCTTGTTGTCGTTGTTGTTTCTTGGCTTGCTTGGTGAGGTTGAAGGCGGAACAGTCATCGATCCCGACGTCGTTTAAGTGCCTCTTAACTCTCCGGTGCTCGGTTTTGTCGCTCGAGGAAGAATCCGTCGCGTCGCCGTCGGTGACTCGAACCCTCACGATCTTGGAGGCATTGGCATTGGGATTGGATTCCATTGATAGCAGCTTTCTCGACGCCTTGTTGGTAACCGTTGTTTGCTCTGCTATATTCATATCCTAAACTTTAACATCAAAGATGGCAAGCTTTTCTTTTTATGGGGAGAAGAATAAATAAAACAACTGATATTTTCAAAGAAGAATTTAAAGGTTATAAGAGAGTTAAGTGCGAGAGACTAGAGATTAACAACAGAGTTTCAGAGTCAAAATGTCAATAATTGCAATTTTTTTAGGACTACATAACTAATTACCCCGAATAATACCTTAGCTGTTCGTTGAATTGGTTTCAAATTTAGTAGTTTAAGGGATGGTAATTTTTTGGTAAAGTACACAAATGGTCCCCAACTATAGGGTATTACTTTATTAAGTCTCTCAACTATTAAAAGTTATAAAATAATCTTCTGACTAGAGAGTGTTGTTTTGTTGAGTCCCTCGACTATTAAAAGTTACAAAATGATCACCCAACTATTCATTATGTTTCAGACTCATCTTTTTATGTTAAAAAATTGTCAATTGTTTAAGTTGGATGTTAACATGATGAATAGGATATGATAGTCCTTTGAGATTTTGTGATCAAATTTTATCATATCACAATCAATAAGTTAATGTTCACCTCAGAATACCATCCATTTTTTAACGGAAGATGACGAGTTTGGAACATAATAATAGGCATGTGACTATTTTGTAGCTTTTAATAGTCGAGGGACTCAACAAAACAACACTCTATAGTTAAAGGACTAATTATAACTATTAATAGTCGAGGGACTTAATAAAATAATACCTAGTAGTTGGTGGACTATTTGTGTTCTTTACCATAATTTTTTCCCGATCTCGATGAATTTTGACTTAATTCAATTTAATCGGAATAAATTTGTTTTAATTAAAGATTAAGGTAAATTTTTGATTAAAAATTTTGAATAAGGTCGAGGTCGAATTTGAGTGAAATCAGTTTCTTGATATATTTATTAATATATTTTTTATTTTATTTTTGATAGAAGCCATTTATTTTATTAAAAAAGGAAATATCTTGAATTACAATGGATATTTACAGTCAGAATTGTAAATTAAGCATATAATTAGGATAATTTTTTAAATTATTAGCATAAAAATTAGTAACTTAAGATCACATGAGGACTATGCAAGGAAATATTAAAAAACTTAATCAAAACTCGAACAAGGATAGATACAAACAAATCTGTTCGCTTCGATAAATGAAACAAAAGGGATCAAACTATTGAAAGACTATTGATAAAATCGTAAATCATAGTTGAATGACATGAAAACACTATATATGAACACAAATTAAGTATTCGAATTCAATTTGAGGGTTTAAAGTAGGGAAGATCAGCATGATAGCAGATAAACGTCATCTTTCTCAATCGTGGAGATGTAGAATCAACCTTTAAAAAGATAAACGAAAAACAACATCCAAACGACTGAAAATTTGTCAAAACACATAGAAAAATGTATAATAAAGACGGATGAAAATTTGTCATAAAGACAATTTTATTGAAAATTAAAAGCAAAAGAAAAAATATATGATAAAAAAAATAAAATGACAATAAAAATCTGACGGTCAACAACCAACACCAAGGTGGATGATGCCATCTATCAACGAAAATGAAAAGAAGAAATATGAATGGTACACCACAAATAAGAAAATTATATATTTTTTTCTTTATAATTACTTTTATATAATATATTTGATATTTTCTATTAATTTTTACCAAAGAGATGGTAACAAATACACAAGATTTTATTCACATAAGGTTTTGACAATTACTAGAGAGAAGGTCGAAGCCATCACCTGAAAAAGGAAGTAACAAGCCCATCACCCTGGTTTTGAATTGGGTAAACTATACAGATAGTCCTCTATGCTTTCGGTCTGACCGACTCGGGTCACCAATTTAAATATTAAGGGGAATAGTCTCTAACATTATCAATCCATTTGATTTTAGCCTCTAATATTATCGATCCGTTTGATTTTAGTCTCTCAGCCATGTTAGGTACTTAAACAAAAGGTTGAGCATTTATATATTTGAGCCTTAATAACAATAATAAAAATAATTGCGTTTCTAATGTGAATTTATTAAACCAATTTATCTCAATTTTCAGTAAAAAAGGATTAGTTTTTATATTTTGATATGATAGAGGGACTAAATTGTAATGAAAAAAAGGAAATAGAGTGAGGCGCCGGTGGAATTAGTGGAAACGACAAGTTAGGAGATAAGGCAGAGGGAAGGTGGGGTCCCATGTGGGAGAACTGCCCTTCCACCCAACACCACACACCTTTGTACAAAAGACAAAATGGATGGAATACGATAATCTAATATTGGAATAATAGCATCATCATCCTCCCATCGGAATGGAGTATATAATTTTTGGTTTCATTTGTTAACACTAACTTCCAAACCCTACAACTATTGCATGAAACAAAACAAACAACAAATTATAAATTTTATCATTCAATTTTAGTTTCATGTCTATTTTGGCCATTAAATTTTTTATTTTTTTATTTTTGCCAGTTTAGCATTAAATCAAAACGTAATTGTGATATGATATTCGTACGTGTGATGTAGATTGTTTTGTGTTGACATGACAATCACGTGTTATCAAAATGAAGCTTGAATCGCCCATTCTTTCGAGTTTTTTATGATCACTCAAAATACCAACGAATCCGTCTTATTATTTTCTATCATTCTATCACTTTAGATTTTCTTAAAATCACTTAAAACTTGTATAACTCAACCTCAAAATCAAAACTTATAAAACCTCAAACTACTTTGATCTACAAAACCCATTGTTCGATCAATATAAAATCAAGATCTATAACTTACTTTATCCTTCTCCACTTCTTTATCGTTGGGATATTGAAAAATCAAATGGGATCTAAAAATATTTTTTTTCACAAATAACGAAAAATGTTTTATGATCATTTCATAATTTTTAAATGACAAATATTCAATTATATAATCTTTAAGTATTTATCGATAAAATGATTATAATAATAATAAATTAAAAGTTTAACAATTAAATTAAAAATAAATAAATTTTAATGATTAAAATATGAATGAGTAAAACTTTAAGTGATAAAATTTAGGGTTAAGTATAAAAATGATCCCTGACTATAAGATACTGCTTTATTAAGTTCCTCGACTTTTAAATGTTATAAAATGATCCTTTGAGTTTAGAATATTATTTTGTTGAGTCACTCGACTATTAAAAGTTACAAAATGGTCATCTGACTTTTCATTATGTTCAAAACTCATCATTTTCTGTTAAAAAATTAATGGTGTTCTAAGTTGAATGTTAATATATTGACTGAGATATGATAAAATTTGATCACAGAATCTCAAACGACTATCATATCTCAGTCATCATGTCAATATCCAACTTAGACAATCATCAATTTTTTAACAGAAAATGATGAGTTTGGAACATAATGAATAGTCAGGTGACCATTTTGTAACTTTTAATAGTCGAGGGACTTAAAAAAGTAATATTCTATAGTTGAAGGCCTATTTTGTAAATTTTAATAGTCAAGAGACTTAATAAAATAATATTCTATAGTTGGGTACCATTTGTATAATCTCTTAGAATAAAAGAAAATTCATAGGTTGCCTCCTAGAACAGATCAAACTCATCAAATCTTGTGTATCATCCATTCGTTCAACAATCACTTCGATATTGCCACCTCATGAATTAATGTCATATTCTCCAAAACCAAAGCTTCATTAGTCGTAAGCGTAATTAGTTCATCAAATTATCTCAAATTTGCATGTAAAAACACACTCTTGCATTAGGAGCAAGTAATGGCTGAAACTCCATTGAAACCGGTTCTCCAAAAGCCGCCGGGATACAGAGACCCGAACTTTCCGGCAGCCAACTCCGGGTTTAGACCACCGCCACGAAAACCGGTGCTCCCACCATCTTTCCATCCAAGGAAAAGGAGGAGTAGATTTTGCCGTGTTTGTTGTTGCTCGCTCTGCATTTTCTTATCGGTTTTGATTCTCCTCGTTCTCATCGGCGCCATGATTTTCTACTTTTGGTTCGACCCGAAACTTCCCAGATTTCACGTCCAGTCAATTCGGATGACCCGATTTAACGTCACCAAAAAACCCGACGGGACTTACCTCGACGCGGCGACGACGATGAGGCTCGAAGTGAAGAACCCGAACCTAAAGATGACGTACTATTACGGCGACACTGCGTTTGACGTCAGTTTCGGGGAGGGTGGAGATGAGACTGCGACGGGAACGACGGCGGTTCCCGGTTTCACCATGGGGAAACAGAGCACGACGAGTTTGAAAGTGGAGACGAAGGCGAGCAACATGCTGGTGGCTGACGATGTCGGGAACAGGCTTCGGAACGGGCACCGAAGCAAGAGGTTGCCGGTGAACGTGGAGGCTCGGACGAAAGTTGGTTTAGGGTTGGCGGGGTTGAAGATTGGTAAGGTGGCTGTGACGGTTAAGTGCGACGGAATCACCATGAGACATCTTGACGGTGGCGACATGCCTAAATGCGTCATCAATATGTTAAAATGGTAAATAATACAACACTAATCATTTTCCAAATTTTTAATCCAATTGAAAATTTCAAGCGTATGGTTTAATACCAATTCCAGTCCCTTTACTCTACATAACTTACGATTTAATTCCTTACTTTAGTTTTGCATTAACATGGTCATCTTTTAACCATTGCCACTATTGTAATGGCATGGATTAATGGTCATCCAGTAGCATTGTCAAAGCAACGCAAAAATCAAATTAATCAATAATAAATTTATATGTTAAATTAATACATAAAGTTGTTTAAAATAATGCACTTTGTCCTTCTAATAGTAGCAACTATTTGTACTATTATTAATTTGGACTATTAATAACACTATAAGTAGAGCTATAAAATTAGCCAAATTAAAGTAGGAGGATTAAATCTCAAATTCAAACATAGTAGAGGAACTAAAATCAAAATTAGGCCATTTAGTAAATATTAATAATGTTAATTTTATAATTCATGAATTGTATTGTGTTGTTGAAAGTTGGTTTCTTCGATTGCAGGTTCACAATCCATTGATACATTTCACTTTGGCTTGCATCTTCTTCTTCTTCTTTTAGCGTAAATTGTGCATCTAGTACATAAACTACCAGTCTTAGTCCGTTTTAGTACGTAAACTTTTTTTTTCAAAATCATACCTAACATTTAGTTTTTGTTTCATTTTAGTACCCCACCATTAAAAACTTAACGTTTTCAGTACCTAAACTTTCAATTTTTTAAAACTTAACGTTAAATTTTGAACGGGATACTAAAATGAAATAAAAACTAAATTTTAGGTATAGTTTTGACAAAACTGAAAGTTTATGTATTAAAATAAACCAAAAGCGATAGTTTAAGTACTAAATACGTAATTTACCTTTTCTTTTATGTAATTGTTTAATTGAAAAGTACTATTAATTCATACATTTATGATAGTGGAAATGTAACATGGAACACCCAATTATAACGGGGGTTGGACTTTGGCTTCTTATGATGAAATTGGTGTTGGATTTAATTATTTGTTTTTTTAATGATTAATCATTCGCTTTTCTCATTAGTTTAGATCAAAAGAATCTTTAATTATTTTTTTTGTTAAGGTGGGGACTTATGGAGTTGGGAAATGTATTATGATGATATATTTTTTATTAAGCTAAAATGATTTTAAAGTAATATTTATTTTAAATATTTTAATTATTTGACAAAACTCTTAATTATCCTATAATAATTGTTGGTATTTGAATTCATAACCTCTAAAAATAATAACGTTTTATTTAATTATTAAGGTAAATTGATTCATGTTTTTCGTCTTATTATTACTTTTCTATTTTTTCAACTCCCCACCTAGGGGTGTAAACGAGCCAAGTCGAGCTCGACTCGACTCGAAAATTCTTAAATGGAGCTCGACTTGACTCGAAAACTCGCGATCTTAAAATTTTCAAGCTCGACTCGAACTCGAAATCCTGAACCGAAGCTCGTGAGCAGCTCGAAAAAGCTCGAAATGAAAAAAAAAATTCTTAAACTTAACTCGATTAAAGTCTCGAACTCAAACTTGAACATGAACCTTAAATACATGAAAATCTTAATGTATTTAAAAAAATCAATACATATATATTAATATCATTAATAATTTATTTTTTGAAAAAAATAAAATCTTAATATATTATATTTTCGAGCTGCTCACGAGCTTTTCGTGTCAGAAATCGAGTAGCTCGTTTCGGCTCGTTAAGAACTCGAATCGATCCCATTCGATCCGAGTATTTATCGAGCCTTGATCGAATCGATCTCGAATAGCTCACGATCTATCTCCTCTCATTTTCAGCCCTATCCCTACTATTAAAGTTCATTATGTTTGTAGGGTAGCTAATCGTGTTGCTCATACCCTTGCGCATTGGGCTTTATCGAACACCAATCCAATTTGATTCTTTTTTGATGAACCTGAATGTATTAAGCAAGTTGTAATTGATGATGCCATTGGAATATAATGATATTTCACTTCAAAAAAAAAAAATTTAAAAGATGTTTTGAATTGTGACGCTAGAAAATTAAGGGAATCCAAAGATAAGTGTGTTATCTTTTTTGTTCCTAGAGTTTTTTTGGGCTTCAACAAATTTAAGTGGCTGGATGGATATTAGTCGGATTGAATCAGGTTTCCGATAAATCTAATTCGAACCGAATTCGATTTAAAAATTATATATCCTCTAATTGATCGAACTCGACCCATCTTTTGAGATAAAATTTGAATTAGATCTGACCCAAAATAATATATTTATAAAAAATATTATTTTTATTCAATAAAAATAGATTTTTAATTAAAATAATAATATATAAAGAGGTCTTATTGCAATTATCCGTAAATATATAATAAAATTATATTTTTTTGAGTCGGATCAGATCAAATATTTTTCACCTTAAAACCAAACTCGATCCAACCTAATCTCAATTTTTTTAAAAAAAAATTGACCCGAAATTCATATCCATCCCTACTGAGGAATTTTATTTGAGAATCATACCATTAAAAAATATTCATTCAAACGTATAGAAAAATTATTGAAATTAAGAGTATCCCTAGTATTGATTTTTTGGTTGGCCGACGGCGACATCAATTTTAATATGGATTGTTGTTCAATTGTATTTATTTTGTCTTTACATATTTGATTTTTTAGTTTAAAATAAATCTATCTTTATGATAATTTTTTTATGGTACATTTTCGTCTGTTTCTTGACACGTTTTGATCTTTTTTCCCCAGTTGTTTGGTTGATTTCATCGTTTAATTTTTTCATGTTTGGATTTGACATCGATGTGATTGATTAAGATGATACTTATTTATTATCTTGTTGATATGCTCTTTTTGAGACCCTCAAATAAATTTGGATATGCGGTTAATAATCGGAGATAATTTTCTTACGACGCTCAACTCTAATTTACGATTGTTGATGATCTTTCAATAGTTTAATATTTTTATCGTAAAAATAATAGTAGTATTTATTGCTATTTAGAACGGTTGAGAATAAAAGTGCGTTAATGAATTGATACATTCTGATGGTGAAATGTTTTTCTTCATCAATTCAGGACTTGTTTTCCCTCACGATTCTTGTCGACTTATTTTCTGAACAAAATTTGAGTAATTTTCTCAACAGAAATTCCCATCTTTGTCGCATTAATTTTATTCTAATACCAAAAATTCCAGAAAAACGAAGTCTCACCTTTCGTCGTCTCCCCGTACCTTCCATGTGATTCGAGAACAATGGGAATATTACACCACAAATTAAATTCCGCATATACCTTTATTCCTTTCTTATTTTTTTATAACCACCGAAATTCGATCTATGTATCAACTAATTCAGATATGGTATTGTAGAGGTGAGAGCGACTCTCTCAACATAGTTTGCTCCATTCGCAATCGTCAAAATTCAAATCTCTTCCCTTGCTTAAAGAATCTAGTGCCTCATCCCCACTAATCTAACCCGTCGTTAATTATTCCTTTCTTATTGGTTGAAATAACTTCCAATTTAATTTTGAATTTCACATTAAAAAAAATTACAATGATAAATCTCAGTCACTATTTAAAATTTTTAAAATGTCTAAACCAAATTTTCAAACAGAAATTATACTTAATAAAACTTTTAAAAAAATAAAAGGAACTAAAACTTAATTATAATTTTAATGTTTTTGAATAGATCAAATTAGGTTTTTTTTTAAATTTTAAATAAGGGCTAAATATTAAGTTTCTAAAACTTTAAAGGTCAGATCTCCACTTGCCCCATTATCATATGAGAATGCAAGGACTATTAAGGGCTAGTTTATTACCAATCGATAACATTAGTAATAATTTTGTTACAAATCGATAATGTGAGTGACTAATTTATTACTTTTGAAACTTCAGTGAAAAAAATGATCACGTTAGTAACTAATTTCTTACGAATCGATTTGTTACTTTTGAAACTTTAGTGGGAAAAACGAAAACTAACTCGAATATTAGTGATAACTGGTGTAGTTTACCCTTATTTAAAAGCAATGGCTCCCTTCCTGTTTACAGCTACATTTATGTTCTATATTCATTGCTCAACTTCCACTGCCTCTCCTAAGCAAACTCATAATAAACATGGCTCGATTCATCAGAATTCAGAACCCCACTGCTCTGGACATCAAAAATACTCACTACAGAAAGTTGACGGTACAGCCGACAGTTTGATCTTCCCTGTCCACTCCTCACCCTGTTTCAACGTCACGGGTTTCTCGATCGCTGCTCCATCGACGCATACCATCTGCTTGTACTCGTTGCCTCCGAAATCTACCATCGCTTTTGATTTCTTCTCCCACGGATTCCACACCACTGTATGCAAACAAAACCCGAGTAAAATTATGTGGTAGAATGATTTTTGTGTCCAGCAATTTCCTCGGGAAATACTTGATCTTACCTACATCGGCTACTCCCTCCTTTCGGACGACATACGTCCGTTTCCTTTCATGATCGAGTACAAAGACTATGTTTGGAGTACTAAGATAAACTCGATCTACCTGTAAGATTATTTGAAGAACATTTCGAGCCAACATGAAACAAAGTCCAACAATGATCATTGACACAATGGCACACTTTGAAGTAATATGAAAGATCATGTACCTCGGATTCAAAAGTTATAGCATCTCCTTGTTCAGTAAAACGTTCTTTCTGGCAGAGGTTGTCGAGGTAGTCAATCGTCTCCGGCCCTTCTATCCTCACTTCGCTGTGGACACAGGTTATTAATACGACATCAAACGAGAAGCTTTTATGTTTCATCAGGTAATGCAACTTACCTTATGTCAGAAACCGACAAGTACGTATGATACGCAAAAGAGAAACTAAATGGCTTCCCATTGACATTCCTAATCCGTGATATTAAAGACAGACTTCCATCTGCTGCAAGTGACACTCTCAATCGAAACTCAAAACTGCATCGGGAGAACTCTGTTAGCAACATATGGACAACAAGAACAACTAATTCCAGCAATCAACGGCTACCGAATCAAGATTCCCTAAATAAGTGTATCACAAGCATTTACGCATCGGAGCTCGTACCTGTGAGGCCAGCACTTGAGATATTCATCGGATGGTTTAAGCAATAGGTTGATGAAGGATTCAACACCAGAATCATTCGGACTGAGAGGTGGAGGATCGTCATCGATCGTCCAAATCTTGCTCCGAGCAAATCCATGTTGATCGAGTGACCCGCAATTACCAAACTTAAACAAGCATCGAAGACATCCATCCACAAGCAACAGTCAATATTCCATATTATTACATTTACAAGATGACAGGGAGAAGACACAGACTACCTGTGGGAAACAAGTAAGGATTCCGCCTCGAACCGCTTTTGGAGGCTTAAAGATCGCCTAAAATTCACGAAATACTCGATAATCTTCAGCCACATCAAAAAATCTTGCTTGAAAAGGCCATAAATATTCAAAGAGATGAACTGGAATCGCTTACTTTGCTACTAGTAAACAGAAACTCTTCCCCTTGTTCATTTCTCCAGGAAGTGACCAGTCCTCCCTGTAAGCTAACCTATTAACAAACAACATCAACACGAAATTGTTCTGGAATTTCCACCAACACAAACGAAAATTAACAACATTGATTTCAATACCAAATGCGAAATCTCACCTTTGCTGAAGCACCTCTAGGGTTCTTAAGAAGAACCTTATAGAACCCATCACAATCCTTTGTAATCTCAGTTGCTGCCTTATGATCCCACACTACTGCAGAATGCCCCATTTTCAGAAACCACGTATTGCAGAAGCCAAAAAAACTCAAATAACAAAACCCAAAATTTGTTTCCGCTAAAAGAATGCCATTGAAAGTTGAAACCCTAAAACACAGAGATAAAGGTGGGAAAACCGGCAACTTTATGCATCTACACCTAACAACCCCAGATTCAGAAAGAAAACTGATAAAGAAAACTCGTCATTTACACTGCACAAGAAGTCAGCTTGAGTAAGTTCGAATAAGGCTAAAAGAAATCATAAATGTTTACTATCAAAATGGCCAAAACTCATTAAAAGATGGAATTGATATGAACAGTAAGAAATTCTCTTACTGGCTATAGGAATGAATTAAAAAAGTAGAAGAATTAAACCCATCAAAGCAATGCTCATATGCATGGGAATAATGGGCATTGGAGACGAGAATTACATGTCGAACGGTCAAGCCACAAGATTTTGAAAATGCTGGAAAATTTTCTTATTACGACAATAGGATATTTTTTATTAAATTAAGATAAAGTATAAAATACTATTTATTTTAAATATTTTTAATCATCGTTGATTCACTCTAAATTCTTTTTGAACAATTTTTCATTTAAATCCAAAACGATAAACCACATTTAGACATTAAAAACCTTTCTCACTTATTATACATCAATGAATATATTTTTAAATTCAATTTATTTTACAGGTAAGGTACTCAAATTGACCCCCTATAAAATATTATTTTATTAAGTCTCTTAACTATTAAAAATTACAAAATGATCACTCAACTATTCATTATATTTCAAACTTTTAATAATTGACTTAATAAAGTAGTACCCCATCTTCTGAGACTATTTTTGTACTTTACCCTTATCTTTTTCACCTTATTAAAATTTGAAACTTCGACTTCATAAGTGTTGTTCTGATCTTATCTTAACATGAAAAGAAATCCAGCCATCCACTTTGAGTTTGACATCACCAAATCACCAAATATTATATATTTTTTTAATCCATTATTAATTAATTAAATTATCTTCAAATTGTTTAAATAATGTCTGAAAATTAATATATATATATATATATTAAGGGGTAGAATCCCATTAAACGGTATAAAACTCTTTTAATTTTACACTTTTTTAGGACCATTAGATGAGAGAAATTAAATAATAAGAGAAGATATTCACTGAAAAAAACCAAGAGTTAATATCAATCTTTGATTTACCTCAATCCAATAATCATAAAAATGTGTAAAACTAAAAGAATTTTGTATAGTGTAGGTGGATCCTAACCCATAAATTAAATTTGACTGACTTAAAATAGGCTTAAGGGTCACTTTTTCCCTGGTCATAGACTCAATTTATCACTTTCTCCCCTATCATATTTTCGTATCAATTCAACCCTTAAATTGTTTAATTGCATCATTTTATATCTTATACCTAACTTAAAAGGGTTCAGGAGGGTCAGTGGTTTACGAGGCATTAGATCTCTTATGTAAGGTATGTGGTTTAACTCCTGACTATTACGAATGTAACAAATTAGGTTAGGAAGGTCTCCCTTACCTCTGTTTTATTCGATCAATAGTAGGCCTGCAAACAAATTAAACGTTCAACGAACTGTTCGACAATGAATGAACACGAGTAAAGGTCTCGTCCGGTAATCCGTTCATTTATAATTTAAAACGCATTTAAAATATTAAGATCCAATTGTTAATATTTGAAAACCCAAATAATTTTAAATTCAAAATCAATTAAAATATATATAAACCATGCTCATTTCAAACCCAAATAATTTTAAGTAGGCTATATTAATGAATAATGAATTTTATGTAGTTATTATTGTTGTTATTTACTTTCAGTTATGTTCATTTATTGTGTTCGATTATGTTCATTTGTTATGTTTGTGCAAGTTCGTTTACGTTGGTTCATTTATGTTCATTTATATCCGTTCATTTATGTTCGTTCATTTGTGTTCATTTATCATTTAAATGAGCAAATATGAACAAGTTACATTCCTTAATGAACAAACACGAACAAGAAATTTGTGTTCGTTCATTTATTCGGTTAAACGATCGAACATGAACATACTCCCATCCGTATTCATTCAGTTCGTTTACATGCCTAATCAATAGATCAGATACCGGTGGTTATACCAAAAAATCACTTAATTATTAGGGTAAAGTACACTAATTGTCTCCGATTATAAAATATTGCTTTATTAAGTCTATTAATTATTAAAAGTTACAAAATGATCATTTAACTATAAAGTGTTGTTTTATTGAATCCTCAACTATTAAAACACCAGGGATGAGAAGAGGATTTTGAATCCATTTGAGTTAATTGCGTTGGAGAAAAAAAGGTCGCAAAGTTTGGGGCAGATTAGGATGTTGAATCGTATGGGCAGCCTTCAGTTTTGGTCTTTGTTTGTGGAATCAATGTCCCACATGTTATTTTGCCCCCAGTCTCGTACAGTGGAGGTGAGTATACGATTATATTGGATGAGCACAATATACAACTTTATGATATTTTAATTTTATATCTCAAACTATTGAATGTATATCAGTTAAATTCATCCATTAATAAAATTATTTTTTTCAAAATAAATCACTGATATCTGATTTATTGATCAATTAATTTAAATCGAATATTGTTGAGACGATGACGACCCTCTCGACCTAGTTATATGTATATTATTTAAATATTTAAAAATAAAAGAAAAAATATAAAAGGAAAATATTTAAAAAGAAGGAGATAATTGACATGGCACTCGATAGTTATATTAACAAAGGGATCTAATAGATATGCCTTCAAAATTTAGGAATGAAATTGAAATGTCTTAAAGTTTAAAGACCAATTTAAAATAAAAATCATTACTTAAGGATATCAATATGCACATTCGATCTGAAAAAGTCATAAGTATATTAAGATATAAATATAATATATACAGGAAAATATACAAAGAATTATTAGACATCACAACCATGATTAACACGAATGCACGATAAAGGTAAAAATAGTATTAGAATTGCCCGTCCAGCTCAGTTGGTAGAGCGCAAGGCTCTTAACCTTGTGGTTGTGGGATCGAGTCCTACGGTGGGCAATTCATTATTCTGACTGTCGGAGGTCTTCCACGAAAGTTGCTCTGAACTTGACGTTGGGGATAGCCTACTACCTTATCTCCCCTCACCTCATTACATATGAGAATAGGGTCAGTTAATATAATTGAATTATTAACTTTTATGGGGTGAGATATTAAAATATAATTTAGGGTAAATTACACAGTTAATACCTAAACCATCAATTTTAATTCATTTTAGTATCTAAATTTCAATTGTTTCAAAACATATCTAATGTTTAATTTAATTTAATTTTAATATTCACAGTTAAAAATTTAACGCATTTAGTATTTAAATTTTCAGATTTAATTTATTTTAATACCTTAACTTTCATTTTTTTTTCTTTCAAAATTTAACATTAAATTTTAAATATAGTACTAAAATAAAATAAAAATTAAATTTTAAATATGATTTAAAAAATGAAAATTTAAATATTAAAACATATTAAAACTGATAGTTTAGATACTAAATGCGTAATTTACCTTATAATTTGTAATTTTTAGAAGGACTAAAACAATTATACCATTTTTGGAGGACCCCAGTTCGCACCGCATGAATGCTATATGAAAAAACAAATATTAACATTTTTTTCCAACAATCAGATGGTATAATAAAACTGAGATAAGATATTAGATCTCTTAAGTAAGATTAGAGATTCGAATCTTGGCCATTTCGAATGGAGTAAATTGAGTTGGAAGAGTTGTTCTTGCCTCTGCAGTACCCGATTTGGATTAGTCGATTAATAAATTAGATAGATGTGGTTATAAAAAAAACATGAACATTTTACCAACACAAAAAGTAAAAAAGAAGTAGATGAAAGAGTATAAAACTGATAAGAACCGGCAATTTTCTCATTTCACACATCAGACGGTCATTAAAGTTATCACAATCATAAGAGATTTACATATTTGATTGTTTCATAGATTTACATTCTTTTCTAAGCTTTCTTAGCACTCTGATTTTCAAATAAAAGAATACACATCAGTTCTGAAAGCTACTTGGTTTCCTCAAATTTAATGTTAGCAGTAGTTTTGGGTTATAAATTACATGCCAAAGCTACGTGGTTTCATCACATCTAATGTACAAGAAAGAGTTTAACTTAGTTTGCCTCTTCTCCTTGTTCATCGAGCCGCCACAGCATCGGCTCTCGGACTCGGATCCAAAAGTTGATGTAACTTGGCGCTGGAGTTCAACTTTTTCTCGTACATTTCACCGTCTTTGTCTTGTTTCTTATTCGTGATAATCTCCTCTTTCAATCCCTCCTGTGTTGCAAATGTCGTTACAAAGGATACGTAGTTGAGAGGGGAATGAACTACAAAAAGGGTAAACGTTCATACCACTAATGTAGCATTTTCTTGCCTTAGTTTATCGGATTTTTCGGTTAGAAGATTTATTTCGGATCTAAGTGATGCATTCTCTGCAGTCAAGGATTCAACTTTACAAGTAAGCTCTTCTGTCTCGGCCTATAAAAGAATGCAGTGCATTAGGTTCAGATCATTCCATTGTTATAGTTCATATCTGGTAAAGAGACTCAATGAAGATATATTTCTTATACCTGCTTCCTCAACCTTGATCTTCTAGCAGATTCTCTATTAGACTGTTTCCTTCTCTCCCGCTTCAGCTCCCGTTCGTTCTGGTTAAATTTCGTTTAAATTAGCTACAGCTTAAGACTCGTCACCGGAAATAAGAGAACACTAAAATGTGCATTTACTGCCACTGTAGTAAAAAAACATTAGCTACTTAATGAAGCAAAAATAACATGAAAGCTAAAAAGCATAGCTTTGAAAGCAAGTTACACAGAGCTGATATACCGGAGGTCCATTCGGTCAAAAATTACCTGCAACCAGACTTCAGGTGACATTACACATGGTACACTCGTAGGACTGGACTTCACACTCATGGTGTGAGGGTTCCTAAGCTCCAAAGCTGTGGTCATGTCAGGAGAAAGTACAGGTCCAACCGGTATAGGATAAATGGTTGCAGTCACCTCCCGCGTAGCAACCGGTTTAGACCTTGCTTCATTATTCCCTTCTCCACCTGCTAACACGAAGACCATAATCAATATGCCTAAACCTCCACAAATGAAAGTGGGACCGAGTGTGTCCCAAGATTCAATAATTTATATCTCATTGTTTTCATTTTTATAACATATTGCCCTCAGAAATCACAAAAAACTTTTGCATATTGAGGTTATTACTCATGAGTCTTAAGTCCCACATACAACTTCCAAGAAGTGAGCCAGCAGATCTCTAATGGGATTTCCTATTAATACGTAAAAATGATAATGTCTCCTAAATTTGGTGAGAACGTTGCACTTCAGGTAAACTCTGTTCGACGTAAACAATAAATATGGTGAAGAATGAGATCATACCAATGGTCAGTGTTCCCCACCCTGCTTCTTTTTGGTCTTGTTTGACCTGCCTGGCAGATGATATGCAATGAAAAAAATAAGCTTTAGCATTTGGAACCTTATAATTCTTTTAATGCCATGATCAAATAAAATAACTTGTAAAGAAAAGAAAAAGTTGTTGGAAATAGGTTATACAGATAGAAATGAGATCTCACCCCAGTTGCAATCCCATCACTATCATCAATGGAACCTTCAGTCTTCACACTGTCCACATGATCATAAAAATTAGTCGAGAAACTACGGATCAACTGGCAAAAGTTCACTTGGTCATGCAGTATCTTACAAATAGGTCGTTAAGGCATAGATGTGATCTCCTAAATAATAGTACTAGTTCGTACAGAAAAGATTAACAAACCTCTGGGACAGTTGGGGTTCAGCCCCGCTTTGAGCATTCTCAGCAGAACTGTTGCCTACCGACATTGTAAGGCCATCAAATCCTTTCAGTTTATTCATCAAACCTTGGTTTGTATTTCTTGAGGACTTTGTAGGTGTTTCCACAGGGGCCTGCATTACAATGCTCTGCTTATATTCATCACCATATTAGCTTAAAGCAAAGACTGACAACTTGCAAGCTAACTCACGGTGACGGTGAATGTGCATGCTTATCGACAATAATTAAGAATAAAAGTAGCAACAGTTTGAAAAGATCAATTCAAAAACCAAAGCCTCCTTATTCCTTACTTCAGATGATGATGGAACACCATGACCATGCGATCCCTGGATTTCAGGAGCAAACGGATAAAAAAATTCATTAGGGTATAACATGATACAACAGAAGCAGAAATCTTGGTTTTATTTAGCACTCTATTCATATCCCATGGAAGGGGTGGTACGATGAAATTTTCTTTTTAAAATAATACTCCAAGTAACAGATACTGGTGAAGTGAACTTACCATGGGAACTGCAGGATGCACATAAACTCCCCCATGAGGATAGATTGTTGCATAAGGTGGCCCATAAGATGGCATAATTGGCTGGAAGTGTCAAATTAGTACATTCACTAATTATTTACAGAGAAGTTCAAAAAAACTTGAATGAAGTTATTATATGCACTGGAGCTACATACATGCGTTGTCCCCCACATATAAGGGGGAGGAGCATGACCAGATGCCACAGCTGAATTATAATATGGTGGCATAGTGACTCGAGGACCATAATATGCCTAAATATGTAACAAACAATCATAAAATCCCCATTATAAATTCCATTAAAGAATAGAATATGAACTTTAGTTGAAAACAAAATGCCTCAAAACAGCAGCAGGAAAGAGGTCACAGAGTGCATGCATTAGCAAAGATAACCTGCATAGCTGCCCAATCTGGATAGACATGAGTGGCGATCTGATCCTGTTGATAGAAAAGGATTGACCGACACTCAGATATAAGCTTAAAATTTAATCTACATAATAGTCGCAAATTCTACTACAACTACCATAAAAATCTTTCCCCAAAACAAATTGGATAATCATACATATCATGGCACTTATTATTTTCTAGCATGAAAAGCTACAACTTTTTCCAAGATTCAACATATAAGCAGACATAATCTATTAACTTACTGAAGGTGACGGTGAAGATGGTTTGTCAGATTTAGATGACTTCCCTTCATCGCCGTTTCCCATTGTCGAGCACAAAAGCTGCAACTTAATTAACTTCGAGAACTTAGTTTACCTATCTCTCAGCTGCAATCAAATAGAGAAAGCTGCAATCAAATAGAGAAACAAGAAGTTGTGCTTGACAGCAAATTTCTTGATGACAATAAGAATGGCTCAGGAAAACATCATACAAGCAAATTGTCACTGAATTGCGATTAGCTTTGAATCATTTTGATTTAATATTAGAATTTCTACAATATTCTATGTAGTTAGAAGAGATCACCACTCTCATTCTACTTTCCTATTAATTTTTAGGTAAAACAGAGATAGAGGATTCCATCACCTTCCTCTAGAAACAAACAGGCGTTCCAGATTTGCACTTCTTAACGTTTAACGAAACAAAAAATTACCCATGCAATAGCCCAGAAAATATACACAAGAAAATAATATGAGGTTACAACCGTCTTTCTAGTAGCCAGTCAGTCACTTAGCGCCTAGCGGGATGGTGTAAGATGAGGAGTACGTAAGAACGAAGACAAATCACCGATTTAATCTATTAACAGCAGGACAATAATACCCTCGAGTCTGCAGTTAAAGATTTCTGCATTTCCCCCTATGAAATAGTTCTTTCGTAGATGAATCCAAAACAATTTTGAATATCATGACCTGCTAACCGCTAATTCAATTTTCGTCGTCTAATGAAACTCAGTACCAAAGAAGATCAGTCATAATAGTCACGCAAATCCAATCTTTCTAAACAGAAGTTGTCACCAGTTTACGAGATCTGGGAACAGAAAAACGGTTAAAATTACTAAAAGCCAAAAATTCTACAAAATTCAGTTATGATTTGAAAAAATTAATGAAGCTCGACTGATATTATTTTCACAACAATAAAAAACTCCATCACTGCAGCTTCAAATCAAATCCAGAACAAAATTTAACTCTAATCCTGCAAGTTCATCAGCTTTCTCAACAACCAAACATAACCTTACGCAATAATCCACTCACTAAATAATAACGGGGAAAAAGCTTCAAAATAAGAAACTACACATCGAACTTCAATTTCAACATACCTAGAAAGTCAGAGAAAAAAAATCTGAAACTCTTTCTCTTAGCAGTGGAAGAATAATTCACACTCGACAGCATAAAGTGGTAAAAAAGACTGCATTATCTTGACATTTGCAGGGGAAGGAAGCTATGGCAGGGTGAAGAAGAAGGAGAAGGAAGGAAATGAAGCGCCAAGGCAACAACCACGTCACCAAAACACGTGTCGTAGAAAGGAGCCAAATACGTACGGGGTACAAGGTTGGTTGTTGAGTTGGCCTATTCGATATTCGCGATGGCCATTTTATAAAGTCCAACGTCACTGGTACCGTACATGTGTGAGTCGGTAACTGGAGCTACGCGTATCGGGTAAGGAGTCCAACGTATTCCACCCGTCATTGTGGGCTGACGTGGTCCTATTCCGTTTAATTTAATAAATAAAGAATTTTGAATCATTTTTAATTGTGGGAGATTTAACTACAATGAATAGATCCTTTGGAATCCACCACCGGCCACGCTTGACCACCTAATTGGGTTTACCCTTTGCTTTTGTCACCTAAGATTTTTTCCTTATCAACATTTTATAAAACTTAGAATAAATAATTTTATAAATATTTATATTTTTTAAATTCCTTTTTATTTATAAATTAACAAATTTTAAAATTAAATATATTTAATCCCATATTTCTATATAATATATTAATAATTATTGATGGGATTAAATTAATTATGAGAAGATCCATTTTTTTTCCTGATTTTGGTATAAAAATGCCTCTGATGAATAATTGGTTATTGGACGATGTTGATATTATATGTCTTCATGAATAGATAGAGATGTAAGTGAATGTAAGATATTTTATTTAGGTCGTATCTCTTCTTTCGATCCTATTGGAAAATTCTATAGTGTCTCTTAATAATATAGTGTCAAATATAGAAATACGATGACTACTTGTAGATTAATAAATTAAATGTTTATTGTCATGTGGTTATAAAGTTAATTCTACTAGATCATGTATACTTATAAAAAATTATGTTAATAGGTTGTGATTTCTCGAAGGATACTAGATATTTAAGGTATTTTTTTCGAAAATATTTTCTCTGTCTTTTAAAGTTTTTGAGATTGATAAAATTTTTGAACCATATTTATTATAATATTGATGAACATAGGATTTATAATGAAGATACAATTACAATAATATTAAAGGTAAAGTATACAAATGGTTTTATGACTATAGGGTATTGTTTTATTAAGTCTATCGACTATTAAAAGTTATAAAATGATCATTTGACTATAGAATATTATTTTGTTAAGTTCCTTAGCTATTAAAAGTTATAAAATTGTCACCCGATAATTCATTATGTTTCAAAATCGTCATTTTATGTTAAAAATTGGTGGTTGTCTAAGCTAGATATTACATGATGACTGAGATACGATAGTTGTGTGAAATTTAAGATACTTCTTTTGAAGATGTTTTTTTATCTTTTTAAGTTTTTGAGATGTTAAAGATTTATAAATTATGATAACTTTTTTGAACATTTTTTTAATATAATATTGATGAACATATGATTTTCTAATGAAGATATAATATAATAATATTAAAGGTAAAGTATAAAAATGGTATTCGATTGTAGTATATTGTTTTATTAAGTCATTCGACTATTAAAAATTATAAAATTATTATTTTAATGTAGAATTATTTTGTTAAATCTCTCTACTATTAAAAGTTACAAACTCTCGCTCGACAATTCATTATATTTCAAACTCGTCATTTTCTGTTAAAAATTGATGGTTGTCTAAGTTAGACGTTAACATGATTAATGGGGTATGATAGTCGTTTGAGATTCTATGATCAGATTTTATCATATCACAGTCAGTAGGTTAATGTTTAGCTCAGCATATCATTCATATTTTAACTGAAAATGACAAGATTGTAACATAATGAATAGTAGGGTGATTGTTTTATACTTTTAATAGTCGAGGGACTCAACAAAACAACACTCTATGATCGGAAGATCATTTTGTAACTTTTAATAGTCGAGAGATTTAATAAAATAATATTCTATAATCGGGGACTATTTATATACTCTACCAATATTAATTAAATTAAATTAAACCAATAATTAAAATGAATAATTGAGATAATTCAATTACATTTGGTATACCGTAATAAATCTTACAAATTATAATGATAATTCATACTAAGTGAAATGGATATTTAGGGTTTGTGGCAGCCGACTTCCCGTTTTCGACGCACGTCTGCTTTGACCATTATAAAACTGGCACGTCCCACCTCGAACTTATCTATTATAAAACTCGTCCCAACTTATCCCGAATTCTAAAATTTTAAGAAAGAAATGTAATACGAATCAAATAATCTGGGTATAAACTTTAGACTCCTTGTCATTTTGGACAATCGGATACATTAGTGGTCTCTGTCTTTCACGATATCCATGTCCAAATCCATATTTATAAAGAAATTGGCATACTTATCATCAAACGCTAGCCTATAAACACTTTGCCTCCACCCAATTTCTCACGTATGATTACGATGATAATTTAACTCGAAATTAATAGATTTTTAATATAATTTAATTTGATGTAGTCAAATTTTTTTAAAAAATTTCGATTTGGATTGAGTCGAGATGGATTTTTAAAGGAATGAGGTCGGATCAAGAGAATAGTAAAAAATTCCGACCCAACCCGACTTAGGATTAACAATGTAATTTCTTCAAAACAAAATATTATTTTTTTAATTGAATCATTATTTTATATCGGGCCCGATCAGGTTGCATTTATATTTAAAACTTTTGGATCTAATTAAAATAGAGTGGAAGATATATATTTTTCAGATCGAATGAAAGATATATAATTTTCAGATCGAGTCGAGTTTAGGTAGAAAATAAATATTTTTCAAGTCGAAATTGATTAACCAAAAAAACCGACCCAACCCAAATCTTACCATCATACATATGAAGTTATTTTTTGTCGGTATAGTTGTTGTTCCAGCCCGGATCTCGACCTAGAATTAACGAGTCAGAAATTGCCGATTTCATGTTTATCTTCTGCCAACCCGATGACCCAATCATTTCTTCTCTAAACTCCATCTTCTTCGTCTCCCATGAATAATTAATTATGATAGCATTAGCCGACGTTTATGCTTTATTTATTGATAGCACAAACAAGAGGAACTTTCGTTGGTTGTGGTTTCAATAACAACTATAGAACAAATATTAGCACATTGTTCACCCGCCGCCGGCCTTTGCAGGCACAACATTAACCCAATATTTAAAAGTCGCTTGTCCTTTTCCCCTGGTGATTACCATTAAGATACTAATGATTGGAGTCATAAACATCACACTAATTATAAAAATTTTTGTGTTCGGTTTAAGAATTAATTTCAATGAATTGATACAACATTGGGGACCTAAATTGCCTAGAATTGTAGAACAAATTCCGAAAGAAAAACAATGAAGGGGAGGGCATCGAGTAAAATAAATTGCAAGTAAAACAAGGAGGAGATTTTAAGGATTCAAGACCACAATTCAAGGGACATAATCATGCTCGAGTGCTGGCTGTGTTCTGATCATCGACGCACAAGGCATTTTAAGATCTCCCCTTACCCAAAACGTATCCAACGCCACCGATGAATCGGATTCCTTCTCCATATCTTTTATCTTCCTCTTTCTCCACCATCTCGACACCGCCACTCCCGCCGTAACCAAAACTGCTAGCCCGACGGCTCCGAGGCCGAACTCTATCACCCACCATTTCCAAACCCTCCCTTTTTTTTGGGGCATCGACGGCGACGAAGGCGGGGACGAATACGGTATCATGACGCAAAAATGCCCTGTATTTTCGGTCACGCAAACATCTCTCTCCGTCACATTTTTAAACTCGACCGACCCGTTGTTTCGAAACCCGATGCATTTGAGTCGTGTCACGTTTTTCTCTTTTGTCTTTAGATAAGGAAACCGGATCGAAATGGACCCCCCGGTGACGTTCAATGCCAAGTTCCCGACAGTGAGATCCGTGTAATCGTAAACCTCGAAGCCGATGACTGGAGAGACCAACGAATACCCCGGTACGTGATAATATTTGGAAGACCAATTTCCGAGGTTATCATAGACCATTGCTAACCTTTTAACGTACGGAGATGTCCTAACACTAGGTGGGATCTTAACAAATTTAGAATTGATACCTCTGCCCCATAAACTACTACCACGTAGTCTAACAACAGAAACCTCCATGCCAGAGATATTAGAAGGAAGTGAAACTCGGCTTAATGTACCTGTACGATGATGATTCGCCAAAGTCCGGTTCGCGTAATATCGAAACAAAGCGTTCAATTCCCTCGAATTATATCTACCCAAGCTGCCTCCGTTGGCAACGACGATCGACGATAACAGCGATAAAACAACCATGAAGACGATGAACCGTATTGTATCAGACCCCATCAAGATTACCCCATCCAGCTTTGGTATTTAAGCTTTCGTATAATGCAAATAGAAACTATGAATAGGGAGAGTGGAAGATGTAAATGTGAGTGCAAAATGGAAATTATCCATATTAAAACAAGAACAAAAAAAGAAAGGGTTCCATTAAAATAGTAATATTATTGTATATTGTGATGAAAAAGGAAAATAAAGAACGAGAAAGGCAAGTGAATCGAAAGGAAGACAAGACCCGTAGGTTAAGAGAGAGAGAGAGAGAGGGTACTTACACACAAATCCTTCCAAATTTGGGGTTTGGTTATGTTTAGGCAAATGGACTTCGGAAGTTATATTTGTTTTAAGATAGGAGTGGCGTGTACATAAATTTGTATAGGAATTGGAAACTAAAAATTAATTAAATTTTAGGGTAAAGTACATAAATGGTCCCTCAATGGTAAGATATTATTTTATTAAGTCATTTAGCTGTCAAAAGTTACAAAATAGTCCTCAGACTATAGAGAGTTACTTTGTTGAGTCTCCTGACTATAAAAAGTTACAAAATGGTCATTCGAATATTCATTATGTTACAAACTCATCATTTTCCATTAAACATTTGATGATAATTTGAGTTTATGTTAACCTGCTGACTAAGATATGATAAAATTTAATCTCATAATCTCAAACGACTATCATATCAAAGGACGAAGCCACCTTATGCTTAGGGGGCCACTGGCCTCCCGCAATTTTTTTATTGTTAAAAAATATATGAGAAAATATGAAATTAGAACTCTAAATTTTAGTTTATTTTGATTTTGCACCCTCATTTTCTATGGTTAATTATACTTTGCCCCTCATTTTCTATGATTAATTATATTTTGCCCCCTTAAGTTAAAATCCTAGTTCTGTCCCTGATCATATCTCAGTCAACATGTTAACGTTCAACTCAGACAATCGTTAATTTTTTTTTAACCAAAAAATGACGATTTTAGAACATAATGAATAGTCGAGTGACTATTTTGTAACTTTTAATTATTGAGGGGCTCAACAAAGCAACTTTATATAGTCGGGGATCATTTTATAACTTTTAATAGTCAAAGGACTCAATAAAATAATATTTTATAGTCGGAGATCATTTAATACATGTATACATAAGGATCAAGAATAAGCATTGCAAATGGAATGGTGACAAGTGGCAACTCCCATTACCAAAAAAGGGTAAATTATGCGGATAGTCTTCTATATTTAGGGTCTGTCTGACTATGATCACTAATTTAAAAATTAAAGAAAAATGGTCCCTAACGTTATCGATCCGTTCGATTTTAGTCTCTCAACCATTAATTTTTGTTGACCCCCTTTTGTTTAAGTCTTTTTTGTTTAAGTTCCTAATATGGCCGAGGGGCTAAAACCGAACTAGAGTTAAAGGATAAGGGACTAAAATCAAATGGATCGATAATGTTAGGGATTAAAATCAAATGGATCGATAACATTATGGGCTATTCCCCCTTAATTGATACGTTGGTGACCAAACTCTGTCAGACTAAAAACATAGGGGACTACCTACATAGTTTACCCAAAAAAAACTCAAATCGATGGTTTCGTTGGTTCTACAAGTGAACCGACTTCTACCATTCGCAGCGCGTTTTTAAACCCGTGCACCGGCGTTCCACTTGCTTTTATTTGTTTATACTAAATAATATAGTGCACACAAATACGTACATATATGATGATAATAATAAATTGTTCAAGTTATATTTTTAAGTTACACCTAAATTTTAATTTATTCACTTTTTTTTAGAAATTTAAGCATTGTAATTTTTAAATTTAAAATTCAAATCAGTTATTTATACTTTGATATTTTATTGTCAAATTCATATCTATTATATGATAAAAATTGAAATAAAATATATAATCATATAATGAAAATATTAAAAATATTAAATTGTTTTTTAAAAATAACATTAAAGTACATAAATGGTCATTGACTATAGAATATTATTTTGTTGAGTCCTCTTACTATTAAAATTTATAAAATAATTCCTCAACAATAAGATGTTTTGTTGAATCTTTCAACTATTAAAAATTATAAAATAATCATCTAACTATTTATATGTTTCAAACTCATCATTTTATGTTAAAATTGACAATCATTTGAGTTTGACGTTAACTTGTTGATTTGTATATGATAAAATATGATTCTTAATATCAAACGAGTATATAATTCAAACGATTCTAAAATCAAATTTTATCATGTTTCAATCAAAAAGTTAACGTCTAACTTAGACAACCATCAAATTTATAATAAAAAAATAAATTTAAAACATAAATAATTAGATGACCATTTTATAAATTTTAACAGTTAAGAAACTCAACAAAACATCTCTTAGAGAACTATTTTATAATTTTTAATAGTCGAGAGAGTCAACAAAACAATATCTAAAACTATTTGTATACTTTGGATCGACAACTCAACTCTGCCGCGTTACAGGTCTAAGACGAAGTATCACATTTCAATTTCAAGAAAATTGATGATTAAAAATCAAAAGATCAAACCCATTGTTCTACTTGGTACATATTGGATTGTGGTCGGGTCAAAGTGAAGAAAGAAACAACAGAGAGAAACAACGGAGTTAGTGCAGCTAAAGTAGATGGATCGAAGCTCCGTATGGTTACTGCCTGACGGTTAACTCAGCCCTAAGATAGAGAACACCATTTATGAAGTAAAGACTGTCTTCCGCCATGAACGATGTCCAAGGTATGGCAAATAAATTCCGATAGCCAACTGCCTTGCCACCGGTAAATTTGTAGTTGCCCTTGTATTTGCTTATAAACTCCTCCGTTGGCTTTGACCTTGCAGCAAATTCGTAATCTACTGCAAAACTAACGGAACCCTTTTCCTGCATTCCTAAGAACAACCCGAAACAGTGGAACGAGCTCTGCTGATCCATGTTGCAATGAGCTGACAGGAAGAAACCTTGTCCTCCCAGGTGGAACGCCTGAGAATAAACCCGTCCCGATGGGAATAGATTTGCACACTCTTCCCTCTTCAAGTCCAGGTATACAACACACTGTTGACGGGGAACTTCAAATTCAACCACTTTAACCAGACGATATTTGTAAGCTCGCTCAATAAAGCGACAGTTCAAGCTGGCAGACTCCTCTGCAGCCAAGCTTCGTTGTCTATGTGGGGCTTCAGCCTTGAAAAATAGAGCCTCGAGCACAAGCTTCGACGAAAATTCATGATCAAAATCATTACATGCTAGCACCTTCTTAAGCTTCCTGCAGGTCATATAAGGGAAGCGAATAAAGCGTGCAAGGCGTGAACCAAGAACTTCCCTTCGCTCTTCCAGTTTGGGGTACTGAATCCTGGCCCACTTCAAAACAAAGTCGTACACAGCATCTTCAGATGCAATTTGCAGATCATCACTGGCCAATATTGCCTCAATCCCAGCTAGTGGCAAAGCCATTACCTCTTCTTGGAACCTGGTAAAACGCGTGGTAAAAGCATACGTAAGCCCTCTAAATATGAATAATTTTCACTATGACAATGACAAGAGATGAAGTAAATTCACTGTTCAGACTGCTATGATGCCATTAAAAATACCTTATATCATAAGGTTAAGTTTTACCAAGAGTATAGCTTTAAACTTCTGTACTTTTCCTTTTAAAAGAACATTAGTTAATTGTCCATGTTCAACTTGATCGTTTTCAAAATATAAGGATCAGAATAGCTCCAAAATGAATACTTCTAGAACCAATGCAAGGCTGATAAAACTACATACTCAGGTCAAAAATACATAATACAAAACATGAACGGGTGCTTACTTGGTCATGTCCTTGTAGCGGGAAGCAAGATACTGTTTAGCAGCATCAGTCAAAGGCTGCACAGCTTCGCCCATTAAAACACTAGATGGAAGATCCAAATACAGCAGAGCTGACTCTGGTGTCATAGTCAAATTGCACAATAGTTGGCTGCAATATCTCATGCAAGAGGCAACCTCAAATTTATCAGCAGCCATCAGCACATCAAGCAAGGCAGGAGCTGCGGTGACAGATAAGGTGTTGCTATACATAAAATTCAAAAGTTCCATGAGGGCACCTTCCTCTATACACCAAAAGTAATATAAAAAATGTCATTTCAAATTTGCCAGCTCAAACCTGTTTGAATAACTAACATAGCCAAGAACACTAAAATGAAGTTTATGTATATACCAGAGGCACCAATTCTTAAGGTTACATGTCGTTGCTCTGATTCTCTCATCCCATTTGAGAAAAGCTACAATGAGTGAATAAACAAGTAAACGTATAAGTAATTGCCTGTAAAGAGAAGGGTAACAAATATTCTTATAAACTATGCCTGCATTATAGAAACACAATATATATTTCCACTATCTCTTTTAAAAATCTATTACTATTAACTCCATATCTTACCTTGTAGAAGAATGGGCTTTTTGCGGCTAAAATGGGAGAACTGATATGCAATGTTTTAACTGTCACAACTGTAGAACAATCCATGTTCCAACTTGATTCATTGCTATTTGCATCCTCATCGCCTACAAAAGTTCAAGAAGATCAAAATGCTGACTATGTCACATTTCAAACAAACAAGAGCCAGGGATAATGCAGGCATGGCACAAGGAGTAATTATTCAAAGTGACCAGCTAAAATCCTCTGTTATTTATACTATTTTAGAAATCCAAAAAGAACAAACAAAATCCCCCGTTAATTATATTGCTTCGAAATAGATAAAATTACTTCACTTTTAGTAAAAGATAAATTCTGCATGTCCATAAGTTTCTGAAAGTCTTGTGTTTTGCTTAATTGTAATTCGGTAAAAAAAAAAGACAAGTTCTAGCAAGGTCTTTGGTAAGCATGTTCAACTGAAAGTTTACAGAGTTTTAAGCCTCAAATCTAATATAAGCAGTAAATGAACCATGCAGTATGTTGTCAGAACAACATCAAAACCTGATTGCGTTTCTTCAACCATTGCCACTGCCTCCTCATATTGATTTTCACAGCCCAAACCATCATCCATATCAGGTTGGTTGTCATTTAAAACCTGCTCCTCGGGACATAAACTAAGATCCAAAGCTACAAAAAAGGTAGAAAAAAGATGAAGCAAAAAGAGTTAAACAATAGCCTATATTATAAAAACTTCGTTTATAAAGAAGGCATACAGTCGCAAAGATTAACCGTCAATATACTCTAAATCTGGATAAAAACAAGTGAAATACAAGACTATGAACAAGATTATATGTTAAGAGCTTAAGATGACTATAATTCCCCGTCCCAGCAAGAAAAGCTATAATTTCCTTCAAAACTTCAAGTTTCCCAAAACTAGTAGAGACCAAAATTTCATTTTTATTATTTCTCAACTTAGGTTCACAAAGCATCGCATAGATGCAAAGTAAGATTCATTTTATTTTCTTTTTAAAGCTTCGTTTTCATTTTCTAAGTAACCAAACAGAAGCAACGAGAATCATTTAGGAAGAACTAAGGGGGAACATAAACAAACCATTTTCCTTCTTGATATCCTCCCGGCGCCTCTTGCGGTGGCGAGCCCAATCGGCGATGCTGGTGCAACCCTCACCTTCGGGAGCACATTCAGACGGCCCGCCCATAATCTCGATCCTCAGAAGCCGGTCGGAGAAATTACTGTCGTTGAAAGCGAAAGCGAAATCACCGCCGGAGCCTGAGGCACCACGCGTACAATTGGAGTCCATCTCACTTCTCGGGTCGAACAGATCCGAATTCAGTTGATCCCTCATTACAATCCCTGAACCTAAACCCTCTCTTGATTTTTGTCGTCCCTTTCTTTATCTTTTAAAAAGGACTGAAAATACGAGATAAGGGAACACGTAGCTGAGCAAAAGCAAACCCTAGAAAACGAAAAGCTGTCGTCGCCTAAACCAAAGTAGGAGATCGATTAATCTGCTGCAACTGGTAAATTACCAAGAACCCAGTATAAAAACGAATTAGCTTTGCAGCCTTTTTGTACTGAATTTTGTTTGAATTCTTTTTTTAAAAAAATAAAGAAAATGTGTATGCTTTTATTTTATTTTGGTTAAACTACACACATAGTCGTTAAACCTTTATGGTTCTTACATATCGGAAACATACTTATGAAAATTACTTTACAGTCATTAAACTTTCAATTCATTCTTTTTTCCATAATTATTATTAACAACAATGGATGTGATATGATCGTATGCCATTTTCTTTAATAAATTAATAATATTTAGTAAAATAGTGACATATTTTATCATCTTGTTAATAGAAAATTAATATGTACATATATAACTCTGATGAGGATTAAATTTAGATCTCACGTTTAATCATTGTTACAATCATATGTATTTTGTTAATTTTTTTAACAATAACAAGATATATTACATCATCTAATTAAAATATATTAATTTATTCAAAAAATAACATGTGGATATGTTTCATCAAATTATCGTTAATCAGTGGCGGATTTAAAAAATTAAAAAAATAAGATCTATAATTTTAATATTTTATTCTAAAAAAAATGGGGTATTCATATTTTTCTTATTTTTACTATTTTCATTAATAAATTAAACTAAATTTAACATTCTTCTCAAAATAATAGGTGTGCAGTGGCCTCCTTAGGGAGCTACATACATTCGTCCCTTTCATTAACAATATATGATGACAATGATTTAAATGGAAGTGAGTTAAAAGTTTAAGGGTTATATAACAAATAAATACCTAAAGTACATTATCTTTTTCATTTAACTATCTAAAGTATTTTTATGACCAAAGTAAATACCTAAAATTATATTTTTGGTCAAAATAGGTACCTAAAGTATTCAATTTTTTTATCTAAGTACCTAAGGTATTCTTTAATTAATGTCACATGTCAACTTTTTTAGAACTTAAATGAAAAAGTTTGAACAGTAAGTACCTATTTTGACATAAAATACTTTAGATACCTATTTTGACCAAAATATACTTTAGGTACTTATTTGTGATATAAGCCAAATTTTAATGATTATAATGTAATTTTTAAAACTATGTTGACCAAATTATAAATACTAAAAATATTTTAGGTATCAATTACAGAGTTTACCCCTATATTTTGTTTTTGATTTTTAGCGGTAATTTTTGAAGCAGGTGTGTGCATTTTTAAGTAGATTTGGAAACTAGCCAAGTAAGGGAATTATGATTCGGTCAGGGGTGGTGAGCTCTTTGTTTATTAAAGTAATCTCATCAGCTTCTTTCTTAATTTGTTTTGGTAAATGGTATTTAGTTTTAGTTGGCCTGTAGTATTTGTTTTGTTTTATTAGATTAAGATGAAGAACTAAGGTCTGATTAATAAAATAATAGGGTAAAATACACAAATGATCCTCAACTATAGGATACTGAGTTATCCCTAAATTATTAAAAGTTATAAAATGGTCCTCTTAGTATAATGTGTTGCTTTGTAGAGCCTTCAATTATTAAAAGTTATAAAATGGTCACCCGACTATTTATTATGTTCGAAACTCATCCTTTTCCGTTAAAAACTAACGTTATTCTAAGCTGAACGTTAACTCGCTAATTGTGATATGATAAAATATGATCTCATAATCTCAAACTATTACATATTCTAATCATCATGTTAACACTCAACTTAGACAATTACCAATTTTTTAATAGAAATTGACAAGTGTGAAACATAATGAATTGTCATGTGATCATTTTGTAACTTAAATAGACGAGGGACTTAACAAAGCAACATTCTATAGTCAAAAGATCATTTTGTAACTTTTAATCGTCAAGAGACTTATTAAAGCAAAATTCTTTAGTTAAGGGATCAATAGTGTACTTTAATCTTAATAATATTAGAAAAACTATACATCATCTCTTTAATAATAATAAATAATAATATAAAATTAGAGTTATTGTAGGTACGAGGGCAGAAGATAAAAGACTAAACTTTTGAGTAGCCCAATTGACCTGGTTGATGGATGAATCTTTACCATTAAAAAAAGGCATAAAAATAGGGGATGAAGTGGCACATGTATTAATAAGGGAATTAGTTTAAGTGATAAATAATTTTATATCGTTTAAATAAAGTCTTAGGTTCGAGTCTTTGTGTAAATAAAAAATATTTATTGAGAGATTCACCCACTAAAATTAATGTACGACATGAGTCAAACCAAATTAATCCGGACGAAATTTTGAAACGAGAGGACAACCAAATGAAAAAGTGGCAAAAGTATTTTATGGTATTGGTGCGTGGACGCCGACTTGTGGGTTGAACGACTCCACCCAAGTTGATGAATATAAGAATCATAGGGACTACTTTGTGAATTCAAAAAGCAGCCGCCCACACCGTTGGTCGTCCAGTCTTCCTAAACATATCCTACGTAAAGTTATTTTATCAACCATTTATAGTAATTTTAACATATGGCCAAATTAGTGGTAACTATGGGATTTTATTCAATCATGAGTTGTTATTATTATTGGTCAAACTATATTTTAATCCAGGTTTATTTCAGCTTACAGAAAATGCATATGGTAAAGTAATTTACACAAGCGAATTGGAATGTGTTCACAATACAATCCATCACGCTATAGTTTTGGTGAACTGTTCGTGTTTCCTTCAAATAATATTTGATTTTGTTTGTTAAATTAAATAAAAAAAATATGAATAAAAATTATATTCATTTAATAAACAAACGAACACGAATATATGTGTGTTCGATTCATTTATGTTCACGAAAAAACTCATTTATTGACTCGTTTATTTATGTTCATGAACAAACTTGTCTACACGGTTGTCATTTTTTTTACATTTTAAATATTAATGAAGATGTGGACTAAATTGAACACGTGATGAAAGTTTAATTTTAAACTATGAATATTAAAGAGTTTAAACAGTAGTATCATAATTTTATCACTTTTCTTTACATTTCAAATGAAACGTAAATCTAAAAATTGAATATATAAACTAACGGTAAACAAATACTACACGAACATGCTTGTGAACACATTTGTAAACATTTAAATGAACATGTTCGCTAACAATAAGTAACGAACGCGATATAAAAAATTAAACGAACACAAACATCTTCAAAAATAAACAAACAAACACAAACAAAATCTTATTCGTTCAAGCTCAGTTCATTTACACCCCTAATTTTCGCGGGGGATTACTGTTCCAAAACACGACATAAACTTAAAAGTATTGCTGCAAAACGCACCATACTGCAACAGCCTCAGAAACTATCATCTAACGAACTTCGGATTCGTATTCTATTGACATTGATATTTACCGGTTAGTTTCGGGCCACCGATCGTCGAATTTCAATTACGAGGCTTCACAATTTGGAAAAGAGGTTGCGGAGAGTATGTTCATGTTGCTGGTGGTACTAAATAAATCGGTTGAATCAGTAAGGCAGGGAACGAGTAAGGGGAAACTGCATAAAGACAATGAAAAGAACATACAGTTCGTGTTTAAGCTTTGGTTGTTTCAAATAACATCGTATATTTTGCCGTGGAAGTTTTATGGGAAAATTCACCTTTTAGAGATCCCTTTACGTGCAATCCAAGCATCAAGATGTAATCCATGATGCCTGCATGCATCCTCCAGGAAAGCACAATCATGCTGGATTTGCCTAACGAAATAAAATCGCCGTCGTTAATCCGTAAAGAAATCGATCGGTTTTCTTTTTCTTCCCAACATGTTAGGAGACCGACTTCAAAAGCCTTTGTCGGACAATCGAGATCAGACTGCTTATGCAGAGTTTTCTCTCGGCACTGTATTTTTTTTCCCGAGTTTTCGACCTTATAACGAGCCTTTGAGGTCCTAACACGGATGCATCAACAAATCCGATTTGAATATGTTTCGAAAACTTATGAGATGGTATAATAGCCTGGAAGCATTTCCAGGAGGACATGCACATGATGCAGAACTTAAAACATTTGGGTATAACATATGCCGATACATCTACTCGAAATTTGAGACTGGTTTTCATTACTCGAAATTAATAAATCAAATACCGATAATTAAACAAAAATAAATCCACAAAAGTACATGCAATAGTCACCTTAAGAGTTGAGGTAAAATCGTATATCCATGATACATGCAGCAATAAGCAAAAGGACCATAGAACTTTGAAGTAACGATTTAACATGGGAACCAAATGGAAGTTATATACTATGCGGTTAAGAAAAATTTGGAACTTGTGTGTGTATGTGCAGTATATGCTAATGGAGAACAATTACCAATAGTTTCCATTTTCATAAAGATATAAGCAGCTTTACCATTCCCGGAGATAAACTAAGGATCAATTTCGAGCCTCGGTTCGAAGCAAAAACCGGTGAACAGCTGGAGCGGGAATTTCTTCGATACAGGACACTTGGTTGACCATTTCCAGAGTTTCCGGTTCATGTCGAAAACAAGAAGAGCCGGAGCACCATAACTTTGGATGTATATGAGATTATCAGTACCGCTACTAGCGAAAACATCGTCCAACTCACCGAATCCTTGGAAGAACTTATTGGGCATACGAACAACCTCAACCCAATTCCTACCATCCAAAACCCAGATACCTATGCCCTTGATTATATTGGGCCGGTCTTGCTTCCCGATCCCTCCCACCATCACTAGCTTTTCCTTTAGGTTCATCAGTCGACCACAGGTAAGAGGGCCCGGTACTAGAATAAAACTCTGTATCAAAGAGGAAGATCGGCTGGTGAGATTGTATGTAACTAGACCATGACGATTCCCAGGTGTGCCACCCCCAGTTGAGTAAATCAGAAAATATAACACCCCATCACAGATTACACTTTCATCTCCACCCCTCCATCCTGTCAGAACCTCAGTCAAGGAGGTTGCCCACATCATTGTTTCCGAATCATAAATATGAATCGAAAGGTCCCAGTGGAAAAAATTTCCAGGAACTTGTTTAGACTTCACAATGGATACAGTGTAATTGTGTAATGTCCGGTCCACTGAGATTGACAGTGCACTGTAATCAGAGAATTTCACACCCGGGGGCTCCTCAAGCTTCTTGCAAAGTATGGTGATAGGGTTACAGATATGAAACTCACTTCTACTATCATTGTCCATGAAACAAACCAACCCACATGACGAGGCAATGAACCAGTTGGGAGTCTGAATGCAGGGCAGTTCGATGCCATACCACTTTCGGAGGATCCGGTCATAGGCATAACCAACGGGTTCATCAGAACTCGTGAATATGAAATACCAAGGCTTTTGTGATAGGACACTTGACAAGTTCCATAGGAACCTTTTAGAACTGACAATTTCATGCCATCTTCTACACACAGAACCAGCTCTGAATATGCTAGCAATAGGGTGATAAGCCAAGATTCGTTCGAGCAAGTCATCAGGTAGGATTAAGTCCGCAGAAACCACAGCGGTTTCTTTATTACCTTCATCCTTCAGTTCCGTGAATGACTCAAAGTCACCACTGTCTTTTGACAAGTCATCAAAGCAAGGGCTGATCCATGAAGCCTCTCCTTTCATGACTAAGAGCGGGTAAAGAAAATTCCTGAGAAATGAATTTCTTCACAAAACCAAGCCAAACAGTTATCATCTCATAATGCAATAAATCATGAACAAATGTGGAAAAAAAAGCACATAAGCTATGGGTTTTTGAGACGTTTAAGTTAAAATACCTCCTTTTGAGATATCATTTTCATGGGTATTCCATTTGGGTTTCTTCAATTTAGGTATATACTTTACAAACCAAAACAAGTTAGCCCGAAAATGATTTTTTTAAATAATCTAGGGTAAGTACAAGACAATATCTGTTCGAAGATATCTCTCAACCTTTTAACATTGAACGATCACACACCAACTATGGTGCTCGAACTCGACTCATCAAAAATAATAACAATTCTTTTCGTAGTCGAAAATGATACTCAAATTTCCACTCTAGGGTAGCTTTTGTGTCTTCTTCTATCGATTTGCTTTTAACGATTAAAGAAAAGTCTTTTGCCCTAGGATTTAAAAAAATTTCGAACGAAGAACAAATCGAATTCAATCAAAATGACAAAAATATATAAATTATATTTACCATAAGCTATTATACTGAAAGAGACCCGACTGAATCAATATCATCGGACACTAGAAAAAAAGAACAAAAATTATCGTAACCAAATACAAGAAAGGAACTTTATTATTACTAATAACTATTAAGTGGGATAAGTTAGTAGTATTTATCAAGATGATCCAATTTTTTAAGAGTTAAATACACAAATGGTCCTCCGACTATAGGGTACTACTTTATTAAGTCTCTCGACTATTAAAAGTTAGAAAACGATCCTTTGACTATAGAGTGTTACTTTGTTGAGTCTCTCGACTATTAAAAGTTAGAAAATGGTCACCCGACTATTCATTATGTATCAAACTCGTCTTTTTCTGTTAAAAAATTAACAGTATTTTGTGTTGAACATAAACACACTGACCGTCATATGATAAAATATGATCTTTGAATTTCAAATAACTATCATATATCGTTCATCATGTTAACGTTCAACTTAGACAACTACCAGTTTTTAACAAAAAATGACGGGTTTGAAGCATAATGAATAGTCAAGTGACTATTTTGTAACTTTTAATAGTTGAGGGACTTAATAAAGCAACATTCTATAGTCAGAGGACTATTTTATAACTATTAATAGTCAACTGACTTAATAAAATAATATCTTATAGTCAGGGGACTATTTTTGCACTTTACCCTTTTTAAGAAAAAATAATGACGATGAGGTATCTGAGTAATTAACTAGTATAAATGGCCATTATAGAATAGCATGTTTGTAATTTGTGTGTCTATACATATCTATCCATTTAATGTGACATATTTGGGAGTTTATCAAACATGGGATTATATGAAAGGCAACTAGTTATAAAAAAATATGTCTTTGAATTTGATTTGAGTTAAAGAGTTTATACTCAATTTAAAATATAATTTGAATTTTGGATTAAAATATATATTTAAATAAATTTGACTAGATATAAAATAAATAAAAAAATCAATAAAATAGATATCTAAATAAAATTTAGAGAAAAATATTATAATCCTAAATAGATATAATAAAATGATATATTTATTATTTTTTATATGGTTACTCTTTATTTATTTTTCTAACCACCAGTATCTGATCTATTGACCAACTAATTTGGGTTGGGTAATGTAGAGGCAAGAGTGATCATCCCAATCCAGTTTGGTCCTTTTGCAATCATCAGGATTCAAACCTCTAACTTTGTTTAAGGGATCTAATTCCTCGTCTCTCTGACCAACTAGTTGTTAGTTTTATTTATAATACAATAAAATATATATTATTATTTAGTATATTGATAATAATTTTCTAAACTATATAATTAATATTACTAATACTTACCGGATTATGGGTCCCATGTATTATCTCAAAAAGGGATATTACTTAAAATTCATTGTCATGCAAATCTTGTGGTGCAGTGGGTTACATTTTTTAATGTTTGATGTGTTTGTTTTAATTACAAAGTGTGGGTGGCCCGGGAAGAAGAACCATATTAGAAACGTCTAAAATGTGGAAAATGGTGGAATTTGTGGGGTCTTTCCCAAAATTGTCCAACTTTATTTATCAATAATTGTTGACAAATTTGTTATAATATCATTTGATATAATATTTATTTAATAATAATATGTAAAGTGTGATTATAAGATAGTTTATGTTTAAAAAAACTTAACTATTGCCAATAAACGTATACCCTGTAGGTATATTTACTTTAACTTATGACTTCTAAAAAGAACGATATTATTTCTAACCACTGAATCTACCTTATGAGTTGTCATTTAATGTAACATTAGTTATTTAATTAGGTAAACAACATAATTAATCACCATCTTGTAATTAATAAATTATATATCGATAAATTGTTATATTAACTTGGGCTGAATATTAGTTAGTATTTGTTTAAATTCTTAATCTTTTTATATTGAACGCTTTTACCTTTATTTATATAATGCTCGAACTCGAGATTAAAAATTATTTCAAGCACATAACGATGATGATCTTTCTCCATCTACCCAATTCCTCCTTGCACGTAGTGACAGAGACACAACTTAGCGAGGGTGGATACGTGCATACTACTTATTTTACTGATAATGTCTACCTTAAAAATTTTCATGTCTACATGAAAATTTTTATGTCTAACTTGAAATCTGAATTTTTTTTATTAATTACTTATTTTACAAATAGTGTTCATTCTAAAATTTTATTTGTACGCATTATATTTTAAATTTTTACATGATAAATATATGTATGCGTCCACCATAAAATATATTTCTTAATCCATCATTACCGACACACAGTCGGCCTAGGATGGCTCTCTTTCTCGACCTTCTTTCTTTCTTTTTATTTTCTATTTTTCGAGTTTTAGGGTTTCATCAAGAAAGGAACGACTGCGATTTTCCCAAGAAAGGGTTATCGAAGGAAAAGGGTAATGCTCGGTGGAAAAAACGCCGTCACCAATGGAAAGAAATATGGAGAGCGCTCAGCTGAAGACGGAAAGCTAGTTAAAGATACTTCGAACTGTAAACGCCGTCACCATGACTCTCGAACTTGTATATTTACTGTATCGATAGTAACATTTTTAGAGAGAGAATCACTAAAAGGATTACAAGTCCAACTAGATTCTGGTAGTGAGGAGACATGAAGATTTGAAAAGGTTTGAAATTTTCCTTCTTCAACTTGCATTTGTCACGTATTAAAATAAAGGGCAAACTACATATTTAGCACATAAATTATTGGTATTATATCATTTTTAATGCTAAAACTTTCAAAAAAATTTTAAAATTATACCTAAAATTAGGTTTTGTTTTATTTTAGTATCCTCCAAAATTTAACTTTAGGTTTTTGAAAAAAAATAAAAGTTTATGTGCTAAAACGAATCAATACTGATATCTTCGTAATAAACGTATTAAGTTTATAATGACAGTTGTCAGTTGTTAAAATGAAATAAAAAATAAACATTAGATATTGTTTTGAAAAAATTAAAAGTTCAATTACTAAAATACATAGTTTATCCTAAAATAAAAAAACGCTAAGTTGGCCTCTTGCCTTTAATACTAACAATTATCTTTAGTTTACATTAGTTTAAGGTGAGACATTTCCGACATCTCATATGCATTCCGCCGTTTCTGACATTGTTAGGTAATTGCTTTATTAATTTCTTTTCTCTGTTATCGATTAGATTGTAAAGCAAACAATATGCAAGATCCTACGAATAACATATATTTATCACGATTATGAATACAATAAATATTATTATGATGTTATAAATAATGTGATTGTACAATAATAATTTCAGACGATGTTATTATCATTATATAATGGTCAATATCACTAAATTATTAATAAGGAATTATTAATAAAGGTCTCTTTGTAAAAAAATTATATACTAAAGGTACACTAGAGGGATAATCTTCTTAATCTAATTTATGTTATAAATTGTCGAGATTTAAATATTTAACTTTATTTAAGAAATTTAATATTTTATATCACTAAATTAACTGAATTTTAGTTAAAATATATTTATTTTTAAAAATATAAGTAAACATGTAGATGATATTTATAGGTATATGTGAAAAAACAAGTAAACAGTTTAACAAAAAAGAGTTGAGAACATTGTTAAAGGAAAATAAATAAAATAGTTGATAGCGTTGAGCATTAATAATTTATATTAGCTAATAAAATAAAGGAAATAGGTTAAACTGTAATATATTAAAACAAATGTATTAAATAAAAATATGCTTAACATTTAAATTTGATTTTGCGCTTAGAAACTCTATCAACTATTACTATAATAATAGTTCACTTAAGAAGGAAATGATTTATTGAGAAGTTTGATTTTTACTATAGTTTTACTCTTGGTGATGCCTTTTTTTTTTTATTGTTTTATGGATCTTTTTCTATGTAAAATTTATTTCAGTATAAGAAATTTGACAAGTTGGATAAAAAATCTAAATACTAATCTATTTCGTAAATTGGAATTATTCAATACAAAAATTGATTATAAATATTCTTACGCCACGATTATTACTCCTAGGACAAAATTCAATTTACATTATTTTTATTTTATTTTAACTATTAAAATTACATTTCTAGCTCTCATATTGTTTTGGTTGACACCTATGTACATAATTATAAAATCATTTTATAATAAAGTGCTGTGTTTTAAAATTGGGTCAGAAAAACTCTTATGACATATAATTTCAATTAAAAATTTAATTAGAAAGAGAATTGATGATGATTTATTTTTAAAATATAAGTAAATACTAAAGTTTATTTTTATTTAAAAGTTTTTATTTTTATTAATATTATATATTAAAAATGAATGAGTATTTTTAATAAAATTATTAAAATTTCGTAAAACGATTAGTTCGAACATAAATCATGACATTTGAAACGATCACTTGAAAGAGGCTTTAAAGCCATTAAGTGATACCCAAAAAGATTTAGGGTAAATGATTTCAATTAGTAATGATTGATACAAATAAGATGAAAAATAAATTATATTTATAATTGAATTTTCTCATAATGAACAATCTAGATTGATTTAAATGTACGGCTAAGATAAAAGCCACTTATAACAAATACTCTAGAAATTATATCAAATCACAACACATAACTTTTAGATGATTGTAATTTAGTTGGGCATCAAAATCTTTGAATATTCATTTTGTACCAATGCTTCGGGTAATATCCAATCTGCTCTTCATGCTCCTCTTTTTCCAGTTTTGTTGTTGTTTGTTTTTAATTGAAGAATGAGATATAAAAATATTGATTGGCCTTCAAAACAATATGTCTGCATGGTGATTATTTTTCTGTGCTTAGTTATGGTCAATAACTATTTGTTGACTCTTATCATATTGCAATTTTTTATAAAAAAAAAGAACAAAATTTGTATTAACCATTTAAAGCATCATTCAGTGTAAAGGAATATAAAGTTCGGGCAAACATCATCAAAATGGAGTGAAGCGTGAGTGTGCTACCCAGGAAGCAAGTGTATGAGCAACCTGATTTGTCGAGCGTTGAGTATGTGAGATTTCCAAGTTGGAATGGCAAGCCAGTAGTTGAATGACCTCTTCAAGATGGAATCTAGCCACAGACAGTTCTAACGTTTGACGCTGTAATTGTTTTACTAAATTCAACGCATCACTCTCGATGATAAGTCGAGGTGCATTCAGCGAGAGGCCAAATTAAATCCCAATCGCAGAGGCTTCGATGATCTAACATGATGTGTGTTAATGTGTCGATTGTTTCGACCGTCTTACTCTTACCTATCAAATAACCATTTGATTTTACTAACAAAAGGTCGGGTTATAACGGGCCAAGGCTTGAAAATCCGCCCGATCGATCTAACCAGTACTGTTGTTTGCGTAGATTAATAACCCTTCCTCAAAAACTAATCTCAAAGCTACTGCTTTTCCTGTTTATTTATCAGCAATAGAAATTAAATCTTGAATCCATTATTCGAACATTTTTGTTTGCCCTGATTTCATCGAGGAACATCTCAGATTCACTAGTATTTGTCCATTTTTACAAATTGATTGCGGGAGCTTTGTAAGATGTGGAGTTCAATTGCGGATTTGAAAGAGAATTTGAATAAGATCACGCTGGGTGTGCTCGACGACGAAGACGAAGAACTCGAGATCTATGCTTCTGGGAATATAGATCACTCGCCATGCTCTGAAAGAAGGAATTCTCATAGGTTTGCGCATTCAAAGCCCGTTTCCCTCTCTCCGGTCGCCAATGGAACTGATTCACCAATTAATTCTGAGGTATTATTGCATTTAATTCTCGTGCTTGAATTTTTTAATTAATATTTGGCGCCTCTGAGTTTGGAATAGATTCAGCTTGCTGTTCAATTTCTTTATATTTCATATTTCATATTTGATAGTTTGATTAGTATTTCCCCCCTTTTAGCAGTCTGGAATCAGGCTTTGTGAAGTGATAACTTAAGCTTCAGAAAGCTTTTTTTCAATCAATTATTTGCACTGGCTATTATTTCTGTCTGTACTATGTAAAGAATCAGTGGTAGCTCGAAAAGTTTGACTTGATAAATTCAATTTCAGAATGTTCATTGCTTAGACTTTTATGTGTATCTTGGTGAGGTTTGAAGTTCTTTTTTTTTTATAGAAGTGAGGTTTGAAGTTCTTGATAACACGAAACAGTGCTGAGATAGTTCAAGGATCTTTATATGGATGCATGAAACTTTTATTTGGTGATTGTTAGTCTAACACGCAATACTAGTAACAATTTCCCTCTTATTTGTTCTTGGGGTCTTAGCAGTGAATGAGAACCTCTGCAACCCAGCTAGCTGGGTTTAATCTTTTCTGGTTTTACAGTTGTCATATTTGAGTGAGGAACAGTGAGAAAGACTTGTTCGGGTTTGTAATGTTCTCTGCCTTAATATTTGAAGAGCGGGTGTTTTAGGATTGAATCTCTAACCTCTTTGGGGCTTCCTAATCTCCTCTTTTGGTATCAAGAGTGGCTGTTTGCTTTTTGATTGAGTTAATTGTAGGCTTGATTTTTTCCCTTAATCTCATGGAAGGTACTTTACTAGTGGGCTTGCCATTTTTGGGGCAGTTGTACTCTACCCTTCATGCATGATAACTGATCTCTGTTATGTTTATTATGTAGATTGAAAGATACAGAGCTGAAATCAAGAAGCTTCAGGAATCCGAGTCTGAAATTAAGGCTTTATCATTCAATTATGCTGCTTTGTTAAAAGAAAAAGAGGTATCTGCTATATCTGCTAATTGTGGTATGGTTTGATTTAGAATATCTTGACCCAGCTTGGTAGTTACAATTATGACCAGTGATAATTTTTTGACAACAAGGGCATGTTGTGGTTGTAGTTCTTCCAGTTTATTTTCAGGATTGATCTGAAATTCAAGTCTTATAAATGTTAACAATGCAATTATTTGTAAACTGTTCTAGTTTTTTAACATTCTCGAATGGCTTCTTTCTCTTCATTTGCCTTGCATTTCATTTCCAGGAACAAATTTCCAGACTGAACCAAGAGAATAGCTCATTGAAACAAAATTTGAATGTGACAAATGCAGCTCTGGGTGCAGCTAGAAGTGAATATTCCAAAGTATCAAGTAATGGATTTAATGCATCCAAGGTAGTTTCTAGTCTCAATTAGAGTTGTTGTCTGAAACCTATTGTTTATAGAGAAATTATGGAATTTATGCGATAGGTTCTGCAATTCAGAAGGCACATGTTGTAGTTCCATGTAATAAACCTAACATAATGTGTGCTATTGAATGTGCTGTAACTATCTTGCTAGAAGCAGATGTAAGTAAAATGGATTTCATTGTATCATGTTTCACACCTTTGGCAACCTTGAATCTCCCTTTAGGTATATGCCATAAAAATCTAGAGATGAATCCTTGTCTTAGAAGGAAAATTGGCTTTTATTTCTTCTAACCTTGCGTTCTTGATGCCTGTCCTTCAAGAAATGAGTTGACTGTGATGCTTGAATCGTTTAGTGGCTCAAATATGTAACATACATGATATTAATTGTTTAGTTTTTGTCCTTTTCTTGTACTGGAACATGTAATCTGTTGTGAGTTTGTCTTGAATTATTATTCCACTGCCACCAGGTTAGGATTAACCTGCTTTCCTAATGTACTTGTCTTTATTGGCTGATCAACTGTACCCATTTCTCCAGGGAAATGGTGATCAGTCACCACACCAACTGCGTAAGTCGGCAAGTATAGTAAAAAATCGTCATGGTGGAAACCAATTGTCCAATGGTGTATCCTCCAAACATGATGGAAGAGAAAAGGTAATGCCACTGTTGCTTTTCTTCTTCTCTCTCCACATCTCTATTTTATTAAAAGAGGCATTATTAGGATGTTTGGATATAATTGGTATTTCTGTTTGTTTCCCCTTAGGGGATACTAAGCACATTCTATTTGTTTTCTCATTTCATTCCAATATAATTTTTTTCCTGTCTCTCTATTTGTTCTTTTGATAGAATTCTATTTGTTTCTTTAGATAATGAGTGAACTTGACGATTATATATATATATATATATATATGAATGTCTTCTAGGAGCTTGCAGATATGCTGGAAGAGAAAAATAGGTCCCTGGAGGCAGTTCAAGCTAATCATGAATTACAAATAAAGCAATTGAATATGGAACTTGAAAAGGAATGTGATAAACTAGGGAGTCTACATATGAGATTGCAAGGTATATTTGTACACCTTGAAGTCCCAGTTATGATACTTGCAAATATTATCCATTGTCAAAGAAAGGAAACATCATCTTCTTCTTTATCTGTAAAATTCCAGAGGAGCACAAGCAGAATGAGTCTTTTCAGGAGGAGCTTAAGTTAATGAAATCAGAGAAGGATAAAGTAAGCTTCTAAATTGTTCAGTGTTGATAGATGTGATCATTTATTTGTCTGTTTAAAGTAAACCCTCCCAAACCTTTCTTTTATTGTACATAATTGTTCGGTGTTGATAGAAGTAATCATTTATTTGACAGGCCTTCACTGAGCTGAGCAAACTACACAATGAATTGAATGGAAAAATAGTAGAAATAAGACGTTTGCAAATAGAGTTGAATAGACAGGAGGATGTAGGTGCAGATGATACAGTGAATAATTTGAAAAGAGTGATTGCCGCCTTGGAGAAAGAAAACACCCGTCTAAAGGTGGATACCTCCTTACCTTGTTAAGAGTTTCCATTTAAGGAAGTTTATTATAATCGATGGGGAATATTCATCCTGAATGTGCTTCTGTTTATGTGCTCTTGTAGATGGAGAAGATTGAACTAGAGGCTGCCCAGGAAAGTACCAGGAAATCTTTGACTGGAAAGATTGATCCCAATGCTTCAGAGACTCCGGTAATATCCAATTTGCTATGCATGGGCTATATACTCTGCAGGCTCCTCATTCCTTTCTTTTTGTTTTGTTTAGGTGTGCATGTGATTTGATACATTATTGGTTATTGTTGTTATATTTTCTTTCCAGAAAGTTTTAATCTTTCAGTTTTCCATTTTATCAGTTCTTTTTGTATGTAATATCTTTTTTTCTCCAGAAGGTAGATTCATCAGGAAGTTCTCCCCGAATGAAAGAAATGGAGCTATCACTACAGAAAATGGAAAAAGATCTGGAAGAAACATGTCATGAAAGGGATAAGGCTTTGCAAGAATTGACTCGTCTTAAGCAACATTTGTTAGAAAAGGTTGATTATCCCTGAACTTTTGAGGAGTTTTTGATGCAATTTGATCTTATATATATATTTAGGTTTCACTATGGTGGCATCTGTCAATTTGTCTAGCATAGACTGTTTGATGTTAAAGGATTTCTTTGTTCCTCTTGACTCGTTATATTGCATTACAATCACTTAGTGGAGTCTTGCATGCAACTGTAGTTGTCTAGCCATTATTTGCAAATATTGCAAAAGGTATTGCTCTACCTTGGTGTCAGAATTCGTACCCCTCTCCTTGAGGGAAAAAGAATAGAAGAATTCTGACATCTGTTTTTTTGAAAAGAAATGTAGTTGATTTTGTAGCTTCTTGTATTTTGTTATAGGTTTATGCGGATGATGATGTTGACAACATGCAAATACGAGAGAAAAATAGTAGTGTGGTTGTCTAACTTTAAGCTTTCATTAGGATCAACTTCAACTTTCTGTTTCCTTTGCTACATTCTATGAGGATCCTGGAGCCTGTACGTTTTAAAGTATTTTCTTACAATTTATGTCATCAAAATTAAACATGGTTTCTCTTGCTGCAATATTTTTTAGGAATCTGAAGAATCAGAAAAAATGGATGAAGATAGTAAAATTATTGAAGAACTTCGTGAGAGCAATGAATATCAGAGAGCTCAAATTGCACGCTTGGAGAAATCCCTGAAGCAAGCGATGGCAGATCTGGAGGAAGATAAGATGATGAACAAAAATGAAATCCAAAAATCTAGGGAAACCATAGATGATCTGAATAAGAAACTTGCAAACTGTATAGGAACAATAAATGCAAAAAATGTCGAACTGCTAAATCTTCAAACTGCTCTTGGTCAGTACTATGCTGAAATTGAAGCAAAGGTAAGTAGATCTTTAGTATTGTATACGGAAAACTCTCAAGTAAGTAGCGGCTTAAGTGAAAACTTGGATTTAATTCTTACATTGTTCTGTTATAGGAACATTTGGAGAGCGATTTGGCTCTAGCAAGAGAAGAAGCAACTAGACTTTCTGGTCTTCTGAAAGTATAGTCTTCTAACTTTCTTGTTTAATTGCTTCTCTACATTAATAAATTCACTCAGAAATGGAACTTATGGTTATGAATTTAATACTATTTATAAATCAGAGATTTTCTGTTTAGTTACTTTGAAGTTCCTTTTATGAGGTGGAATGTGGATAAGCATGTTCCTTGAAGTCGAGTTTTTTTCCCTGCTTTTCTTTTCTGATCATCTATGTATTCTCCAGGCTGCAGATAAGCATGCAGAATTATCAAAGAAAGAAAAGGAAGAAATTCTGGCAAAGCTTTCACAAACAGAAAGAGCAGTAGCAGAAGGGAAAGCAAGAGTAAACAAGCTTGAGGAAGATAATGGGAAACTAAGGCGTACTCTTGAGCATAGCATGACTAGGATTAACAGAATGTCTATGGACTCTGATTATCTTGTTGACAGGTTAGCCCGTTTATATGTTGAATCATATTCCTACTGTGAGGAATTGTCTACATGTTAGAACTGCATATATGTATACAAATTACTTGCTTCCTTTAGTTTTGGGATGGGCTCTTCTTTCCTTTTGATGGACATTTGAAACCTCCTTTGGCATGTATCATCTACAATAAATTGATCTGCATGATATGCCATGTAAAGGAACCCCTTTATAAATAAGATAGATCTTAAGTGAACCAATTTTGATTTCTGAATTCTTTGGTCAATACTGGAGTAAGTTTCAGAACTGAGATCTGTCATTTCTGCAATAGTTTGTGACTTTGTGTTTAGAACCAGCTTAACATAATCATAGATGTCAACTGAAACTAACTTCCATAATTTAGAATGCTAATTTTACATTTCTTGCAGGCGTATTGTGATCAAACTACTTGTGACCTATTTCCAGAGAAACCACAGCAAAGAGGTATAAAATGGTTCAAGTAAATTGTGTAACAGAACTAAATAATGAACTTTCTCTTCTAATTTCCTTTTGCATACTGATATTTGATATAATCAAGGCTGTGGCAGAGTAAGAATCACTTACTGCACTGATCTCAATTGCACTTCTTCTGGAAAAGATACTGCTTCTGGGTTAAAATAGATGTTCTTTCTTATATTATTGTAGGTTTTGGATCTTATGGTTCGGATGCTGGGGTTCTCAGATGAAGACAAGCAGAGGATAGGTATTGCTCAACAAGGTACTGGAAAAGGTGTTGTTCGGGGTGTTTTGGGTCTACCTGGTCGCTTGGTTGGTGGCATCTTGGGTGGAGGTTCGGCCGATGTACATGCAACTATCACCCCTGACAATCAGGTAGTTGTTTTTTTCACCTTGTTCAGAAAACGGATTTTCCAATTGGTTTCTCTGCTTTAGGGCTTAATGAGTCAACAAAGTAGTCTCTCTGAAACCGTTCCATTTTCTCTATCCATGACATGCAAGTTCAAGTCACCTCAAATTATGACAATTGGCATTTATTTTAGTGCTACCAATCTGGTCTTCCCTTGAAAACAAATCCTCAACTCAATGCCCCCCCCCCAATTTCCTCTGCCTTCATGGGATTAATGATTTCCTCTAGCATTTAATTTTGCATTTCCTGGGAAAAGTTTTGTGACTAAGGCTTAGATTTAGATTCGAGAATCCACAATATATAGATGGAAATTAGCTCATGTTTTCCGAGCAAAGGAATTAGGTGGAGAAAGAAATGAATAAAATGAAATCAACAGTCTCTTTACAAAGAAAGTCATACCAACAAAGAGGTCAAAAGCTTACTCAAACCATTGAATGAAAACATGAATGTTGAGAACAATCAAATATCACTCAGCCTTGACTATGCTTAGTATCAGGACACTTGAAAATCCAAGTCTAAAGCATATTTTTCACCTCAGTCTATTGCAGATCTTTGGGTTGATTTTCTGCTCAAGGAAACCGAGGAAAGAGAAAAGAGGGCAGAAGATGCTAGTAAGTCCAGCAAAGAATTACACGGGAGACCAAATGCTGCAGGACCTACTTCATCTGCTTCTGACCAAACAACTGGTGCTTCTGGTTTCTCTAGGCATGGCCAAAACACAAGCCCTGTACCCTCGGTAGGAAATTTTCGGCAGCTCGAGCATTCTGATTCCGAATTCTCAACCGTTCCTCTCCCGACATCAGAAGGTAGCGGTCGTCTATCGAGACTACTACCAAAATACTGAAGGGTTTCTTGTGTGATGTAATTATTCAGAAGTATAGTTTCTTTATTGGATGGTGTATCCATGATGAATTCACTTCAAAGTCTTCGACCAATTCCTTCATACGCTTGAAATAAGAAGAAATCCCTCCATTGTTCTTGTTTATATGCCCAATTTTATGTGAAAACGTATATGGTGGCAGAAAAAGAATACATGACATGAACATTGTGGCATTTGGTTTTTACTTTGTATACTCTTCCAATCTCGTTTATGTTTCCACACGAAGTTTGAAGCATCTTCCTGTAGACCATGGTAATTATATCTATTAATTTTGCAAGTTAAATTTAACTATTCAACTTCTCTAAGTTAGTGTTAAATGAATATACTATTTAATATAAAACTCTTGCATCACTTCGCTTCGTTTTTTTTAAAAAATTTTTATATTTAATTTATTAATTAATTAATTCAGATTAATTACTCATGACACTTAAATTCAACGCTCACGTTGTCACAACAAACCATGGTTTCATATATATATATATATATATATATATATATATATATATATATATTCTTTGCACAATCTGGCACGACCGGTTTGTTGTACAATGTGGTTCCTTTGTTAGCTTCTGTATTGTCTGTATACGAGGTTACAAACTGAGAGCTCTAGGAACAGTAAGTGCTTAAATAAATGCTGTAAATTATGCATTCCCCTCCAGAAATATTTTTTAGAGTAGGTATAAATGTTACTTAGAGTAAAATATTTTTGTATGGAGTAGACAAATAAAATTTAAAAATAAACATATCAGTAAAATAAACAATAAATATTAAAAAAATTAGATTTCAGGTCTACACGTGCCCACTAGAGTATACATGCATCAGCCAGTGCGGCGGAGGGGAATAGATAAAATTTATTAAACAAATTCCACGACTAAAAGGAACTCCCAATTGATGTAAAACAATTTTTTATAACCCAAATTCTGCCTGAAACGAGCAAAATCACAATTCACTGAGCCAAGAAACGTCAATCGTCAAAAATAACAGAGAAAAAAAATACAAATTTAGCCGAATAAAAAAGTGAAGAAAAAGGAAGGCATCCCAAGAGTCATCTCCTCCTCCTCCGATCACCATCGTACTGAGACAAAGGTACGAGTTCCGACAAAGGCGTTGAAATGGGAGTCGGGAGCGGCGAGTTCCGACAAACGGGACAAGAGCCATTAAGTTTCAGCCAAGCATCAATACAAGTAACATGAAAATAGTGTCTACACTCGGGCATCATCCTCAACATCTCCAAATCTCTATACTCACATAAACATATCGAACATATGGTGCTGACAGAACTAGAACCCGCCGCAGCAGCCACCTTCTTGCTGAACAGGAACTTGGGGTAAGAGTTTATAACGGCACGGTCGAGCCCCACGACGATAACGCTTTCTTCGTCGTCTTCATGATCTTCTTCGCCGACGAAAACAATCCTGGGAAGGATGATTCCGTCGGAGTTGGCGGCTGCGATTGGGTTTGGGGAAAAAGCGGGTGGTGGAGGAAAGGAGAAGCGGCAGCAGATGTAGGAAGTGAGGAGGAGAGTGGAGAGGAGGACGAGGAAACCCAAGGCGAGGACGATGGCATAGCCGATGCCTAAGTTGGTGAGATAGGTAGGGGATGGAAGTGGAGGAGTTGACATTTGGGGCTAAACGAAGAATCCATTTGGCAAAGAAAGGTAAAGATTTTGGAAGAGAAGGTGGGTAGATGACGCTTCAGCAGTTGCATTTAATTTATTACTCAGCAGGGTGGCATTTCTTGTGATTCACTCCCTTTTTTCAATTTATTTAATTATTTAAATTTACGTAAACTAAACATTATTTAATACATAAATTGTCAATTTTGATTCATTTAGTATATAATTTTTTAGTTTTTTTAAATCATATCTAATGTTTAGTTTTCATTTCATTTTAGTACCCGTCGTTGAAAATTTAACGAGTTTACAACCTAAACTATTAGTTTGGTTCGTTTTAGTATTTAAACTTTTCATCTTTTCAAAACTTAACGTGAAATTTTGAACGAATGTACTAAAATGAAACAAAAATTAAAGTTTTTAACGACAAATACTAAAATGAAACAAAAACTAGACTTTAAGTATGATTTTGAAAAAAAATTAAAGTTTAGGTACTAAAAAGGATCAAAATTGATAGTTTAGGTACTAAATGTGTAATTAAATTTAACTAATTTTATTGGCTGAATTCTAGTTTTGGTCCTTCTATCATTCTTAAATTTAAAATACAGTTATTGTGCTTTGGGATAATTTGATCCTCTACTTTTTTTTAGTATTATTAATTAATCATGCTAGAATTTATGATTCAAAATTTATTATAATTTGATCCAAAAATTTTTTTAAATACGACTCGTTTTGTGAAAAATAAATTGAAAGGAAAAACATTATATGCATTTCTTGAAAAAAATTAAGTTAGGTTTTTTTTTGCTTGTGTTACTATACATTATTTTTTTCGTAAATTATAAATTTGATAATTAAATTTTACTCTCTCGTTTATTTTACCCACTATATTTTAAATCTTTTCAATTTTCTCACTAAACTTAAGACATTGAGGTTTTTTAATCACTCAACCGTTAAATAGTTAACGACGTTAAAATTGGATATTATATAGATGCAAAACGACGTCGTTTCATAGAATGGCATCAGTTTTAATGTTGTTAACTATTATAGGTATAGTGACCAAAATAGGAGAGAGTGTTAAGTTTAGTGACGAAATAACTCGTGAAGAAATTAAAAAGTTTTAAAGTTCGGTGAGTAAAATAGGAGAGAGAGTAAACTTCAGTGATTAAATTTGTAATTTACCTTATTTTTTGAACACTAATTGCAAAAAAGAGAAGTGAAAGAGCAAAGGGTGCTTTTTTCTTGCCTTTTGAAATCAAAGGGAGAATTCTCTTTCTCTAGTTTTTTTATCTCTACAAAAAGGAAAAGCGTTCAAACTCAAATAAAGTTTTTTCATTGAAAAATATTTTTACAGTGGGACATGCAACATTTACTCATCAAACGTGATGCATGTACCCCTAATATTAATTCCCATACGTATTTCTCTTTAATTATTCACGACGGACGCACGTTCTGTAAACGTAATTGTCCGAAAAATTTATCTTGATTTATCTTAAAGATTCAAGAAAGATCTTATATGATTGAATCAGATCGAAGCACGTCGGATTCGAATGATTTAACTGTCCTGTAATAGACCACAAATTGTAAACAACTAGTTCCCCTTTAGTTTGCCTGATCAACCGCCAGCTGTTCTCTAACTACGAGCCTTAAAACCACATTAGCTGAGACCTAAACACCTTCGCAATTCAATGTAACATTCAATTATGCAGAACTGCATTTGGTGTGTGTAATTGTTTAAGTGGTCTCGGTAAAAAGAAGGACAAATACTCGTCCAGGTCACTTTTGTTTCAATTTCCCTCGATTTTTAGTATCAATTTTCAAAAATATTATGTTTCAGTCACTTATGTTATTGATTTGTTATAATTTGACGAAACCCAGAAATTCTAATTCACTCCCTTTTGGTCTCTTAAATGTTAATCCAATATCCTCTTTGTCACGTTATCAAAATTAACGGTTCGGTGATCAAATTATAACAAATCAATAACATAAATGATTAAAACATATATTTTTAAAAAATTTTGATGATGAAAATTGAAATGAAAGTGACCTGAACGGTAGTTTATCCAAGCCATTAAGAGTTTAATCACATTAACTTGATGAACAAAGATAATAATAGCATGGGGGAAAGACTAATCCCCAAAATTGGGTTAGAGTGTATGACAAAAGCACAACAACGTGATGGAGCCAAGATTAAAGCCGGGTGGTTATTCTTTTTAAGCCATGCATGGTTTGATGCTTCTTTAAGGCTGAAAAGCAGAGCATTGGCTCCCACCTTTTTCATACGCTCTCCCGAATACTTTAATACCATGCACCTTTTTCATACTAATGATAACAATAATGTTATTCATATTCACCTAAGTGTAGGAACTCTATAGTTTTAACAATGATGTTTTTCACCCTACTACAACAGTCGTTGATGCTCGAATCAACGATCTCTAAGAACAACAACGATTTACTTAACTACTAAGGTAAGATTGTCCGTGCCTATAGATGTATTATTATTTGTGTTTTAACCATGTTTCCTTTTTTTTTCTCAAGTTGTTGGAGGAGATAAGATAACAAGGTTGTTTGACCTTGAGCCGGAAAATAAGACTAATTGTAATCAAATTGGTAGCCCTCTGTTAAAGATGCTTATACCATGTTTGATAAAGAAAGAAAAGGTGTCCCCTTTCTCTTTCACTTTTGCCTTTAAGGTAAGCCATTTTGAAGGGGGTGGTGCCTAGGGTTTGAGCTGATATATTAATAGCTGTTCAATTTAATCAAGGAATCAATGCTAAAAAAAAAGATTAAAGTTGGGCAATGGCGGTTGTACCAAATACTAAGAAGAATATTAAAACCACAACTCCAATGCTCATCTATCTTTCTACAATGATCATGGTTAGAGGATGCGATGCGAGTCATGGGGATCTTAAGGCTTTCTTGTGATATTGTTGTGGCCGCCATGGAATGATCATCTGCACACAGCCCCCGAGAATGGGGTTCGGACGATCAAAGACTCTCCCTCATAGCCGTGCTCAACCACCTATGCAAGCAGCCGAGCAGCAGTCCAAGTGAAAAACCACCACCGGAAATAGATGCAGACGGCGCATTTTTTAGGTTTAATCTGAAAATAAGTGTCAGACTATATTGTTTTTCTCAAATAGGTGTCTAAAATAATTTTTTTATTTCATCCAAATGTCTAGCGTTACAAATTTGACTACTTTAAGTGTCTCGATCATAAGGACCGTTAAAAAGTTTGTTAAGTAACACATTTCATAATATGGTAAATTTGAAGTTTTTACTTTTTAAAAAACCTGAACTTTTCTATTTTACACAAAACACCCCATAATTCATAAAATTTCTAATTTTCAAATCTCAAAAACCTAATTTCCTATTTGGCCGACAACAAAGCGGTGGTTGGAAGTGGAATGACGATTGATGGGTGGGCTTCGACAATAAAAAAATGGCAGTTGATGGGTGATGCTGCGACGAAAGAGAAACATAAAGGAGAAGAAGATGAAGCAATGACATTGCCCTTTGCCTCTGTTTCTCATTCTTTGTCGCCAACCTGGGTGTTGGTTGTTCGACCAACCATCGTCAATTTCATTTCCCTGTCGTTGTCGGACTTACCGAGAATGACTCCGGTCAACCAATAGGGTGGAATTAGAGATTTAGGGACATTGAGTTTTTTTATTGTTTTAGAAAAAATTAAGGCTTTTTCACAAATAAAATATTTTTTAAATATTTTTAAATAAATTTTCCAAAATACTTTTTTAACGTTAACGACCGATGCATCTAAAACGTTAACGTTTGTAACATTAGGCACTTGAATGAATAGAAAAAAAATTAGACATTTATTTAGAAAAACTGGTATAGTTTAGTCACTTATTTCTGATTAAGCCATTTTTTAATAACATAAACAAAGGGGAATCAGGTTCATTGTTAGTGGTTAAAAAAAGGTAAAATATACAAATGGTCCCCCAACTATATGGTGTTACTATGTTGAGTCTCCTTACTATAAAGAGTTACAAAATGATCCTCTAGTTGTAGGATGTTATTTTGTTGAGTCTCCAACTATTAAAAGTTACAAAATGGTCAGCTGACTATTCATCATGTTCCAAATCCATTATTTTACATTAATACAATTTACAACAATTTGAGTTGGATGTTAATTTGTTGTTTGATATATGATAAAATATGATACCAGAATCTCAAACGACTATCATATCTCATACAACATATTAGTATCAAGCTCAGATTACTGTTAATTTTTTAATGGAAAATGACAAGTTTAGAACATAATGAATAATCGAGTGATCATTTTGCAATCTTTAATAGTCAATGGACTCAACAAAGTAACATCCTATAGTTGAGAGACCATTTGTGTACTTTACCCAAAAACAAAATAATACTTGGAAATTTAAATCACTTGAAATTTCTTTATTAGACGTGATCAAATGTTTAACCCAAAACATTTGGGGCTTATTTGCTATAAGGCCTAACATGTAACAGTTTGATTCAAGCCCGGCATTCAAAACGACGGAGAGCAGCATAGCTGATACTCGTGCGCCATTCTCTTTAGCAGCCATAGGAATGAACACCACACTTCCGCTATCGAAGTCCTCAAGACTCCTCCGCCGCCACATTCGTAAACCCCACCGTCGCCTCTGCACCGAATCCGACCCACAACCGCTAACGCCACCGCAGGACGATGAAAAAAAATCAACCAAGCAGTTCAACTCCTCGAAACCCCACACCCAGAATGGTCATCTTCTCAACCCTTGCAGTCGCTCTTATTCTCATATTCGCCTTTACCTCCCCTCTTCATCTTGAAAATCACTCGCAGCCTGCCTTCCTATTGTCAAGCCCTCAACTTCTTCGAACATCTTCGTCAAAACTCCCCATCTCCAGATACCCAATTCCTTTCTCATTCATTCCAAGCCCTTCTCGAACAAGCGGGTCGAGGACCGGATGCTGCATCACGGTTACCCGAACTGTATCGAGCTTCGAAAGAATGGGAAGTTCCTCTAATTGTCAATGCCGCCGCACTTCTTATTCGATTCTTGTTTTTTGACGAACTCGACCCTTCTCTT